CAGGTACTGTGCTGTAATCACAACTTGATATTTCTTTATCTTTTTCCAGGTAAGTGAGATATAAAACAGCTCTTCAAGGGACATTAACACACCATATCTCAGGTACGTCCAAGCTATCATATTCATTTATTATCGAATAATTCATAAGTTAAGTCTGGAGTCCTTTGCATCCCACAACAGTTTTAAAAGGAATGTTACGCTTTTACCCTACATCTTCGAGGACGTTGGTGTCCCTCCCTTTTCAATGTAGTGATGCCGCCGCTTGTTCTCATGGACGGTGGTCCCACTCTCTATCTCTACACCATCTTTGTGGCCACTGTGGTCCAGTCACCGTCTATATGAAAGTCTCCCTCCCTCACGTCGTGCATTCGAGTATCAGAGTCATCCCCTCCCACTTCGTTCCCATCAGAGCCTTACCCCTTCCATTCAAGTGGGTACAGTGATTACACTCGCCTATTTTAGAAGCATTTGTATTTCTTCTGGGAATGCTCTTGCTACACTGAGATTAAATGACCCTCACCATGTTATCATGGTTTCATTATCATGCTTTACAGGCTATTAGCTAATTGGCTTTGTGTTTTGGAGGAGTCATGTCCTAAATGGTAACAACCTAAACATTGAGATTGAAGCTTAGTACTAATAACAAGTCCCAATCCCAGTAGCTAAGTACTAATTCCCACTGGATCCCAATTTTAATGTGCTCCGACTGTAATGTCTCGGGCAATTAAGATTAAGGTCTTTTTGGGCAGAGAACCATTTGATCTTTAAATTTTCTGTGTTGACCCTGTCACAGCTTGGCAACAGAGACCAACGTTTTTGGTGAGTTGGATCTCTCCTGTTTTAGATGTGTGGAAGCGTCATCACACCTTGGTAGCATTAGACCAGCTCCTTGTGTTTTAAGAACATCAAATTATTTTTTGACGTAATTTTTAAAGGCGTCAAGTTTTCCTAAGCTTGCATCAAACACCTATTTTCTAAGTTTTATGAAGATAAAAAGTCATTCATTTTACTGTAGTGGAAGCTCCTGTCCTTGTTGACTGGTGTTAAATTTCTTTCTCTCAGTATTCCTCCTGGACCAAAAGTTTGGGGATATATAGCAATGATGCTGTCCGTGTCCATCCATCCGTTTGCATATCCGTTAGTCTGTCCATGATAGATTTTGTATCTGCTCAGTAACTTGCCACTGACGTGATGGATTAATTTCAGAATTAGTGTGAGAGCAAAAATTATGGCAAGCTCTGGGCAGTACTGGACAAGTTCGAGGGTAAGCATTGACTTTATACCTTGGCTGACCACTAATTAATTGCCTGCCCTGGTTTGTGTATTTGTGGAGGTGGGGTGGGGGAGTGATGCACTCAGCGAAGTTGCCGGTTAGGAATTTCAAGGCCACCAGTCTGTGTGGCAAATAAGTGGCGTGGACTGAACATTTCGTTATATCTCTTTCCACCATATTGACACAGTTGTATATGACACAAGGATAACATCCACCAGCCACAAAAATCGGGTAAACACTGAATTGAATTTTGTGCCAGTTAAAGTGTGAGACAACAAACCTTGACAGAGGTCGAAAGCTTCCAACGGAACTCCAATCACATGTTGAGGGGGGTCTCTTTTCTATCCTCTGTGTATAGTCTTTGGTTGGAAACAAGGATGTTAAATGGATGAAGGTGACATCTGCTGTTTATACAACCAAGGATTCTATACAGTCAAGGAGGATGGATCACATAATGTAAAATTTTTTATCCTCCCGCAATGGTGATGTCGTTAAGCGGCTGCGAATATAAAACACATTAAGCCCATTGCACCTTACATGATATTGTGTGACAACACCAGGTCGAGTATGTCGTAAGTCAAGGAGTAGCTGTATATATACAGTATACCGGTATACCTAAAAAATTTAAATTGGTTCACAAACAACAAAAACCAACCTAAATACCGTAAATTAGTACAGTGGTCCCTCGGTTAACGAGTTACCTTCCATAAGATTCTTAACTTCGGTTAACGAGCAATCCCTCGATTAACGAGTTTCTTACGAGCCGACCTCCACATATTTTAGCTTGCATTTGGCGGTCCACCAGCTGTAGTATTAGTCCGCCAATACAGTAATCGGTTCTAGGGCTTAAATTCCTTACCCTTTTAGTAAATATCAAGAAGTTTATACTATTCAATCATTTTAAAAGTTTAATATTAAATTTTTGAGTCATTTTAACAATTATTGAACATAATTGAAGGTAGGGTCACTAGTTTGTGGCATGCCATCCAGCCTGCCAACACAGCATACAGGCATCAGTCTTTGTGTCTTTTCAGTGGAGGTAACATCTTGCTTGAGACTCTTCAACTAAACGCTTTTTTTCTGTGTTTGCAAGCAAATTATTGGTCATTTTGAAATTTATTTTACATATTGACAATATATAATGCAGTGCAGTGTTGATTTAACGAAAATAAGCTTGAATTACACCAAGAGAACTAAAATTTTATGGGTGAAATGGCGCTATGGGGTGACTTCTCTTCCACCCCAATGCCTTCTCTTCTCCCTTCTCCTCCACCCCCATTCTAATTCCCATCATCATCATCATCCAGGAGCTTTCTACATACACACCTCAAAGCAAGTGTACTTTTCTACCTTTTTTGTTGAATTTAGGCAATTTTCGGTGAGCTGGAACCAATTACCCAAAAACCCATTGAAACAATGGTTTCGGAACGAGTTTTTCGGTTAACGAGCAACCTTCTAGAACGGATTGTGCTCGTTAACCAAAGGACCACTGTACTTAACTACTGTAATTTAGTATACATAACACATTAAAAAATTAATAAAATATAAATTTGGTACATTACGTGAAGGGACCATAGCTTTTGTATACAGTAGTGAGAAAGAGGCGTAAGAATAGAATATCTGTATAAGCGACTATTCGTTTTCACAAAATGACACCAAATTGCCAAGACAAAGGTACTGTTAGGTCAGGTTTCATAATGTTTTGTTTTGTTTGTTTTTACCGTATACCTAAACATTTTCCCTCTACTGTGCTTCAAAGCCCTGCCCAACACATAGCATGAGTACATATGCAAACACAACTTGTAGTTTCTCTAGCAAGGCAAGGCAGACAATTCTTTTTCCAATCTAGTTTTATGTATTTAACCTCGCACAAGAAGTCTTAATTCACATTGCCTTTAATTATATGCAAGCTAAATTGAATCATATAAATGATACTCTTTTTCACCTTTACAATCCTTTAAATACCCAAATTGTCATGGTCTGTATATGTTTGTACAATATCAAGTGTAACCATATCTGAGCCACCAGCTAAAACTATAATGAAGTGCCAACCGATTTTGATGTCATTCTTTGCATCTTCGTCACCTGGTCATACAAGTCAGGCATCAGATACAGCGCAATCAAAATCAGTTCCAGAGCTTGGGGAAGTTAGTGAAGTGGCTGCCGGACCAAAAACCCAGAGGGAGCTTCCAATGACATAAGTCATGCAAATTTTTGCCCACTCAATTACTGCAGATGATAGGTAATTTTTATGAAGCCTTGGGTGCCATCAGCCAAATCAGACTTTCCATCTTCAACACATGCAAAGTTTGGAATTACACGTATTTGTTGTTTACTTTCTCATCATTTGCAAGATTTTCCATGGCTTGCCTTGAGCAGAGTTCATGGTCGAGAAGGAGGATTTTGTTTTCCGTGTGTTCTTTTTCTTATCATCATGAGTTGGTGGTTGGTCTGGAGGAAATAACCAAATTGCTCACACATTTGTCACAGATCCATTGATTTGCTCTGATGACTTGAGTGGAAAGAATGGTTCACTGTCAACTCACCAATGGAATGAATATCATAAAACCAATGGAATGAATATCATAAAACCAGTGGTATGTTAATGGAAGAATTTGAGAGAGCATTTGTGGATGGTGAATCTGTCATATACAGTATACAATCTATGTTAGACAAAGGGCAAAAAAGGAAGTTCAAAGAACCAAAACCTACTGGTGCCACTGGTACACAATTCTCTCCTGTGCTCAACAAAACATCCCTCTACATAGTCACTGTGGAGAACGTGAGTCTGTAGCTGCAGACGGTGAAGAAAATGTTGGCAACTTTTGTGCATTGCTGCGGTATTGAATTAAGAGTGGTGAAAATAAGAGTTTTATTTATCAAACAAAATCTAAAAAATAGAAGTACGGTACTGTACTGTATACAATTCCCTCACCACCCTCCATAGCTGCATTATGTAATATTGATGGCCTGGCCGAACCCATAATTACAGCATTGTTTGTAATGTATTTTGTTCTTAAGTCAGGGTCTGGTTGGCCATCTTTAATTTTATCCTGCTTGAATTACAAGGGCTTCTTGATATAGGTAATTGCAATTATGTGCCTCTAAAATACAATAAACTAAATTTTTGTGTGCCAAACTGTTTCATTGACAAGGTGAATGCCTTTTTTAAAGTTTCTGTCATCTCCCAGGCAATAATAAGAGAAGATGGGTCACAGCCAACCATGAAAAATTTAGAATGAATGACGTGTTTCTGTGGATGGCTGATCCATATTTGGATTACCTGTTAATAGTGGTTACTTTTGTATTATACTTGTTGTTTTGAATAAACAACAGAAAAGAGATCTGAGGCTGGTTTTGTTTACTTAACATAAATTTACTGTAATTAATACCGTACTGTATCTTCATGGAAAAGTAACTCTATTGAGACTCTTGTGGCAACTTACAAAAGGAAAAAATCACGAAATTTATATAGGAAGGCAGATATTATTTTTCAATAACACTTGACACTACTTAAGTTACTATAACTTTGAACCAATGGATACAATAAGCTCACTTTATTACCAGTTGCTTCCTCAAAACAGTCAATGCTTTGTGGATTGACACATGCTAAAAGATTTTAGTTATCAATAGCTTGGTTTACTTTGTTAGAAATTTGAGTTAATGGTAAGTTCCTTACTAAGTATAAAAAATAAAATATTAGGACATTAAATAAATATATTACAGGTATCATTAAAAATTTATTCATGTGCTCTAGCTATATCACACACAAGGGTTCATGAAACATTTCACAATACAGTACTGTACACAGATAATCTTCACCAATTGTCAGACTTTTCTTCCTTAACAAACACACAATACCCCTCTTGGTTCTCTTCCTTTATGGTACACCGGGAAATTATATTAATTTTGAGTGGATCTTCAGGCTGACTATTGGAAGAGTTAGTATCATTACCAGTTTGCTTTTTTGCTACCTCTGTAGAACAATCAATCATCTCCACTTTTGATTCAGCTTTTATAAGGATATTTTCTATTTGCTGGCTTGTATGATTTACATCACCCAGGAGACTGCAATCTTTGTTGTGATTAGGGGCATTTTCTGTCAAACCATTTTGAATGTTTAGATCAAGTGCATGCGAGGATCCTCCTATTTCATTCTCGTTAAGACACGACAGGTTTTGGTTTGGTATGAGTATTGTCTTGAATGTTGGTTTCTCTCCAACATACTTTCTGTATTTTTTGAGTTCTTTATGGCAGGTAGAACCTTTCAACAATTTCTCTCCTGTATGATTTTTCAGGTGGAAAACAAGGTCACATTTTTTAGAAAAACTGATACGACATTTAGCACAGTGAAATGAACCATCTTGTAAATGATGCTTTGTATGTCTACGTAGGCTTCCTCTTAATTTAAAGGCTTTATTACATTTTTCACACTGAAAACATTTTTCCCCTAAGTGAACTTTCCTTTTCTCATTTACATGAAATTGTGTATGCCTTTCTAAGCTTCCTTTTCGGTAAAAAGCTTTACTGCATTCAGAACACTGGAATGGTTTTTCTCCAGAGTGAAGTCTCATGTGATTTACAAGAGATTTTCTTTGGCTAAAAAATTTCTGGCATTCTGAACATTGAATTTTCTTCCTAGTATGAACTCTGTTATGTTCTAGCAGACTGGCTTTCTGCCTATAGGCTTTGTGGCATATGGGACACTGAAATGGTTTTTCTTTGCTGTGAATTATCAAGTGTTGCATGAGAAGCTTTTTCTGAGTGAAAGCTTTATGGCATTCTGAACAATGAAATGGTTTTTCTCCTGTATGAACTCTCCGGTGTTCTACGAGAAGCCTTTCCATGACAAAGGATTTACTACACTCTGAACAATGAAATGGCCTCTCTCCTGTGTGTATGGTCATATGTTTTATTAGTGTCCCTTTCTGGCTAAAAGATTTATGGCATTGTGAACACTGAAATGGTTTCTCTCCAGTGTGAACAGTCATATGTTGTTGCAAAGTCTTTTTCTGGCTGAAAGATTTGTTACATATTTCACACTGAAATCGTTTCTCTCCTGTGTGAACTGTCATATGTTGTACCAAAGTTGATTTCTGAGTAAATGATTTCTGACATATTGAACACTGAAATGGTTTTTCCCCTGTGTGAACTAAAATATGTTTTGATAAATTCCCTTTAAAATCAAAGCGTTTACCACAAACTTTGCATGAAAATGGAGGCTTTTCTCCATTACGAATTTTCAGATGTAATTTTGGCATAATGGCCAAAGTCATTACAGAATTTAAAAAATTTGAAATGCTGTCTCAAGTAATTTTATATGAATTATATTTATTTACATTTCTAAGCCCATAATTACTGTATTGTAATAAGTAAATAAAATGCATCAAGCTAAACAACCAAATCCTGTTTTCACTGATAAAATGTTGCATCTTACCCTGAATCTTAAGTAAGTCAAATGTAGATTTCACTGTATTCTTTCATAATTATGCCATTACACAACAAAACGTGCACTCTTCACAAAACTACAGTATCTGTAACTTCAAAAATGAATACAACTATTAATTAATTCAAATTACCATTGAGTACAGGTATAAAATTTTCTGGTGTGATATGAAGAACACTCAGTAATGAATGCGGATGCTTTATGTATTGTACATTTGATACAAGAGTCAGCTGTAGGAAGGATTACCTGGAAGCATTAACACTGATGTGACACTCCTCTGTTATTGCGTCATATATGGCACGGAATCAAAGTTCAGCAGGGTGAATGGAATATCGAGGAGCTGGGAGAAATTCTGGCTGACAACCTGAAAAATAAACAAAAGGATTATTACAGAACAATTTAATAACACAAGACAAAAATACTGTTATTTTAAGAATGATTGTACTGTAGAGTACTGTATATAATAACAAGGTTAGCAATTTCTCATTACACAAAACCAATCTGTAAGGAGTGATAACTGGACAATAGTAAATAATGCTATTATGAATTGTTTGTGATCGTGTGATATAACGTACCAGGTATCAGCATGCAGCAAATACCTGTAATATGATATCCAGACACCTTTCACCTTTAAAGTTTATTGATCTCTTTCAAAAACAGAATTTCAGGGTTAATCCCACCCCTCATTTGTAACCAGGAGACCTATTATGGTGACTCAATTTCTCATGGCAGCAAAAATGAGGAGTTAGAAGGTACCAGTAAGCTCAAAATGCTTACACAGCATAGTATCCTACTAGGTGAGTCACACTAATAGCACCCTGTAGGTAGTAGGTAGCTACCAAACAGGGAGTTACTACTGCCTGGGAAGATATTGGAAGCATAATGTATTGTCTATTGGTAGACCTTGCTACTATATGGCATCACGAAAATTGTGACCAAGTCCCAGGTTGCTGATCTGACTTTCTGCCTCCTTTACACACAATTGCAGGGTCTCAATTGTTTCTCTTACTTTGACTACACAACATACTGTACATATATTGTTTCTCACTATTGATTTTTTTAATTTTTTAATTTCTTTATGGTTCTTTATCATTATTATTACAGTATTATTATTATTATTATTATTATTGTTATCATTATTATTTTGTTTTTAATTTTGCATTTTGTATTATAAATTTTATTTACTATAAATTATTGTTTAATTTTTATTTTTGTATTTCTATAAATTTTATTTAATATGAATTAATATTATTATTATTACATTTTCGCCTCCCAGGCTCTGATGTGGGTCAGTGACCTGTGCTTGGGTGGGCTAATCCCCGTGTAAAAAAAAAAAAAAAAACCTATTGGATGAGTAACACTTATAGTACCCTACCTGGTGAGTCATATTAATAGCACCCTACCTGGTGAGTCACACAAATATCGCCCTATTGGATTAGTCACACTAATAGCACTCTGCCTTGTGAGTCCCACTAATAACACTCTACTAGACAAGTCAACTAATAGCACCCTACTGGATGAGTCAACTAATAGCACCCTTCCTGGTGTCACACTAATGGCATCTTACCTGGTTAGTTATATTGATAGCACCATGCCTGGTGAGTTGTATTAATAGCATAATACTTGATGAGTCACTTTAATAGCACCTTACTGGATGAGTCACTAATAGCACCCAACTGGTTGAATTATTAATAGTGCCTTACTGGATGAGTCGCACTAATAGCACTGCCTGGTGATTACAAGTACATTTCTAGCCTAACCTAACCGAAGAAATCAGAAGGACCTGACCTAACCTCCACTCCAGGACCCCCCTGAGTGTGAACTCTTTCAAGACCAGACTTCACCAACACTGAAGCAGGTTCAGGTGCATTCAGGTGCCGGTGCATGCCCAGTACTTGCCAACAGTGCGTAACAGAGACGTGACCGATCGCCCAAGCAGCTAACGAGCTGATCAGTGGTGAAGAGGATAAAAGTAGAGTAAAAGTAAATAAAACGAACCCAACAAAATAAACCAAAGGAACCTGGAGAACCAAACCTGAAATCGAAGTAAAATTAACTAGAAAAATATAAAATTCCGATGAAAAACTAAAAGGCTTTATTTTTTCGTAGTGGATAATAAGTATGGCAGCCGTATGCCAAAAATCACATTAGATACGTACAGTATAAGTATGGGAGCTATATTGATGGACTGTGATGTTAATGGTCAGGTTAGGTTATAGGGTGAAGGTGGAGCAGATAGTTTACACCAGAAATAACTAAGGAATTTAACCAAAATTTTTGAAGATACTGAATGGAAACGAGAAAGCACAAAACCTGACCTAATCAAAGAAACTTGCCTCATCTTACCTAAATTCCTAACAGCCTCCAGCATATTAAGCAGAAATAACTTACTTTGATATCTGGTACCAATGAAAACAACTAAAGTATCTTGAAGCGGCATGGTTTAATTTAATTATTTTTGTGGACGTTAGAGTACAATCCTGTTGTTACAGTTAAACACATATTTCTTCTTCACTGTCAGTTCTCTGCTGCAGTTTGAACATTTGCACATCTTGCCACCTATTCGATGTAGACAGATAAACTCTTGGAGACGGTCTTCATCCTCCACAAGCACAGATAAATTTGATACGATACCGAACATGCCGTGATAAGGACGCCGTTGAAAAACAATATGGCTTCTCCCTCAGTCCTCCTCCTTGAAGAACAACAAGTAGATGAACATATAGTTCAATTATTAACCAATGCTGCTTTTAAGGTATTTCTTTATCATCAGATGTAAACATGCGGCGACAAGCCAGAATTATCAGCAGAATATTTAAGTAGTCAGTTGATTGAAAATGTCTTAAGGAGGGCCACCAGACTGATGCCTGCACTACGGCACCCCAGCTACCCTGAGAGATTAGAGTGCCTGAAATTCACAATCAATCCATTAATCTTCATGCCCTGCCCACTATTGGTGATTTATGATTGTAGATAGAGAAAGAAAAAAAAATGTATTGACTGTATTAATTAATATCATCCAAAGAACTGTGGAAAATATGAACAAAATATATAAATGTGTTTGGGTGCTAACCGTCTGCTCCACCCTTACTGGTTCTAGGTTAGGTTAGGTTTTGTTTTGTAGTCAGAAAGAAGGTCATCTTAGCAACTATGATTGTATAGTTTGCCCACCACGCATGCGCATTAGGTTATCTATACCCATGCCTATTTTTTTTCACAGTTCTATTCTTCCGCCAGCCATAAGGAAAACACCGGAGGCTATTCTTACATCAGTCCTATAGCATATGTTCAAGATGTAAATGAATGACCCCATGCTATTATTGTTACAGCCCTCCAAGGGTGTAAAGGGAGCCTTAGCATTGCCTTTTTTATGCCAATAAGGTTAGGTTAGGTTAGGTTAGGTTAGGTTGGGTTGGGTTGGGTTGTTCGCAGTGGCTATTCTCTTGCCAGCCATAAGGAAAACACTGGGGCTATTTTTAGGTTAGGTTTTCAGAATCTTTTTTTCTTTTTTCTTTATTTTGGTGTGTGAGGTTAGTTTTGAAAAGTCAGTTCAGTATTTCATTTTGTTGGGCGTACTAGTTTGAAATAATCATGTTACCTTTGTGTCATTTTCTTTCTTTGCCGGTTGTCAAATTGTTGTACTCTCGCACAGCTCGGTATAGGCCCCCCGCCGCAACCCCCTTGAATTTGAATTTATTTCCAAGATGTCTCCCTTGTTCAATGGCTGTGATGTGGATTACTTCCAAGCAATCGCAAGATTTCACGTTGAGTATTACGGTAAGGACGGTGCGGTATTGAAATTTCTCCAGGAACATGGTGTATTGCCAACTGAGGTTAGTGCACGAACTGTAACCAGCCCTGTAGCTATGAAACTGACAACACTTTTGGTACTGTGGAAGGAAAATTGCCGTCCAGCTCGTCCTGAAGTAAAAAAACAGAAGTGTAATTATAAAGTGTCGCACTATAAAGGAACATTTGGATAACCACAATGCTAATTTTACCTAGGTTTGGTTTGGTGTGATTAGCGGTAGACATGAAGGTCAGATTCGTTCAAAACACATGCCATACAAGAAAGGTGGCATAGAATCGTCTAAACTACTGATTAAACTCTCTCTCTCTCTCTCTCTCTCTCTCTCTCTCTATATATATATATATATATATATATATATATATATATATATATATATATATATATATATATATATATATATAAAATTGCTGGATATCCGAAATGATAATTTTACCCATAATTTCAATCAAACCTAAACCTAAAATCGCTGCATGACCGAAACGATAATGCCCTTGTATTGATTGATCTCTTCAACCAGTCATTAAGTGGGTAATACATTAGATCAACAAAGGTGTGGCTGAAACCCTGCCTGTAGATAGAAATCAAACCATAACATTTGATTCAAGTCTTAAGGTTACAACCATGGCATTCACATGAATTTTAAAATATTCACATTGCAGTCACTTTAGTTATTTTACTCCATGGTATTATGATATCATATCTTTATAACTAAATAACCAACGTACAGTATCTATATCCTTGTTTTATGACTGCTTGACTTACTTTGTTACGTTCTGTAAGTTGTTCTCGACTAGTCTGGTGATCCGTCTATTTCTCTTGGGTGTACAGTACCTATCAGATGTTCGCACTAATTGTCTGACCTTCCATATTAATGCATAGTTGTATAATTTTCAGTTGTCAGTTGTACAGAATATCACTACCGTCCAGGAGTTCACAAGGTGCCAGGAGTCATCTTGATACATGTTCCAATAATTTTTCTGGCTTGCGTCCGTCAGTGATGTAAACAAACTTGAATACTCTGAATACAGTACTACATACGTAATTTTTTTTTATCCTCTTCAAATTATGTGGTTCTGGTTCGACATTTCCTTTAAAAAGACACATTTGTTCATCGCATCTGTTATACAAAGATTACCAATATATTAACCTGTATAAAAACGTTCAACTCCCTAATCGTAAAAGATTGGCTTGTACAGTGCCGAGGTATATCTACCCATTTTCGGAATAATCCTTTGTAGTTTATATATAAATTTTCACTGTAAATTGATACCATTTCGTAAATTACATAACCCAACCACTAATTTTTAGTTATCATTGCCCGAGCGTTGGTAGGTTACGTATTTTTAAGTAAACACACAGGTTTATGTGATTTCAAAACTGTATAGTATAATTAATCATACAAGTTTGCAATTGGTTTGGTATATAGAGAATATGCAAGCATAATTTGTTATGTGTAATATGTGGCGGTTACGACATCCATACAAATGTTTGCGGACGCTGCTAAATTATTCAGGGAAATTAAGAACCAAACAGACTGTGAAGAGCGCTTCTGGTACAGAAAGATCTTTGTGATCTTCAAGAATGGTCGAAGAAATGGCTGCTAAGATTCATGCACCTAGGTCGTACCAACAGTAAGGAGGCATACAACATGTCCCAACAGGATGCCTGGGTGTGTAGGCATCACAAAAATTGTGACCAAGTCCCGGGTTGCTGACTTTCTGCCTCATTTACTTTTATCCTCTTCACCACTGATCAGCTCGTTAGCCGCTTGGGCGATCGGTCACGTCTCTGTTACGCACTGTTGGCAAGTACTGGGCATGCACCGGCCGTTGTAATTTCCCTTGAAATATTTGCACCTTGGCCTGACTTTATCTTGAACTAGGTAACAGTTAAATCTGAATGACAACACTATATGGTGACCGGTGCCAACTGTGGCAAGATTGTAGTGGATTTCTCCCCCACAAACGCTGTTTGTCGCTGAGTAGCCGACCCCACCAATTCCCCAGTGTATGCCTCGTGGTCTAGGTCAACCAGCGCCGCCATACATCACGGAGCGGGGGTCAACTACTAAGCCACGCCTACCCCCGCTATTGAAGACCTGACCTCGTGGTGACCTGCCCTCTTTCTACCTACAGCCGCAGCCAGCAACACCACCTCCGCCTGCCTGGCGGTCCTCTCTCCCGCAGGAGAGCTTGGCGACCCACAAGCTGGTCCTCCTGTGAGCATCCTCACCAACCAGCTCTCTTTACATCACGCTTGTAACCATGCTGCCTTCCCAGCACCAAGCTGCATTGTACATCCAATACAACATGTATATAGAGAGCACATTGTGAGTTTCCTTTCTCCATTCCATCCTGAGTGTGAACCAAACATCCTGAACCCCACAAGATGTTCCAGTTTGGCCACCATACCCTCCTCGTTTGTTATGATGAGTTTTAGTGGCTTGGGTGTTTGCTCCCCTTTGTAATGTGCCGGGTCTCTAACATATTGGAACAGAAAATTATCTCTTAGAGTTTCTACAAAAAGAGTAGCAGGGTTATTCAAGTCCTCGTTTCTCCAGTCGATGTCGCCATAGTTAAAGTCCCCCATGATAAATTGGCTAGGGTTGAGCATCGCTGCGTTGTCTCTTAAGTTTCTTTGATTTAGTGGGCCACAGTTTGGGGATCTGTAGATACACCCAACAATAAGTAAGTCCCCTCCCTTTAATTTAATTTTACACCACTTGGCTTCCCTGTTGGACATTGTCAACGCCTTTTGCGCTACACCTTGCACAGGATGTAAGGAAATGCCCAATAAACTAGCCCCCTCGCGGGGTAAAAACAAAAAGTACATTCGACCAAGTAGTGCCCTTTGAGAAGTTTATACGCCTCAATTAGGTTACCCCTTGCTCCTCTGTAGTGTAAGCGAGGCATTTGCAGGCGTTCTAATCTTTGGGTAGCTGAGATTCCGTAGAGCAGGCACCAGTCTGGTGGCCCTCCTTTGGACACTTTTAAGCAATTTACAGTTTCTAGCATAGCATATCTCGGGTATCAAACGGGAAAGCGCCTCACTCTTGAAGATCTTGGTGAATAAGGTGGAGTGGAGTAGTGATCCGAAGATACATCTGTTCCAGATTGAAGAGCACAGTCTTCTCTCGCTGTAGCTTCATTGTAGAAAGTTGGGTTGTGTCGCGTTATTTCTTACTTGATATTCCTGAAACGGTACGAAGAGAAAACTTTCTCTTTCGACAGCTTTCTCTAAACCACACTATTAATTAATCTATTATTATAAACAATAAATTAATTTAATAGTATTTTGAAACGATATAGTAACGATATACTAACGATATAGTAAATAATAAAAAGACAATTGTACACTTCATAAAAATAGCAACTGTCAACTTTACGCTTAATGCCTGTCAACTATTTATAAAATTTAAAGTACCTGTATACTTTACTTTTGTCTATTTCCTATCGTCTCTTTTTTTTCGACGAGGTTACTATTTTGATTCTATGTACGTTTATTGATATACAGGAAAAGTTGTATTGGTTGAATTTGTTTTCCTGAATAAGCGTCGGTTACGTCGTCTGCTAAAGTCTGCAGGCAAGAGGTTCCGGCCAGGGACAGGGAGTGACAACGTTGACGCTCCTATTATTATTACTACAGCGACTCGAATTTCCTTATCTAAAATGAAGCTGTTTGCGGACATTAAGCAGTTAGCTCATCCCTACCACATCATAAATCTCTTAATGAGTATAAGTTATTTGTTGTCAAGATATATGCCAGGCCTATGTGAGTTGATATTCCCAAAGGAGCAGTGCGGCGAGCTGACCATGGTAAGTGAGTGGGTCAACCTTAGTTTCAGGTACAATTGTATCACTGTGTAGTTTAACTTTATAAAACAGACGGTTAATATTCGTCCATTGGCTGTCCGCAGTTGTCTCCTCCTTGTAGGTTAGGTTAGGTTAGGTTCGTTCCTTTGGTATGAGAATATTTTTTTTTGTATTTTTGGTGCGTGTTAAAAAATTTTGACCTCTATTTTTGTGCAAATTAGCGGTTTCCCTTAAAAATGAAAATGTATTTTTTTTGCAAAAAACGCCAATTTGCAAAAGAAATGAATGTCAGATTTTAGTAAAACACCGAAAAACGTGAAGAACAACCTATCTTTGTACCCAAACCTGAGGACAGGCAGTGGGCAAATATTTACCGCGCTTAGAGATAAACTGCCCAATTCACTCAAATTAAACCATGGACAAATACAGTATGTTAATATATAATGTTTATGTATACAGTATATGTAAATTTTAAAGGTAATTATATAGGACTAACCCACGAGCGAAATTGATTGAAAACAATTATAAAAACACAGGATTTTCATTGTTATATTACAGTGGACACTTTAGTTTGTGGAAATATGTTAAAAAAATTGATATTTTTTAAAATAAACGCTACTTAACATTTATGGGTATGAAGAACAGACCTCGCCAAACAAACCATACCTAACTTCCCAAGTATATTAAACAGAAAGAACTTATTATGATTTGGTGAAATTTGAGGCATTTTTTGAAAGCGAGATGATACGGCTGCGTCAGCGCTATGCAGCCTTGGCGGGTTACTCCTATATATTAACCATTTTCAATAAAAGAAAAAAAATTTATGCCATTGAAATAATCACACACTATCTTCTGATAGAGGCAGTTAATGCTATTACAGACAAGCTGTTCAAGTTGCCAACCAATTTACTACAGAAGGTGTATTTCCTTAAGTTCAATCATGTTTTGGGTGATTTATCTCATGAAATGAACCACTAAGCACTGGGTCATTCGCCCATTTATAGGTGTGCTGTGGTGTTTTTTGTGTCTATATTGTATTTTTGGTATTACACCCCTGTACAGTACTTAATAACTGTTCCACAACTTTATCATATTCGGTAATTTGTGAGAACGCCTATACCACCTGAAGGAGTTGTTCGATTTGATTCATTTTTCACGGATGTTCTAATCATTATACAGTAGTAAGTATTTTAAAGAGACAACTGCTTTTTATTTTAATTATTTATATATTTTTTTATTTCAGTTTTTCCTATGATCATAAATCACCTGTAGTGGGCAAGGCATGTAGGATGAGGGAAATTGCAGGGTAAAACACGGTGAAAAACATATGACACTAAAATATGTGTCTATGTACTTTGTATCTCAAGAAATGAATTATTTACTGTAAATAATCGAACAAAAAAATCTGCCGAGTTACTGCGTGTTGTTGTCTGCACTGTTTGTTTACAACCAACCTGCTCAGTCTGAGTGTACTCTGACGTTCACAAAAAACATAAAATTACTCCATGATGCTTTTATAAAGTTGCTTTCATTGGTACCATATATCAAAATAAGTAAATTACTTTCTGTTTAATATGGCTGGGGATCTGGAGTGCTCCGTCCCCAGGTTAGGGAGCTGGGTAATGTAATTAGGTAGGTTTCTTTGGTTGGTTAGGTGGTATTATTATCGTTTGGGTGACCCAGCGATTTATAGGATTTTAGGTTTTGGAATCGGTAGTTTAGACAATTCGTAGTTTCGTTTCTTCTGCAGCATTTCTTCCGCAAATGATTACTTCCGAGAAAATTATTGGAAATTTGTCAGGTTTTTCTAAGTTCTTGTTTTTTACCACTGCCCAAGAGGGCTCCTGTGTGTTCATTTGTTGGTTACTGTGCTGCATTACATATGTGCTATAGTGTGACATATGTGCTATAGTGTGACACATGTGCAGTTGTTCTTTGGATGTTGATTGGTGGGTATGCTTTTGGATTTACCAATCACAGCTCGGTATAGGCCCCTGCCGCCACCCGCTTGAATTTGAATTTATTTTCCATGATGTCTCCCTTGTGCAATAGCTGCCAATTCAATTACATGTACTTCCAAACCATCGCCAGATTTCACATCGATTATTACAATAAAGACTGAGGAGCGTGAAATTTCTACACGAACAAGGTGTTCTATCTACCGAAGTTACTTGTGTAAGGTGTAACAAGCCTTGTAGTTACCGAGCTGAAGAACACCTTTGGTACTTTCCGAGAAGAATTGTTATTCCCAAATCTAAAAAGAGGAGCCTAATTAAGGTAAGCACATTGGTGGATAGGTTAGTTTTAGGGTTAGGTTGGGCTTTGAATGATTCTGGCCTTCATTTCTATTGCAAATGACTACTTTTTTTTTATTTTCCCCCACCCAAAATCCTCTGGTTCCCACTAGGGGTCCCCCTTTATCATTGGATAATGGGTAGGTAGCTCAAAATGTAGTGATTTGTGGTAGAAATGATGGTCAGATTCATGCTAAATGTATCAAAACCATTGGAAAAACATATTTTCAACTTCCAAACAGGTTGATGATCGAAATGATGATTTTACTGGCTAGGTCAGGTTCTATTAGGTTCTAGTTAATGCTACCTCTTTTAAAATGCAGTATGGTACTTACTATAATGATAAGAACATTTGTTAAAAAAATTAACAAAATTGGACAACTTTTTCTGCTGCTAGCGGTGTTCTCATACATTACCGCACGTACCCATGGAACTTTTTCTTAAGAAGATCAAAGGGTCATATTGTATTTAATGGGCATAAAATCATGAGCATTCCTAAAATGAACCAAATTAACCTACCTAAACTTGAACTTTACCTAAACATTAATATATTATTTGGACTAGTTTGGAATTTCATATTTCTCTTAAAAAAACATTTCTGGCGCAAAATATATTTTATGATTACGTACAGTATTTTAACCGATATGACACCCCAATTACCAACAATATTAAAAAGAACACTAAACAAACCTTTGAAAACCTTACCTAACCATCTTCTAATCTATAAAAATTATAAAAATTGCTTTTGAGTTTATGGGTCCCCTGCTCATCTGAACACTGACCGCGAAACCAACACATACTAAACACCGAAAACAATAAGGTGAACATTTTATAGTTTTAGGATTTTTTTAGATTAGGTGAGGTTTTCAATGTTTGGTGCTCTTTTTAGTATTATACTCCACATTTTCCCTCCACAGTACTTCAAAGCCCTTCCCACTTTGAACAACCAATACAGTGACCCCTCGTTTAACGAACACCTCGGTTAACGTAATTTCGATTAACGAACTGCCTTCCATAAGGATCTTCAATTCGGTTAACGAAGTTCTTACGAACCGATCTCAACATGTTTTCGCTTGCACTGACCGGGCAACCAGCTTTAGTATCAGTCCGCCAATACATTAATCGGTTCTAGGGCTTAAATTGCTTACTATTTTAGTAAATATCAAGAAGTTTATACTATTCAATAATTTTAAAAGTTTAATATTCAATTTTTTAGTCATTTTAACAATTATTGAACATAATTGAAGGTAAAGTGACTAGTTTAATGCGTGGCATCCAGCCTCTTAACACAGCAAACAGGAGTTAGTCTCTGTTTTCACTGGAGGTAACATCTTGCTTGAGACTCTCTTCAACAAAATGCTTTTTTCTGTGTTTCCAAGCAAATTATTGGTCATTTTGAAATATATTTTACATATTGACAATATATAATGCAGTGCAGTGTTGATTTAAAGAAAATAATCTTGACTTACACCAAGAGAGCTAAAATTTTATGGGTGAAATGGCGCCATGGGGTGACTTCTCTTCCACCCCAATGCCTTCTCTTCTTCCTTCTCCTCCACCCCCATTCTAAATCCCATCATCATCATCATCATCCAGGAGCCTTCTACATACATACCTCAAAGTAAGTGAACTTTTCTACCATTTTTGTTGAATTTAGGAAATTTTCGGTGAGCTGGAACCAATTACCCAAAAACCCATTGAAACAATGGTTTCGGTTAACGAACGACCTTCTGGAACGGATTGAGTTCGTTAACGGAGGGGTCACTGTATTGTTGGTAATTGGGAAAGTTTTATTAGTTTAAATACTTGTACTCGAAAAACATAAATTTGCTGCAGAAACATAATAGAATAATTTTTTTTAATTTTGCCATTTCTTCCTATATGAATAGAAATAAGAAATTCATGTTAGACCTAAAATGAATCTTTACCAATTTAATAAATACTGCTATGTAACCATGTCTGATTATTTGGAAAGATCCCAGTTTTGTCAAATGTCAAAAATAGTGCTCGTGATTTTACGCCCAATGAATACAAGATTATTTATTAAAGAAGTCATGCCTTGTGGAAATGACAATAAGTGCACAGGGAATACTATTTGCATAGCATTACTGGGTGGCAACACTGATAATTACCCTGTTTCTGCCATGTTTGTCTGTTCAACAGTTATTTTGATAAAAATAATATTTTTCTTACCTGTATTATTTTAGGTTAGCCAATCTTTAGTAACTTGAGTTGGTTCATTTTATGAAAGATGAAGTATAGAGTGTACAGTACCAATATCTGGTACTTCTACAGTATTATGTGGTTGTAAAGTTAAGAAGTAGCAGATTGTGTTACCTAATCAGTCTAAGGAAGCTGTATCTTGTACACACTGACCATTACCTGTATTTTTTTTTTGAAACTTGGCATAGGTACTCAGCCATTTAATTTCTTCCAACAGTGGGAGTCAGAGGTGTTGTTCTTCATGCTGGTCATAATTATGTTCAGAACTCGCAAGAGTGGAAGCCGGAACATGGTTGCCTACATTTCTGTATTCAATATGTATGCCAAGGTTTGCAGTGGTCTCTTATGGTTCACTGCTGACACAATGTACGGCATCATCTACCTCATATTGGCCATCAGTGAGTACATGTGTATTATTGAAGGCTATACTACACTATACTATATGTTCAGATGTTTCACACTGCAAATGTTTTCATTTATGAATTGGAGAGAGAGAGAGAGAGAGAGAGAGAGAGAGAGACAGCCAAGGATGTAGTAGAAATAAAATTGCAATGACCATCATTGCTTTTGGGCATGAGATGGTGCTCAGATGTAGAGCTTTAGTAAATAATAGGTATTGCTGGAATACCTGATGGATTGTAAAATATACAGAGTATGTAAAAGTGCACATCTCATTGACAGTATTCTTGGAGCAGGTTCATTTTAAACACCTGGATTTAGAATAAAAAAGTGTACAGTAAGATTTCATATTCAGTATAAAAAGTCTCAATGAATTTAGAAGTACTGTACGGGTATTTTTAAAGTATTTCTCACACTATTTGACCCTTTGCAGTTCATTTCCTGGTTGTTGGAGAGCCTGTATATGAGGGTCCAGAGAAAGTAATATATTTCCAAGGTAGAGAACTGGATGAGGAATTGGCAAGAGACAAACATTGTGTTTGGTTCATCACTTTCTTTACTGCATGGAGTCCTGCCTGTTCCAGCCTGGCTCCCATATTTGCCAAACTTTCTGCTGAGTAAGATTTATCTTTTCTATATAGTATGGTATCTAACTGTAGAACAAGTAGCCTACAGAATTTTACATATCCTCTGAGATATTGTTGAGGAAGCAATATGTTGACTGTCACTCAGAAATGCAGGGTACTGTATTGAATTTAACTAAAAAAAATTTTTTTGCATCAAACCGATTATAATAATAAAAAACATAAAAGTGATCTGTACTTCAATTTTTTTTATAGGATTCAAAGTACTATGGCAATGAAGTTGAATACTATTAAACAGTAGTTTATTATTTCCTGGCCAAATGTGCATCAGATACTGTACACAAAATGCATGAGTTAGTTGGTGAAAAAAAAAGAGATGTGTACAGTTATACAGTAAAATACCAACTTGTACATTTTCAGATACCACTCACAAATAATCAGAACCACGAATACTTTCTTTATAAATAACAAGGGATAAGTGTAAAGTGTTGTAATTAAAAAAAAAAAGAGAAGCTTAATTTATGTGTCGCTTATGATATACAGTACCTATGAATCCTTATTGCCTAAAATAATTGAACTTTTTGCACAAATATCTCGTATCCTTTTTGGTGCCTCCACAATGCATAATTAAGTCTTCATTTATCTCTTTAATATATTATATACCTAAATGGTGCAAGCAAACAAGAAGCTGAAATTTATTTACATCTTCAGGTACACTCTAGATAACTTCAAGTTTGGCAAAATTGATGTTGGACGCTATCCAGATGCTGCCAAACATTATCATATCAATGATAGCACTTTCTCTCTCCAACTTCCCACCATCTCAATCTTCAGAGAGGGCAAGGAGGTTGATAGGAGACCTTGCTTAAATGCACAGTCAAAATTTCAGAAGTTTTACTTCACAGAGGTAAGATCAGTTTAATGGCAGTTTTCTTTCCGTTTTTAAGAAAAATTCTGAGTGTTGTCTTAATTATACAGTATATCACAATTAATTTCATAAATCATGTACTGTACAGGTATTCCTTCAGATACGTACGTTCAAGATACAAAAATTTACTTATACAAATTTTCAAAATAGACGCCACTATCGTGTTACGAAAGCTTTCCCCGCCTATACGAATTTGGGTTCCGGCAAAAATTAAAATCGCATGCCTCAGGATGTCAGCTGGGATGGCCACACACCCCTAGCACTCTCTCTACCAGGCTGAGGTAGGAGTTATGTTATGACTATTTTCAACTCTTAATTTCGGGTATACAGTGACCCCTCGGTTAACGAACTCAATCTGTTCCAGAAGGTCGTTCGTTAACCGAAAAGTTCGTTAACCGAAACCATTGTTTCAATGGGTTTTTGGGTAATTGGTTCCAGCTCACCGAAAATTTCCTAAATTCAACAAAAATGGTAGAAAAGTTCACTTACTTTGAGGTGTGTATGTAGAAGGCTCCTGGATGATGATGATGGGAATTAGAATGGGGGTGGAGGAGAAGGAAGAAGAAAAGGCATTGGGGTGGAAGAGAAGTCACCCCATGGCACCATTTCACCCATAAAATTTTAGTTCTCTTGGTGTATTTCAAGATTATTTTCTTTAAATCAACACTGCACTGCATTTTATATTGTCAATATGTAAAATATATTTCAAAATGACCAATAATTTGCTTGGAAACACAGAAAAAAAGCATTTAGTTGAAGAGAGTCTCAAGCAAGATGTTACCTCCAGTGAAAACAGAGAGAGACTAACTCCTGTTTGCTGTGTTAACAGGCTGGATGGCACGCCAGAAACTAGTTTCTTTACCTTCAATTATGTTCAATAATTGTTAAAATGACTAAAAAAGTTAATATTAAACTTTTAAAATTATTGAATAGTATAAACTTCTTGATATTTACTAAAATAGTAAGGAATTTAAGCCCTAGAACCGATTAATGTATTGGCGGACTGATACTAAAGCTGGTTGCCTGGTCAGTGCAAGCGAAAACATGTTGAGGTCGGTTCGTAAGAAATTCGTTAACCGAATTGAAGATCCTTATGGAAGGCAGTTCGTTAACCGAAATTTCGTTAACCGAGGCGTTCGTTAAATGAGGGGTCACTGTACAGTGTTACATGCATATCATAACTTACTTTATATTTTTTAATTCAGTTACATGCACACACAATCCTACATACATAATGTGTAAAAAAAAAGTACAAGAAACAAAAGGAAAAAACATATTTGTGTGTGAGTGAGGGAGGGAGTGTTGCGGGTCTGCAAAAGTGGTCAGGCTAGTTGCTATGGCGACGCTTGAGGGAGGCCACATGTGAAGCAGACAGTGTTTATGCAAAGGGGGCCACTGGCGGCTGTGTTAAACTTTGATTTACTTTTACCTTTATTCTCATTACCACTAATTGTCTCATTAGCCACTTGGGCGGTCTGTCACATCTCTGTTGTGCACTGTTGGAAAGTACTGGGCATGCACTGGTTCTTGAATGTATCTGAACATGCTCCAGTGTTTGTCATGTCTGGTCTTGAAAGAGCTCACATTCGGTGCCGTCGCAACACTCTGGCAGGTTCTTAAAAGAATTCACAATTTTCATTCTGAAAAAGTTTGCCCATCAGTTTTCTGGACTTGTGGCTTCTTCAACCTTGAGCTGTAACCCCTTGTTGGGTGAGCATCCGCCAGCTCCAGGTAAGGAAACTCAACTGAGTAGTGCCCTTCAGTTAGGTCTCCCCTTGCCCTTCTGTAGTATAAGCTGGGCAATTGCAGGCGCTCTAATCTCTCAGTGTAACTGAGGTGCAGAAGTGCAGGCACCAGTCTGGTGGCCCTCCTTTGGACATTTTCAATGGACTGACAGTCCTTAGCATATCTTGGGGACCAGATGGGGTGACAGTCCTCCAGGTGGGGAAGCATCTCACTCTAAAAGCTTTTCCTTAGTAGTTTCAGCTGCATATTTTCATTTAGATTGAGGCTGGACCCCACTAATCCAGGACCTGATAGTCCGGCAGCTTCAATGGTTTTGGACTGTGTTTGAATCTGGCTGTCGTTTGCGTCTGTCTTAGCTCACTTCTAGTGCTTGTTGCCACTGTTTTACTTTTAAATACTTATAGTTCACCCCTAAATATGCCTCCTAAGAGACCAGCAAGCAGTGGAAGTGGTTGTAATGCAGCAAAATGTAAACATGTGTCATAAACTATTTTAGAAAAGGTGTCTACAGTATACTGAAGAAATTAGACAGTGATACATTGGTCAGGGCCTTGTGTGCAGAATATGGTGTGGGTTCATCGACTGTGTACACTTTGTCATAAAGAGGTCCAATAAGGCTGGGCTAGATTTATGCTGATATACTAAGTTGTATTGGTACCAGTAATAGTACATTTTATGCATTATTTTGCCTTTTTTTAACCTCTGTTTTGATGGTTCAGAATTTTCGCTAATCCAGAACCAGTCAGGTTCCAAACTTTCCTGATTAGCGAGGTCCAACCTGTAGTATTTTGTTTATATTTTTAATGTGTTTGGTAGTAAATTACAATAGTTGTGTACTATTTATTATTAGTTAGGTAGGTATTTTTCTTGTTTGTGAACCGATTTTTTTTTTTTTTTTGGATATGATATTGTGGTATTTTTTCATTGGGAACCGTACTTTATTTTTCTCATGTTTTTCTATTAGGGATACGAAAATTCATATACAGTGGGGTATGCTGTAACGAACGGATTCTACTACGAATATTCCTATAACGAATGGTTTTACCTATAAAATTGAGAATGCTATAACGAACGAAACTCCTACAACGAACATTTTTTTTTTTTTTTTTTTTACTAATTTATTGTTTTTTATTACAAGTATTAATGATATTCTTTATTTCAGGGGTTTAGATGCATATTTATGCACTTTTTTACAATTTTTACTATTTTATATTATATTTTTCAGTGTTAAGTGGTTGTATTTGGAGGCCTGGAACGGATTAATCCTATAACGAACGAATGCTATAACGAACAAGGTTCTTGAACCAATTAGATTCGTTATAGCATACCCCCACTGTAACTTTCTTTTTGGGGGGGAGTTAACCTATTTGTATCTTGAGGGATACCTGTACCTACATTAAATAAAAAAGTAACCGAGTGCCATATCCTGTCTATGTTAACATAATTTTTAGGTACTGATTTAGTAAATTTATAAAAATTTTGTGTACAATTGTCAGTGGTTTAGGTCAAGTAAGCCAAAGGATTTTAGATGATGCAGCTGAGGATTGGGATTGCGAATGAGGAAAATCATTTGAAAGAAAGTTTACGTGTAAGTACTATGTAAATTTTAGAATGTTGGTTTTAAGATTGAAAGTGGACATGGTTTTTATGCATGATGGTCACATATGCACTGTAGTACACTATGATAGCAGGATGAAATTAAGAATGATTTGAAGGTAATTAGAAGAAGAACATGAAAGTGTAAGAGAGAGAGACTAATTGTGATGGGAAAGCAAGCATAGATTGCCAATGGAGTAACTGGTATGTAACTGGAGAAAAAGAGAAGGAAAGAATGAATGAAGGCTACATTAATTGTATGGAGGAAGCTCAAACAAATACACATGACTTGAATTTAGGGAAGACAGTGGAGAGCAGTGTGTTAGATGAGGTTTTTGGTAGCATAATTAAAGCGAGATTGATAGGATGTTTTGACGGAGGCCTTTCGGATCGTGTATTAGTTGTGTGTAAGATCGAATCGGAATTAGAAGTGATGAAACAAGGGATGTCCATAAGAATGCAAGGAGGATATACAGTACTTATAGATGTTGAAAGATATATAAAATGATTTTCTAAAGAAGCTTGGCAAAAAGAGAAAAATGTAGACTTTAAATAAATGAAGGGCAGCATTGTGTAAACACGAAGAATGGCTATTGGAAGTAGGCAAGGAGATGTTTGAGTGTAACGATTATATGATAGACTTTAGGACATTAAGGAAGTGATGGATCAAAAAAATTATTAAAAACAGATAAGTTGGATAACCTGTATAGTGAAAAAGGGATGATGAATGAGGAGTACGTATAAGGTTTTGACTTGTAAGAGCAAGTGAAAGTGAATAGATGACTTAACAAGAGGGTGAGAAAAATGATAAATTGTTTTGGAGGGTAGAGAATGCAAGAGGTAATGCTGATGGAGATATAAAGTGAGAGTTGGGGATAAATGAAAAAGAAAGGAGGTACTGTACAGGTACAGTAGGACTAAATGTTAGGAAAAATTGGATTAGGTACAGAGGAGGAAAAGAAATAGCTTACAAGAGAAAGCATGGCAAGCATAATACAGGCTTACTGAAGTACTGTAGTAGTACAGTCAAGAGATGAAGAGTTGAGTAGTAAATGAATTGATTAAAGGTGGGAGTAAAATTTTGGGTAAATTTGTATGTCTAATGCAAACTATAGCATGTCTATATTCAAATTAATCACTGTCTTACAGGAATTCCAGCAGTGTCAATTATATTCTTCCCGGTCACTTCTGTGACATTTTATAAACAAAAACTTAATGTAAAGGACATAAATAAACAAATAAATACTTCACTAGACCCTCTGCCCCAACTGTCAAACGTGTCACTGTCACCCCCCCCCCTCATCTTCCCAGCCAGGGTTGGGTAGTTATAGGCTTACAGTTTTTATCTTATATAATATCACAGACTAAAGTTAGGAGAATATAATTTGCATTGCTAGAATCCTTGCAAGACGGTGAATAATTTGAATATAAACATCATATATTTTGCACAAGGGATAAATTTTTAGCCCTTTGTAATAAAATTAATTAGAACATGTCAGTTCAGTGACATTTTATAAGAGAAAAACTTAGTCACTCTTAAAGACAGATAAATAAATAAGTACTAGACCTTGCCATCAACTGTCTCCTCCCCCCATCAGCTGATCCCTAGTAAACAGTCCATTTCACATCTCATAATTTTAGCTGTGTTGATCTAGGAGTGTTTGTTTTAACATAGTAATACTACAAAAAACAATGTTTTGTTTATTCTAGGAGATGGGCTGAGTTGCATCTGGGTAGACTCTCAGTCTTTTTAGTATTTTGTGTTTCAAGTACCAAACTAAATTATTCCATTGAAACAACACTTCGATTTAGTGCAAATTCGATTTAAAGCGACCTCTCTTGGAACGTATCTCGTGTTATATCGACGTTCTACTGTACATAGTAATAGATCAAGGCTTGGAAGTTTTGGAGGATTAATAGGATATGGAATGAATATTTTAGAAGAATGTGTAGGTTTGAAAGCATGCTGAATGGATGAGAGCTGTAAGTTACATGGTGTTTTAAGGGGTTATAGGTGGTTATAAATTGGTACAGAAGAGTTATGAGTGTAAGGTTGGAGGTATGAGGTCAAGAGGAAGACTGAGATGAACAGTCTATTGAAGTGAATTTGTAACTTAAGGGAATTTAGATAATGTTAGATTATTTTTTTCCATTGTATATAGTGGAGTAATTTCACATTAATGAATTTTTGTAGTATGTGACCACAATAACTTGACTTTGTGTGTGTATTTAAGTGATAAACAGTTTTTTGTAATCTGTTTAGAGTTTCAGAATTCACATTATAGACAAGTTGAGCAGCAGAAGTGGGTTTCAGTGTTCTTACTTGTTCTTTTAGCCCTTTCTTGATGCTTTGCACACTCTTCTTTCATCACTCTCATACCCTTTCCTCCATATTTATGGGAATAGATGAAATAGATGAGAAATAATAAGTGTGGTGGTTCACATTCTACCCTCCAAAACAATTTATCATTTTTCTCACCCTCTTGTTAAGTCATCTATTCACTTTCACTTGCTCTTACAAGTCAAAACCTGAATGTCTGTATGGAGTATCAAAGGTTTATAGGTACCCTGTATTGATATATATTTGTAAAATTTTAATGAAAACACTTGTGATGTTATTCTAACTATATATATCTATTTTTTTTAAGGATAATATAAAGGCAGCACTTGATATGAACAACATTTATATGGAATGCATTAAGGTTCTAGAAACAAAGAAAGGAAAGAAGGAAGGCCATGTTAAGTCAGAGTAATAGAAATATTAGTGTGAGTGCAATCGAGAAAGAAGGAAATGTGTAATGCTGGTTAATGCTTTGAATATTTGTGCCAATTGCACTAGTGAAAGAAGAAAGAGCATGTGAAGTTGAAATAATCAACTTAATGTAGTAAAGTATTTGCCAACAGTTGAACTTGGGAAGTAAGTACAGTAATTAAAGTTGTGAATCACTGCTGTTTATTACATTTGAATCAACCAGACATACCCGGTAGATTTCCTGGTGATTTAAGATAGCTAAATAGTATTCACTTCTGTGGTATGTTGTTAGTTCCAACCAATTGATAATTCACTAGAAAATTTATAAGTTATGCCATCATCTGGAGTGGCTTGTTACTCCACTTTGCATGGACAATTTAGTATCAAATTGAGAATACCTTGTAATTGAAAATTGAAGAAAAATTAAAAAAAGTGAAATTTTTGAAAAGTATAAACTACTGATTGTTGGATGATCATTATCATAAGAAAGACTTGGTATTCAAACTGCCATGACGAACTATTCAACTTATTGTTAAGTGCGAATGTAGATCGTGATCCAAAATTTTGTTGTTGTTTAGGAGTGAATCAACATGTCTACACCAGATGTATATGAAATTGTGAAGTGTTAAGCCTTTATGTGTCCAGAAAGTATTTACTGTACAGGCAATGGCTACTAATAATAAGTGATATTATTTGCTGATCAACGTTATTAGATGAACAAAAAATAAGGCATGATCATACGAACAATGGATAAATTAGCTTTAAAGTGAATTCATATACTGTAAATATCCAAAAGCAGAAAATAAGAGAAGAAATTTCAAAGAAAGAACTGCATGGAAAAGAAAGTGAGGAATGTGCAAGAATTCTGTCACTGAAGGTAGCAGTGGAAGAGGTAGGTTGTAGTAGCTCAAGGAATGTTTCACTGCATTTTGTTAGGATAATGACAGGCTTACTGGACACATGTGGTTGAAAAGAAATGCAAACAGAAGTGGAAGAGGGAATTGGGAAGGAATCCAATGGTTATTAATTTTTGAATCTGTTTCCCAAAGTAATGTATTTTCAATTTTAAAATTCCCTCAAAATACCTGTACTGTCAGCTGACCTAGCTTGTGTTGGTCACCGACTGTTCATATTTAATCTTATCCGATATTTTATTTATAACATTACTACAGTACCAAGTTGTACCAGAATTGAATTTGAAATAGAGGACTTAACATGCTTACTACAATCACATCTGCAGACTCATAGACATTTGGATGATGACAGATATATTCTTAACATATGTTCTCAGTGATTTATCTTGATGCTATATGATATATATTTACACCATCTAATACAGAACAGTGTAAGGAAAATATTTATGCTTTAAAAATAGAAGTGCTTTGCATTAATAATTTCAATATATTCACTTATGTACAAGGATATTATGCCAGTTTCTATTGTCAAGAGTATAAACTAGCACAAATACATTAATCATGCTTTGCACAAGTACAGTATCTTTGTCATACACAGAATGATCCCAACAAAATCCAGTTTTGCACACACCACCTTTTCATTCTACTTATTTAATGAGCATTTACATGTTATTTCTATACATTAATGCAAGGGTTTTAATTTTAGTTATGTTAATCCAAACAGTTAACAATTTATAAAGATGATAGTTGTTTGAGAATGAAGTGACAAACAAAAACTTAAAAGTTTCAAACTGTATATATACTGCACTTAGTGTATTGTATACTGTATATTTGCACATATCAATGCGAACACTTGTATACTTAAGGAAATGTAACACCTCTCTCAAGGTAGGATCCACTAGGTGAGCTAGATGCCTGTCAGTTTGATGTAGGGTCTCATGAATTGAGTAATTTTACCCAACTGATTTCATTCCCTGTATTTTGTAAGAGCATAAATACTTTGCTTGGACATCACGGAATCACTAGTTTACCTATCAGCCAAGAGTTGTAAAGCCAGGTATGATTGTATATACCGTATAGTATATGTAAAATCTCGTTTTCTTGTACAGATGTTATTGTGTAAAATAAAAGTATTTGGTCTTTAATAAGATATCCTTTCTTTACTGTATTGTACTTTTCTTTGTACATTGCCTATTGATGTTACATATAGCTATGGGAAATAGGGGTTAGGAATAATCTATATTCATGGAATCAGTTGAGTGTGACATTTTTTTACAATATATTTTAGAAGATTTACACATTTAAATGAAGTGATACAAGTACATCAAAATTTGCATTTAGTCAAGAGCACTTTGTGGTGGACTAAATTTTTACTAAAGTGTTGTCTGTAATTCCAAGGAGAACTGTATTTATTGCTGATACTAAAAAAAGTTTAACCCTCAGGGCCTGAGTGATGTTCCAGAACGTCTGCCTGTTCCTGCCACAATTTTTTTAGTTTATTTTTCTCGGGGGAGGGAGGGGGGGGGGGCATGCCAGCAGCACCTTAATCTGGGGCTTAGGGTTGACCAGTTATCTATCTTGTATTTGAGTTTATTTTTGAAAAGGAATGATATATATAATTTTTATTTTTTTTTGTCTACTCAATCAAAGATGTGAATTACACGAATGCGCTTGGGAACTTCGTGTTTCCTTGTGGTTATCAGCATATACTTGGACCACGCACACCTACAGTGATTTACTTGCACACACACACAGTAGTAGTACCCCGATTTACGCGGTCAATTGAACCCACAGGGTACCGCGGAAAGTGAAATCCGCTTAAATGGAACAACAGAACATATGGGATTAATTCCAATAGAGACTGGCCCGACCCCCAAACTCCACTTTTTGACGACACACAACTATGTTGTAGTAAAAATTTTATCTTAACGTTATGATGGTATGCACAAACAAGTAATATAGAAGAGGTTAGGTTAGGAAAAATAAAGGTTAAGTTAGGAAAAATAAAGGTTAGGTGTAACACTTAACACTTACGTTAGTAGAAGAGATGGGTCGGCATACGGGGCCTGGAGGGATGAAATTGCCGCAGCTAGGTCAAGCGTCGTCTTTCCTCCCCCCCTGGGTGGACACGTCATATTACTTTAAACCAATTACAGCTAGCAGCAGAGGGGGGGTAGGGTTGCATGGCCAATCACAGTCCGATACGTCATATGATGTCAGTGATAACGCAACAGAGACATGCACTGTGCAACCTTACCGCGCGGCTTGCCCAGGCGGAGGCGAATCTAAAAATAGCGTCGAGCCGGACACTGCGCGTATATGGGCAGATGAACCGCGGAAAGTGAAAGTTCGGTTCTGGCGAGGCACCGCGTACATGAGAAATCGCGTAAAGTGAAACCGCGTAAAGCGGGGTAATGCTCTGTACAGTAAATTTTTAATCTTGTATACCTTTTAAAATGGAATATATTTTAAAAGGTAACCTACTGTATGGTCTGATAATAAAATTGAAAGGTGCTATGGATACAAATAAATTACTGAGATGAATCTTTCCCAGACATATCTTGTACTATCCTACATTAAAATTCAGTAATTAATAATGCTGAAGGTAAAAGTAAATGTATACCCAACTTAATGCCGTCAAGTGATAATTAAGTTGACAAGTTATTAAAATTCTTTACCGAAGGTACCATAGTATATTACCCATGTATTACAAGGGAGGGAGTAGACAACATATTCAGTAACCATTATTTCGCCCTATACTGTACTGTATACAATACCCTCAAGATTTAATATTTAGCCCAAAAATTTACTGTACAGAGCAGTGTACAGTAACTAAAATGGCAAGGGCTGTTCTGGTTGTATGACAATGGTCTCAAAAGCTCTGAGGCTAACTGTACACTCATTTTATTTCACAGGTACTGTATGTTTCCTACAAATATCACTACAGTACTTTAATTTGTAGTATTTTGCACTCTATAATTAATCGATACTTTACCCTTTACATTATAAACTGCAATACCTGTACCAGGTATTTATATTTTTCTGTACCCAAATTAAATATTAGAATTGCAAAGCTTCAAACTTTGACACCTCCACTGATGGCGAGTGTAATTTTAAATTTATTTGCTTGTTTTCGTTGTTCATTTCTTCTCTTTATTATATTGTTTAGCATACAGTACACAGTTTTGTTTTACATTTTAAGAGCTGGAAATCTTGGGCTGGGAATGTATTGAGATACTGTACTACGTGTATTTCAGTGGGAAGACATGGTTTGTATAATGTAATTTTGCCTACCATAGTGTTTAAAAGGAATTCTTGCCCTACACTATATTAAGCGGGGTATACCTATATTATTTTTTTTAATTTAATAAAATATTGCTGGTGGGACATTACAAAATTACCTTGTATACATACAGGTATATCTATTTTTTATCAGTTCACTTTATCTTACTACAGTACTGTACCTACCTACTTGGCATTGACACAAGTACATGTATTAAATTTTTAGTGTTGTATTGACAAAGAGAATTCCTGAAATACATAACTAATGTGTTATTTGTTAATATACAGGACTAATTAAAAAAGCCTTTGTTATATAACTGATGCAAACAAGAACAGTGGATATAAACTGCTATTGTTTGAATGTATCATGATAAAAATTTAATTAATAATTAGTAAGTACATGGCCAATAATAAAAAGATTAACATCAACAATACAGTATTTTCATTTTTTTTCTGAATTTGGGATAAATCAAGATTTTTATGTACAATTTTACATAATTTTTGGAATACAGTATTAGTGAAAAGAAATGCAAAGAATAAATAACAAAACTAGGAAATTCAATTTGCTGTAGGATTTCCTGTCTTTAAAAATAAGTTCTTGCTTTGAATAAGTAATGAGGACTTCAATATAGTAATACTCAAGGCACCTATTGGATGAGGTACAGATGTTTTTGTCCAAACATATTAAGAAAAAAAAATTCCAACTACCCATCCATGATTCAAACCTACTGTACATCATGGATACTGTTATTCCAAGACTTATACCATATGAACATCGGCCATTACAGGAAGTGTCATGCCTAGTGGCTGAAAGGTGACAAACTCGGCATGGTGTCAATGACATTTGGTCAAAATCCAGAAAGAAACATGAAACAACATTCACAGCAAATTTCTATACCATTACTGTATATGGACTCCAGTATGCTGTCCACTAAAAATTTATTAGTTACCACAAATCCTGAATAACCACAGATCACAACCACATTAATCCATTTGGAGAGTGGAATATGTCATGTAATGGATATAGTATCTATGGGTTAGATGTAAAATTTTATTAATTGGTGACCAAATGGTATTGTATAAGCCTCAGGTTGATGGTGTCCATGACCTAGATTTTGGAAGGATAGCCAAAACATTATTATGCATGGAATATGCATATTGTACTGTATTTCATCACTGTGCTATACTGTTCATATATAATGTACAAACCCAATACAATTTCCTGCCAAGATACAATTAAAAGTTACAAGGAAACCCAAAAGGATGCAACGCACACATCCAAACTAGACTGCATTCAGACTGGAATACCCGAGCCATGCAAGAACTATGGTCTCCACAGGCAAAGTATGACTAAGAGCTGGTGGCTAACAGTCAAATGGTATAAACCTCAGCATGCATGGTATCCATGATGTTCAGTTAAATGCAAGATGGAGACCTGAAATACTATGCACGGGTGTGTGTATATAAACTGTAATACTGTATATGTCATGTAATGAATGTAGTCTCCATGGGTTAGATGAAAATTTTAGTAGCTGGTGTCCAAATGGTAAATGCATTGGCATGGTGGTGTCCATGACCGAGATCAAGTTACCTGGCCTTGAATGAATGAAGGGACAAGAGATAGTGCACAACCATCCTCTAGGCTATCTGCACCTCCCTAGCAAATTTCAGCTTTATCTTCAAAACTGTGGACTGACCTGCCCTTTGCGGAGGGACAAGAGATATTGCATGACCATCTCCTTGGCCACCCACACCTTTCTTCGAAACTGTGGAAGATCCATTGGTTGGATCCTGCAGGGCTGACCCTGTGGAGGGACAGGAGATAGTGCACAACCATCCCCTAGATTGCAACTCACATTTTTCCCTCCCCTGCAGATAAGAATGGAATATTGTTCATCTACTAGACAAGCACTACATCTTGATGGTGGATTATTGTCTTGCATTTACAAGATAACCTTAGATACCCAACACTGTAAGGTCCAACTGTATGCCAGATTTGAAATATTTTAAGTTTTCTGAGCAAGGTCACTTCCCATGCTTCCTCCCTTCCCACTTGAAACATTGGAACATTGCCAAGCTGAACTTTCCCAAAGATACATTATGATTGTTTAATGGTGTACACCAAAGACATTTAATTTACTTACAAAAATAACACAATACTATGTAGATATACAGTATATATTGTTGGGAGGGGGGATTTTAATTTTGGCGAGGCTTTGCATAGAGGTAGGCAGATATGATTTGGGCATGCGTAAGGAATTGGCGAGATCAATTGGTCAAGATTAATGTGGGAAGAGGTTGTAAGAACCTGACAAGAAAGGCTACAAGAACTGTGTAGTGTGGAGAGCTGCCATCAGGCAATTGTGGCTAACCCTCACAAGTGTGGAAAATGGCACTAAAATACCTGTAATAATGATGATGCAACTAGACTTTCTCACCTCCTTGAATCTTTTATAGCAATTTTTGTTGTCTTCTCTCATTCTGGGTGTACTACCCGGTAAGTACTGTAATTAAAACACATCAATTCCAAGAGAAAATGTTTTTGGCCCAAAAATTATCAAAGCTAGTATTGGACCGTTTATTTGGTGTCCTGATATCTGGAAGACTCCAAAAACCAACTACAGTATGTTCTGGAACAAATTATTTAAAATGAGTGCCAAAAGTAATTCCCAGGCTGAGCGGAGGTATTTCCAACCATTTCCCACCTGTGAGCTATGTTATGCTATGGTTATTTTTCTACTTGTAAATTTGGATAGATACAGTATAGTATGTAATTTATTTATTTAATTTTTACTCGGTTATGCAGAAAGTTCTATCCCATATATTTTAAATATTGTTAGAATAGTGTAATTACAGGCACCTGTACTAACCGTGTTATGTGCTTAAAGACCTTCGTTGTTGAAGCGCAGTGAAGCAGTAACATTATAACAACTCTGTTACTTGCACACATAATCCTACATACAAAAAGTGCAATAAGAAACCAAATAAATACTTATCATAAGGTATAGAAATTAACGTATCTATGGGTTATCATCCCTGAAGCTGTGTGGTGAGTGTGAGTGAAGAGGTTGGAAGGTCTGCAGCAGAACACCTTTGCTAAGGCGAGTATCATGGGTGCCTGCAACACAGTTTGTATACTAACTAGTATAATTTTTTTTCTTTGAATGCTTTCATTATTACTGTACCCTGTACTATTTATACACTTTCATTATTGCTGTTTATGTGCCTACAATTTTAAGTTTTAATGTTACAGTGTACAGTTAAAGCGACTGTACTTTTAGGTGTAAATCTAGTAATGTGAACAGAGGCTTCACAGCCAGTAATATACTGTCCATTTAAGGCCTGGCGTTCCAAAATCCAGCAACCCCCAGGTCCCAAGTGTGCCGGATAAATGGTTCCATACCTGTACAGGTCTTACCCTATTTATGAAAGGGGTTATGTTCCCAAGGGGTGTCTGAGGGCTTCAAAACCTCTTGTGAGAGTAAATGGTGAGGAAAGTGAGGCCCCTTTATTTATCATGGAATTAGAAGTACTAATGCAAGATTTTAAGAGTGGTCTACCCTGGAAGTTGTAGGCTGATTAGCAGATAGTACTGAAGAGATAAAGAAGTGATATAAGAACTGGTACGATGGAATGGAGTCAAAAGTTATGAAAGTGAATGGTGAGTGAAGGACCTGTGGTGGAAAATGGTCATATGCTGTCTGAAAGGGTGTTGGCAGTAATTCAATATGCAATGAGTGTGAAAGATGGGTATACTAGAGATGCATTGGTGTAAATGGCAGACTGCTGAATTTGTGTGTGCTGTTTGTTCAGATAATCATGTGACCTTAAGCCAGAAAAAGCTTGACAATGGTGGTATCTTAATGGACTGTGTTGATTTCTGTTACCTGGAAGACATGATCTGTGGTGCCAAAGCTACCTCAGGTGCAAGAGTTAGAAGTGTCTGGTAGTAGTTTCGGGAGTTGTTGCCTTAATTGACATCGAGAAGACCTTCTCCTCACTTGAAAGGAAAGCTGTATGTAACCTAAGTCAGAAATATTTTGTTGTATGGCAGTGAAACACGGACAGTTACTGAAGATAACAGCTGTTGACTTGATCAAACTGAAATGAGAATGGATAGATGGATCTGTAATGTCATGTTGAGAGATAGACAATCCTGTTCAGAGATAAAAAGGTGGTTGGGTACTGAGAGTCTTGGTCAAGTTATGCACAGAGGTTTGCTGATATGGTTCTGGCAAGTGGAAACCAATTAGATCAAGTGACGAGTTTAAATATGGAGGGGAGGAGAGATATTGTTGAGCCAAGAATGACTTAGGAAGGGGTTATGAGAAATTATATCAGGGATAAATACCTGACTAGAGAGGTTGTAAGAGATTGCACAGCCTGGAGAGTTGCCACCAGGTAATAATTTAATGGACGTAAAATGTCGATGACAATGATGACTGCAGCAATTAATTTACTTATTTTACCTTATTTTTGTACATTAAATTCTTTCTAATATTTTCTGATAAGTACCTTATTACAGGTATTTACATAATTATTACCATGCCGGATTTTTGTAGGGAAAATCTGCTTAATAGCAGTACACCATTAAACAATTTTATTTGTAATTTTTATCATAATCAAAATACTATACAGTATTACACATTACTGATTAGTTTAATTTCTGCAATCTTGCTCTTTATTCTGGTTTTCTAGTTACAAACTTAAGGGAAAATCTACTGGTCTAAAATTTCCAAAGCAATGAATGAAAGCACAGGTACTTTAAATACCATAACACTAAATACTATACAGAATGGTTATTTTAACACAAGGTAAACATAAGTGTGTTGTTTTGAGTATACACAGTAAACATTTATCAAACAATAGTGACTGATAAGAAAACATGAGAACATCTGCATAAATTGCACTTGCTTTTGTCTTAACACTCTCAGGATTTTGCCTCCTCTCTGTGGCCAGCCGCTCATGTTCCACACTCCAGCAGTCTCCCTCACACACTACACCCATGTGTGTCAGATAACTACAATTTTAGTCATAGCATGCATACTATGAGATAGAAACATGGGGTTAATACCAAGAAAATTGCAAGTTAATTATCTATAAATAGTATAAGATAAGTACATACAATAAAATATGTTTTTCATACAAAAGCCTATGTTGAGGAAAAACTATCAGTATGCACAAGAAAAAGGTTTATACATGACATTATACCCGCATTATTATATGTGCTCAGAACATTAAATTTGTTCCTTGGTAATCCTTACATGTTTAGCACTGAACAAATGTGTACAGTATACTGTATTTCAATGCGTAATGGCATTTCCTGAGGATATAAAAATTTCCTATAAATGAATTTTTATTTCTGATATGGCAACAATGATAGCTGCAGTGGTGTGTGCATACAGGCAGGGAAGCTGCCAGATGTATGAAAGTGACAATACAGGTATGCGTATCTAGCCGACAATAAACAATTTTAAACATTTTTTTTATCACCACATGTTCATATGGCTTTTTGCATATGAAGACCCCAAGATGATAAATTCTTTCATATGTGTTTATGGGTATGAAGACCCTGAGAGTGTTAAGTCTGTAGGACCCAAAAAAAAATTCTTTCAAAATTTTGAGATTTACAACTGGAAGACACATTCCACAAATCAAAATCAATGGCACAGTGACAGCTATATTATGGACTCATGTAACAAGTTACACATCATCAAATATTGCACAGTCAAAAATTGTCCATCTAATTATAACCTAATAATTAATATCTTAATTACAGAAAGTAGGTTTCTTTAGATAAAATACAGGTACAGTATAAGCATTACCCATTCTACGTAGTTCTCACAATTTATTGAAACTAGGTACAGTACTGTATTTCATTTCCGACTTTAAAGTAATAATTATTAGTGGCTTTGAATAAAAAGGGAACTGCCTTATCTGGCTGTGCAGCAAGAATCCATATTACCATGAGGGTTAAGTATCTTTGCACATGGGATTGTGCTTCACACTGATTGAAGTGATTAAAAAATGTGGGTATAACATGGTAATCCAAATTCATATCTTACTTGAATATTAAATGATCCACCATAAATAACTTTAAAAGATGTTACCTGAGATGAAACCCTATATAACCTTTTATCAACTCAATAAGGCTATATTTACACATTGTAAGTGGAAAATATAAATAACTAAAATGCAATTTAGGGAAAAATTATTTGGGTTTATGACAGTTTGAAGGGCACTGTTATTGTCAATAGAATACCATTTACTAGTAATTCATACATATATGTATACAGGGGGTCCCGACTTACGAAAGCCCGCCGCTAGGAAAAAGGTTCAACTTTAAATTTACAGTATTTCATTTACCTAATACCTTATTTTTTTTACTTTTATTTACTGTATTTTGTCATTCTATTTCTTTCTCTTAAATTAGGTGATTTTAGATGTACAGTATATAAGGACTTAGGCTATGATATAGTGGGATTTTAAACATTGTTTTGTAAGTATGGTATGCACATAGCATGTGTTTCGACTTGCGTACATTTTTTATTTAAAAATGTCCTTAAGAACAAAACCTGTTCATAAACCAGGGACCCCCTGAAAATATATATATATATAAATATATATACTACTGATAACACAGTTCACTATGATAACCTCATCTTCTTAGAAGCTTTGCAGTCATTTTCACACTCCCCGTTCTCAGCAGATATGGGTGCCAGATTACGGAAAATTCTGCTTTGGGAGTGATGGCCAAAGAGAGTTGGTAATAGAGCAACGCCATAGCCTGTAGCTCGTTCACCCTACAAAGATAAAATGCATGAATCAATTTTTAACTTAAAAGCCTCATATACAGTATATTTCTATGATAAATGAACTCACCAAAAAGTGAAACCTCATTTATATGTACACTAAATTACCCGTCAAAAAAGAAAATCTAATAAAGCAGACCCAAGATATTTGTGGGAGATAGATTCTTAAAAACATTGTAATAACAAAAACCTAAGTTCAGTGGGAAAAACAGGATTAGGTTCCAAGTACGACTAAACATTGGTGGAAATAATATATGTTAATAACAATAATTACAATAAACAATAATCTATAGACAGTAATCTCTCCATTCTGGGTATTGGAAAAAATTTCTGAGATATTCTGTGGGTGCCCTAGCTGCTTGGACACTCAGTTCATATTCTGCTGCCAATGGAGAAGGTTGTTCCCTCTCTAGCTGATGTTTTTGCATACAATTTGTGCTGTACAGTACTGTATCAGGACACCATCAGCAACAATAGTGTTAAAGCAGTATTGAGACGTAAAAAGTGATTAAAATTACGTACAGTGGGGTATGCTATAACGAATCTAATTGGTTCTAGAACCTTGTTCGTTATAGGATTAATCCGTTCCAGGCCCCCAAATACAACCACTTAACACTGAAAAATATAATAAAAAATTGTAAAAAAAGTGCATAAATATGCATCTAAACCCCTGAAATAAAGAATATCATTAATACTTGTAATAAAAAAATAAATTAGTAAAAAAAAAAAAAAATTTAAATAATGTTCGTTGTAGGAGTTTCCCTTCGTTATAGCATTCTCAATTTTATATGTAAAACCGTTCGTTATAGGAATATTCGTAGTAGGATCCGTTCGTTATAGCATACCCCACTGTATACTGTACTGTACAGTACTGTACACTTGGTAAAAAAAACTTCCGTTACAATTCCTGCGCGAAACAAACATACTACAGACGAAGTGTTTCAAAAAGGCCCCTGAGGCATTCCTCACACTGGTAGCCCTGCGTGTGTATGGGTTCAGCCACACTTGCTCAAAACAAGTGATCGGCACTCTGAAATGAAACCCAGTACCTGTACTAAACTTTCCGGAATTATCGACCGTATGGTAAAACTTCGTTGGGCCGGGTTCCATTATGATGGGATGCGAAACTGGAGCTATTCATGTTTCGGAACAGCATGGTATATTTTCCAATATAAATAAAGAATGACATAATGTGGCATTCACCCAAAGTGAAGTAGCATTACAAATACAGATTCAAAATTCGGTTGCAAACCCGAGTTTATCAGTTAATTCACGTATAATACTTCTGATAAACTTCCTATGTGCTTATGTTTGAAATAATGAAGGTATGTATCTTATATAATTTAGCTAAATATCTTTCTCGTCAGGAATGGTCATCCCAACGATTATGAATAAACTCATTTAGAAATACATCATTACTCAGGACAAAATCGGACAGGTTTGCAATAGCCAATCAGCTGTAACTCTTGAGGAGGGGGTGGGGCATTTTTTCTCAGCTAAAAAAAAAAAAATAAATAAATGCTATAATCCCCTTCCACACTTCCATCGCAAGTATTAATGTTTAAAAAGTGATTACAGCTATGTATTACATTCAACAGTGGACAGTGTATGCCTACTGTAGGCTCAAGATGACAGCATCTGCTGGTGAATACAGTATACAGTACAGTATAGTAGCATTAATTTTTTTTTTCACACTGTACATTATACATGTACAGTGGTGTTTGTGTAAATAAATACAGCTCTTGTATCTGTCTGTGCCAGATGTATTGCTTAGACTCCCAGGAAAACTTTCCTCAGTATAAGGTGGAGAATTCCACTCAGAAAAAAAAAAATTATATGACTAAACTTTTAGATAAACTATTCAGGATTATTTAATAAAATTGTGTTTCTAAGTTAATTAGAACTGCTTTTATAGACTCCAGTATAAACATTTCTTACCCTTTTTCATAAGAGTCGAGTCCCCATCGTTAAATCATGTCAAAATATTATGTTTAAGGATCTTTTATTTAAAAAAATTTGTAAAGAATTTAGTCGGGATCATAATATCAAATTTATTTCTCTGACACAATTAGAACAGATGATGTGAATTAAAGTTTATACACATTTTTACAACCTGTAAATATTTTCCTCATGCCCACAGCCTAAATGTAATGTGGAGAGTGTCCGTCCAAAATGAGATATGTAGTTTAGCCTCTCTTAGACTATTGGAAAACTTCCCCAGCACGCAGAATTATTCGGGGGATGTGGGATAGCCGATGTCCATGTGAGATGCATAGTTAAATTCGGAAAACTTCTCATTACAGTTCTGTACCTGGAAAAATTTCAGGGATGTGAGATTTTTTCCGGGTTTGAAAGATTCATCTCGTTATCTGGAAATCTCTCGATCCCAGAAGGGTTCTGCACCAATTATTCCAGCAAAAGGGGATACTGTATTACTGTATGTTTTTATTTATCTTTGATGATGATAATGATTTAAGGCATTCTGTGTGACAGTGAAAAGTATACACCATATTTAGGTTTTAAGAAAAGCATACATCAATATTTTAAGAAAGTCATATAGCCATCCATTATTATTATTATAGTATACAAAACATTTTAAATTTCATCGTTTTCCAAAGTTCAACATGTTTTTTATCTCTTAAATTAGTTGCTTGACACTATTATCAGAAAATCCTGCTATCAATGTAAGAAATGTAAATTTATTAAAGAAAAAGGCAACTTTACAACTTTATGATGTAACAGACTGAGCGGGAAAGCCCCTGAATCCAGCTGTAAGCTCAACGCTTATTGGTTGAGGCACTTTAATCTCACACTTACCCAGACCCAAGCAACTCAGCTCAAACTGACCCAGATCCAAGCAATATTGTTATCTAGTTTTTTCTTACTGTAACCACCATTCAATTATTAACTGTCATACATTTTCTACAGGATTAGCTAAGATTTCATAAAGGATGGCACAGCACCAAACCATTTTCTTGAATGGTGTATGAAGCCAATTTCATTAATAGTGCAGGATGGATACACCCGTAAAATCTTTAAAAATTTGATTACTGTATACATATTTTTTTTTAGTAATCCAAAGGTATTTACCAAAGTCAATCATTTAATTATTAATTTGACTGTGATATATGGAAGTGAAATTGGTTATATTTGCTGGAATTAACTTTCACGTGTCAATACATAAAGGATTTCAAGTGAGTAGCAGTCGTCTGGTCAATGCAAATTTAACAAAAGAAATTGAAGCAGTAAAATGAAGTATGTACAGTGCAGCATTTTAAGTGGTGGTTTGGATCCAACATTGCAAACCCTAAACTTATTATGATGATGCTGAACCAGTTAAGTAATGCTCTCAACAAACAAGGCCTCTGTCAAGTGTGTTATAGTTTTCTTAAGAAACTTTCACATTTATCACACCCAATCCAAGCCCTTGTTTATCCAATTGCATTTATAAACACAGCTTTATCACCACTAGTCTAACACTCATTACAATCTTAAACGATGCAGCAAAGTTGCACAACTTTCAATTGAAGCAAGCTGAAACTTTAAGCATTATCACTATGTTATTACAAAGCTGGAGATCAATGCCTACTGAACCTGTTTAATTCAATAGCACGTGTAAACACTGACATCATCATGGAACTCCTTATATATCGCCTTCCACACTTTTCTGTTGCTTCTCTCACAATCACATCCTCCTTTTCTCGAGGTAAATGTTTTCCTTGACCCACCCCAGACAAGAGGGCCAAAAAAGATTGATATATACAATACAGTATAGTCTCCATTTATGCGGTCAATTGAACCCGTGGAGGTCCGCGTAAAACGAGAAACACGTAAACGAAATAACAGAACATATGGGATTAATTGAAATAGAGACTGGGCCGACCCCCAAACTACACTTTTTCCGACACAATACGTATGTTGTAGTAAAAATAACATCTTAATTTTATGATGGTATGCACACATAATTAATATTTAAGAGAAATATCAATAATATTAGGTTTTTGAACACTTACGTTAGTAGAAAATATGGCTGGGCACACGGGGATGGGGGGTTGGTTCCGAGGCAGAGGGCAGATTATTGGCCCTCACCTGTATCACTATCCACCACAGAGGCTTGCAGGGCCTCTGTCAAACCCCTCAAAGTCCATATCCTCACTATCACTGACTAGCGCTGGCTGTGGCGGGTGAAGAACTCGGTAATGTTTTGTTGACTGGGCGACCTTGTGTGCACCCTGCCCGCGCCGCTTCCCGCGTAAATGATGGAATGAACCGTGTAAATAAAAATTGTCAGTCTGGCAAGGTGCCGCGTAAATGAACAAATGCGTAAACCAAATTCGCGTAAATCGAGACTATACTGTACTGTAAATTTAAAAGAAAATCAAGAATACTTACACAATGAACTGGATACGCCATATCAACATGAATCCAATTTCCTGGAAAATCAAAACCCAGATGAGCTGCAATGAAGAGGCCAGCACATGATGAAGTTGCATTTGAACGGTCCTGAAAGGGAGACAATTTTGGAGGATAACATCAATTCCAGAAGTGAATTCAACCTAACATTCAGATTTCTAAGCAAAGCCATTTGTTATTTATGTAATTTACAAAAACAGCTGGTCAAGGTTGTTGATGATGTTTAGATGTTTAAACTCCTGGAAAACTTTCCTCAGCACCTGGAAATATTCCAAGGATGTGCGAGTCTGTCTGTTCAGTATGAGATACATAGTTTAGACTCCCGGAAAATTTTCCACAGTACAGAATGAGAATACAGGGTACCTTGCTATTCACAACCCTGCTTATCTTCAATTTATAATTTTACACCTGTTGTGGTGTATAACCTCCTTCCTCAAGAAATTCTCAAGGTGGTTAGGAAACTTGCTTGCTGCAGTGGTGTCGGAGCTGGTTGCTTCACCTGTCATCTTCAGGTTATGAAGGTAGGCGCCCTGTTTAAATATGTTGACCCATAAGTGGCTGGTTGTGAATGTCTCTCCAGATGTAGCAGTCAAACCTCGCCTTCCTTCTTGCAGTTTGATAATTTCTTCATCTTCATGTTGTGGTCTTTGGCTCTTAATTATCCTTGTTGAAGTCACAGGAATCAAAGACTTCCCACTTACCTTGAAATTTTCTGCATTCTTGGTAGTTGTTACCAAAATAGATGCACGAAGTCCAAAAACTTTTCCAATTTCAGTAATATCTTGACCTACTCTCATGCCTCTTCATAATATCCAGTTTTTGCTCCAAACTCATAACATGGTATGTTTTTTTTTCACTGCTGGGGCACCACTAGGTCCAGAGCAAGCAAGTCACTTTCGACTCATGTTCAGTGAAGCAGATTTGTTCATGATTCACTATTTGTAATTCACTTCCGGACAAGCAAGAGGTATGCTCATGACGGTGGCAAAATTCAAGTGAGCAGAAGGATACACATGCCATCGAGCGAAAATTATTCACTGTGCATTCTCAGTGGCTGAATGTTGTTACCTCGTATTGCAGTACAGCTTAAAATAGTGCAGGAAATTTGAATATTGTGTGTCTGTGTGGATTCATAAAAGTGGAACATCATTTCTTGTCTGCCTCGTAGGGTCATAAAATCGATCTTTCGTTAAAACAGAACTTGATTTTGTGGGGACTAACTGTACATTGCATCAAAATGCAAACATTTACACAAACCTTCAATCTTTAACTCAAGAACTTACGGCCATAGAATTTTTCATATCTGCTACGGCTGATGCAAATTCTGCAAAATGAAGTTCTGGGGAATAAGGAAGTGGATGGATGAGATCCCCAGAGGACTGCCCGGCTGTAACTGCTGCTTCCTCCCACTGTTGATTGTTGGTTAATACTGCTCCATGGAACTTTCCTGGAAAGTTAAGTTAATCATATTGAAACAAAGATAAAGGCTTATATGTAAGTTGAACACTGGTTTGCCTGTTGCAACAAACATAAGACAGTACTGATATTCCCCAATTTACAAAACGGTTCTCCATGAAATTTTTTTAAATATTTTGTTTTTCTTGTAGATCGAAGAACATTTCCAATTGACTCCCATTATGAATAAATAGAAATTTTGATGTAAAAAATGAATTTAGCCAATACAGTACTGTAATAAACTTACGTGAACAAATGCAGTATGATTCAGTAATAATTCTAAACATTTACTGTACTTAGAAGAAAGCAGACAATGAATCCCATTCTATAATAGGAAATAATTTCTTTACGAGGGGGGGGGGGGGATTCCCACACTTTACCCCTGAGGAGTTCTTGCAGTATCCTAAATTCTGGTGCACATGGTGTGAACAATGTGGTGACGGATGCTTGAGCTATGATGACAATGGTTCAAGCATCAAGTTGGGTGTTTAATAAAGTATGTATTGTACTGATTTTATTTTATTTTACAATGTTCTCAAGCAAACAGTTTAAAAACCCACCACTTTTTAAACACTTGAAATAGTCCACGGTGGACTCACAGTGCCGTAGAATTTTCAATTCCTTATAGACTGTTAAACTCAGCTTTATCACAATGGTGTTTATTTGAGAGTACAAGGGTCCCTCAAATTTGCAGGGTTTAGGTTCTCAAAATGGCTGCGAATCGCCAAATCCGCGAATAACATTTGCAGACCGGGGGGACATTTTTACTTGTGTACAAAGAAATGTATATTCCCTTCATGTGTTTGCCCTTAGGTCAATTATTTCTTTTACCTGTAGTATTGTATATATGTGTGTAGACACACACACACACACACATATATATATATATTTACAATTCAGGTAAAGGAAATTACTGTCTCTTGAAAGTTTGGCTCCCTGTCTCAGTTGCAAAAATGCTGGGAACTTTAAAACTACCCACAGACATTCTTGGGTACATCCAAGGTGTCATTCGCGAAGTAAAAATCTGCGAACTTGGGAGGCCTCCTGTATCTTGAAAATAAAAGAAAATCAATAATAAATAAAGAACTCACCCGGCCTGATGCTTGAACCAGCATCAGTCACAGCTCGGGTGTCTGACTGCAGTATTCATGCCATGTAAACAAAGCAGGAATCTAAGATGACACAATAACTCTTCTGAGATGAAGTGTGGGATTTTTTCCAAAGAGAAGTTACAGTGTTTCCAATTACATAATGTGAGTCAATGTATTAATAGGGTAATACTATACTAATATTTCTATTGCTGTTGTCTTAGTGTTTCATACTGTTCACCATGTTTCAAATCTCATCCAGTTTTGTTTTAAGTACAGGTATAAAATCATTACTATACAGTACTTAACTATACTACTGCATGTATTTCACTTGGCATATTCATTATTTTCTTATAATCAATGTGTACACATTTATTTATTCTTTTAATAATAACTTGTTTAGTAGCAATTTGTTGCATTTTAAGATGTTTGGAGTTTTTCTTTTTTAGGAATTTATCTCAGCTTTTATAAATGGAAGTTCAAGGAAAAATGTGCATCAGTTTACACGGTTTTCAGGAATGTAACCTTTTTGTAAAGCAGGGTCTGCCTTTAGTCCTTTGTTAAGCCAATTATATTCAAGAACAAATATTTACACATAAACATTCCATACCACATGTTATGCAGTCAAGACAAAACAAGTTCCAAGCATTTGTCAACAGTTTAGGGAATTATTTTGCAAACTAAGTTCTAATTAATGTAGCTGTATTTTTCACACTTTCATGCTATGATACAGGATGCCAGAATCAAGATCATACATAGAACCCTTATATTCACCATAAACACTAAACTAAAACTGTGCAATTTACTTATTTCCAAGATATGAATTAATTGCGTATTTTTTTCTTCTCAAACCTCAACATATGCTGGTTATTTGTTTATAAGTTTCTGTGGTACCTGAGCAGTGCAGTTTCTGGTAAAGACATTGTCAACTTATGTATATACTGTATACAGATATAATATCTGCAAGCTGTAATACCCTATTAACATGTTGGTGATAAAGCAGTAATCCAGTGTGACCATACCAAACACTGCAGCTTTTATCTTGGTATTCTGGTTTCCTTAACACTGGATAATGGAGGGCAAACCCAACAAGAACAATAGGAGATTAAGCATGCGAGCAGCTTTCTTTCTCCGTTAGAGAAAATATGTAAACATGAACAGTACAGTATATACATATACTATACATAAAATAACAAATAAATAATATATTACAGTTGAGTACTGTATGTCGTTAACCAACCTGTTGCAGTTCCCTGGGCACCTGTGAGTGTGGCCATGTCCAAGATGGTTGTGCAGTGCAGGTCTATGGCTGCATAAGCCACTCCGTCACTCAAAACCAGACGACCCTCCGCATCAGTGTTGTTGATTTCTACAGTCCTATTGTATATCAGGTTTGTAATTAACAATAATGAAAAAAAAAAAAGACAAGACACACAAGTATACCCACAACATATTTTGAAGAATATAAGCTGCAGAGTGAGTTTTGGACAGAATTCATGCAAAAAAAAAAGCTTGGCCTTCGATGCTAAGCCACACCCTGAAGTTGGAGATCAAAATCATATTCACATTCAAAATTTTTTATAACACAAGAGATACATATGTACAGTATATGATATTGAGTACTTGTGTACATATGCACATATTAGAATAGTTGATTGGGGTAACAAAATAGTGGTGAAAAGTACGCAACTATGTAACGAAAGAAGTACATGTAACAACAGCCAGTGAGTAAGAAGGTATTATTACAAGTGATGATGTAACAAAAAAAATGTCATCATGAATGATTGGTGAATGCATGAGCCATGCCTGGGAGTACTGTATGTTGTAAATTCTTTTGGAAAGCTGACAGTGTGATAAAGTATGGTAAAAGTTGTGAAGTGCTGGGAGCAATGTGCATCTCATCTCCTCCAGGTAGTGACTGGGGGTGAGCTGTGCCCATGATGGTGTCTGCATGTCGTGTGACTGAACTTATGAACTTGCTTCTATTTTGACGTAGTGAAGCTGCAACTTGCAATACAGTGGTCCCTCGATTAACGAACGGTTCAATTTACGAAATTTCTGTTAACAAATTAGCTCCCATAAAGATTTTCAGTTCCATTAACGAACAAAACTTCGAGTAACGACAGCCTTACGAGAAACACACTTTGTTGTGCGCATCAGCTGATCAGCTGATTGGCTAGTCTGCCAATACAGTAATTGGTTCTATGTTTACATTTGTTTCAAGTGGAGTAAATATCAGGAAAGTTGTGATCTTGAATATTTTTGCATTTTTATATTAAAATTATTGGTCATTCTCTGAAATTTAGTTAACATATTGATAATAATGTATATACAGAGAACAGTTTTTGTGCGCCCTTTAACTGATCGAATCACACACCAACGATTCTGTTTAATTTTGTTTACAGTGGAGTGAACATCGAGTTTGTTTGGTATTTGAATATTTTTGCATTTTTACTTTAAAATTATTGGTCATTCTGAAATTTAGTTAACATATTGATAATATACAGTGCAGAAATTATTATGAAACATGAAGAAGGCATTAGAACCAATGCACTCTGTAAAGAATAAGGCATGTCATCATCGACTGCCTCTACAATCAGCTGTTTGATATGTAAACAAAGCTGCCGGGAATACGACATACACACCTCAAAGTAAGTTAAAATACACTACGTATTCTATTGTTTTTATTTATTATTGTACAGTATACTGTACAGTACAGTACTGTATTTAGTTTATATAAAATGTTTTGTTAATTCTATTACTGGTATACAGTACTTTGTATGTATACGTTTTCTGTGAGTTGGAACCAATATCCCATTGAAATAATAGATTATTGAATTATCAGTTGTCAGGGCCATTTCTTGAGTACAGTAATAATCACTGAATTATCAGTGGTAAAGCTCATTGAGCTTTACCATCCGTGCTAAGGCCACATGATTACCTCCACATGTAGCACACTTAAAGTCGGCAGTCTGTCATTTACATAACTGCACCCATGTGTAGCCACCTTCTACACAAATACTCCACACATTAAGTAAACCCTTGCTATATACGAGGGTTAGGTTCCAAGGAATGGTGCGAATTGGCAAAACTGCGAATAGCAACTTCTATACTACCTTAGTTCACAAAGAAACACAAAATTTTTAAGAACACAACACGAGATGCGAACAGAGGGATATGAGAAGCTGCGGGTGTGTGAGGTGACTCGTTGCACTGCAGGAAAAGGCTCGCAAGCTAGCCACCAGAGCCGCCATCTGCTTACTGCGAATCGTCGAAATCGCTAATAGCAAACCCACGAATGGCAAGAGTCTACTGTATTGAATTACTGCCAATACCCTTCTGACATACAGCATATAGCCCTTTTCTAGCTCCTACCATAAGTCCTTCACCTATGCAACTAATTATTACTTGTTTTTTGCTATGTTCAATGTTCACTTTCATGCCCTTTTAGATTCCATTCCATTTCTTAATTTTTCCTCTAACACTTCAATATTATCTGCTGACAACACTAAGTTATCAGCATTACCACTTAAAAATAAGACACCACTCGATCTGACTTTCTCACTGCCCACTGAAATACCTCATAGGTTGACACAAAGCAAAAGTATCTCCCCTTCCCTAGATATTTATTTTGTAGTTGCCTGGCCATATATATTGCCTCCATAGTCACCCTACCTGGCACGAACCCAAGTTAATTATATTTACAAGAGGGAATAAGTTTTTACTGGCATGAAAATTGCAAACATGAATCTGATCATCTTACTATGCATCAAAGTGTCACAAAAAAAGAAACTCTTAGCAATAAGCTTTAGTGTAAAACTCAAATGAAGAATTTTTTCTTTACTCGACCAGAACTAGATTACGAGTAGTACATACAATTTGTATCGAATGTTTTTCTGACTTCCAACAAAAAGCAAAAACTTCTAATTACCTTCCAGAATATAGTGTATGAATATCATCTGGCTTTGTTGCAGTGGGTCCAACAGCATTTTCAGCCAAACAAAATACAGCATGAAGATTTTGTGTATATCCTGCTCGCACAGCAACATAAAATGCCCCTAATATTGCTGCTGCACCTCCACAGTCTCTCTTCATTCCTGGCATGCTTGTCTGAAAGGAAAAGTCATTAATTGGGATGCGCACCAAAGAGGGTCAAAGGTTCATATGCCCATGACTCTGGCCTATATAAATCAGAGAAAGTGCCCTCTTTGTGGATTGAGAGTAGACACATTTATTGGGGAGTACACAACTCAAAGCAACATTGCAGTGACTTGTACAATATTTCTATTTAGAATAATATTTTTAAGTATAGAATACACTAATTATTTCTAAACTTGAGCTTATCGTAGCATGATATTAAGTAATCACACTCGATTTCCCCATTGTATTCTGAGATATAAATGGAGACCCTGTATACTGTACATGATGTGCTTCATCGTATACAGAATATTAATATCACTTACCATCACCATCCATCAGTAGACCCATCAGCCCATAGTAATATTTAATCATCCTTCACTAGTCCTTTTGCCAAGTCTAAACCGATCTGTAATGCGACTGTTGAACTACTCTGATACAGTTTGTGTGTTGGAGTAGTAGGCCAGATAGTAAGGGTGAACTAGCTTTGCATCCTCCATCTTGAGTGTATCATTAGCTTTTGTGTTGAACTGTACATAGAATGTAAATTAAAGTATAAATAAGAAAATCCAAGTGTGTGCAGGGGCGCCCAAGTTGATAAAGTGCAAGTATCATTCCAACATCATATTATTATTCAGGGTGTGAGTACAGTACTGTATATAATATTCTAAATTATCTATTTATGCAAAATAGTGTTCAGCAATGTGATGTGCAATATAGGAATGTGCTGAAAGTGATTGGAAATAACTGATTCCTATCGGAAGCATGATTATAAGTTGAATTATATTCTTCCATATAGGTCATAGTACAAGGCATAAGCTGTATTGCCCTCGGGTTTAAGGTGATCAGCTACATTATTACCATAGAGTATATTGGGTTACTGCTTTTATTCAGTGTATGTGAGGTTTCCACTTCATAGAAAATATATCATACAAGATTTGAGATTAACATATGAAAACATGGCATTGAAAAAAAATTAAAGAATATGATGCAAATGTGCTGAAAAGCCTATCTACACAAATAATCATGTAGGATAAATGAACTGTCACTTCTATAACTGTAACATCATTGTAAATAAAGCAGAGAACACCTATAATCTTTAACTGGTGCTTACCTTTGTTTTGATGCTAAGACCACCAGTGTCATAGACAATACCCTTGCCAACCCAAGCCACGTTCTCTGTCCCACCTGGTGGATGGTGAGATAGCACCACAAGAGCAGGGGGATGGACAGCTGCTTTTCCTACACCATAGATACCACCAAAACCTTTAGCGGACAGCTCTTCGCCTCTAATGATTAGAGGCTTGATTCCTAGAAAATTTGCCACTTCTTGTACCTCCTGTTAAAACAAAGATGCAAATTATATTTTGAATTCTTATACTACAATAAAAATATATTTTTCTAAAGAGGTTAAAATGTTGGCAAAATACTTGTCACTTTACAATTACACTCTCATCTACCAGTGAATTCCTTTCATATGTTCAATTTTTATGATTATTATGACCTCAAATAATTTACAAGAACATGATCATTATTTTATTATAATTACCAATTTTAAACCTGTCATTTAGTTTCCTTGTTCTGTAAGATACAATGAAAAGAAAATGAAAATGGCTGTCAAGTTTAATGTTCAATAATGTGTGGTTCTCAGTTTACCTAGGATCTGAAATATGACTTGTCAGAGCTAAAGCTCCTTATTAGTACAAATGGTTTTTCTTTTTTAAATCTATGGATGTAGCTCAGGAGAATAACTATCTTACAGCAATCCCCCAATATACAGCAATTCATTTAACAGAAATTTGCTATAAGGGAAAAGTAAAATGATAAACAAATGCATAATCTATGGTTTTTGCATTGTGAACTTCAGACTTTGCAGGCCTGTTTGTCCCATTATTAGTGGGATATTTGTTTCCAATTGTCTCATGCTGGCTGGCTTTGTTTTGCTTATGACCCATCTGAAGCTAAAGTTTATAAAGAATCCATTAGTTCACTCTTGCTCAAGATGTCAGGAAAGAAGCCAGTAAATACAAGCAATGATGCAGGTAAAAAACTTAGCTACATCACAAAAACCTTAAGCCTTGTTACTTCTATAGTGAGAACAATATGGGACAGTAAAGAAAACTAAAGCCAAGTGCTCAAGCTGCTGCTACTTTAAGAGCATCAAAGTTGTCATATAATACATGTGAAGTGATGGAAAACATGGATTGTATGCTTATTGTTTAGATTGAAGATCAAACACAGTGTAATGTACTGTTAAGCACCATAGTCATTCAGGATAACGCAAAAGTTTGTTCAGTGAATTACAGACCAAGAAAGGTTAGTCCTTTCAATAGCACCATGAAAATGTTCACCAAATTATCTAAAATAAGACAATTTGGCTACAGGTTGTAGCAGCTGACCAGTAGGACCAGTAGTGATTCTAGGATTGTTTTTTGGGCGGGTGTATGGGGGGGGGGGGCTTGGCTTAGAAATGTCCCCAATTTGTGTGACTGAAGGAGTACTTAGGCACCAAGCAAAGAATAGAGTGTACCGTATAAGATTATACCTGTAACACACAAATAACATTAATAAACTTACTGTCACTAAGTCCACAATTTATACTCTTTGCATTTGTAATAACAGTATAGTATTATCCTAATAAACAGAATATCCATGTCTATATTTAGGGCTTCATTCTTCAGATTAGTGCTGGATTGAAATTCTCTTAGAACCTTACTTCCCAAAATACCAAGACTTTGAGGCCCTTCCTTACTTGTGCTGTAGTTTGCTGACTGTCTCTCCCTAGCTTCATTGTGCTTCCTTAACCTTACTGTGCTTCTCTACCTTCAATATGCTTCCCTTCCTTCAATGTGTTTCCCTACTTTCATTGTGCTAGTGCTTCACTACCTTCACTGTGCTTCCATAACTTCACTTTGTTTCCTTGCCTTCATTGTACTTCTTTACCTTCATTGTGCTTCCATAACCTCACTGTGCTTCAAGCTTTCCTACCTTCACTGTTTTTTCTCTACCTTCACTACACTCCCCTCCTTCACTGTGCTTCTCTTACCTGACCTTCCCTTTCCTACAAACATTGGCACTGACTGTGGAAATGACGAATTGTGGAAAATGCACAGTAATAATGAACAATTCCCTAAAACTACGAATAAAATCTTACCCAAATGAAGGGTGAAGGGATATAAGAAAAAAGGAAAGAAAAAGAGCTAGAGCTGTGTACAGTGTTGCCTCTGGACAGAGTGGTCCCTTACTGACAAGTGACAACATATGAAAATATGTAAACAATCCTGTATAAGTTGCATCTGGTGGCTGGGGCTGCCATACCATTAGATGCCCTTCTCTTTCTTCACATACACAACTTACAAATTGCAATATGTAACAAATTAGTTCCCCCCAAACCTTTTCACAGGGGACAGTCTGCATCCCCCATGCCCCTCCAGTAGCTATGCTACTGGTGCCAATGCAGCGTATGTTAGGGGAACAAGCACATGAAGTTGTAGCAGTAGCAACAGCGCAGCACCGTGGAGATGTCACACTCACATACCCATCTCCCTACACTCCTTCCTTCCAAGAAGTCATCATCACTATTTTTTCCATTAAATGAAGTTTACTGCATTCTTTATTGTGATTTTATTAAACATCTATGAGTCAACTTTCCTCTAAGCAATGCCATCTTGTAAACCTTGAACTTGAAATGAGTTGGCTTGACTCTCCCTATAGAAAGAAAGCACTGCTACCACCTTCCTCACTCTCAGGGCAACTGCTAAACAATACTGCCAGTATTGTACAACTAGGTAGAAAAAGAAACAGCGATGGAAGGAAAGATGGAGCTGAGAATGTATTGGTGCGCTTTGCTCATGACTGGTGGGTGGTTTGAGGAACATATCTCTAAATATATAATGGAAATCAAGAAAAAAGGGTAAATTGGGAGATGCCTGTGCCTAGTATTAGTAAAAATACATTAAGTTAATACACTATGCCTGTGCCTAGTATTAGTAAAAATACATTAAGTTAATACACTTAAGTTATATCTTAACTAAATACATGCTTCAATATCTTCCAACAGACTTAAATAATGTCCTGTGAGTTTATATCTCACCCCAGAAAGGCTTTCTTCAAAAAGACAAGTGCATCAACTGATTTCTAAACACTGTGTAGTAGGAAAATTTCAATTGCAGTAATTACATACCCCAATAAAAGAATCTGTGTGCATCTCGTTGGCTGGTGTATCAACGATTCTGGCAGCAAGGCGAACTCCGTATACACCATCATTTAACACCTACCAGATGAGATTAACATCAAAACATTGGTAAGTCTTTTTTTCTTTTTCTAACCATGATGGAATATAGAAGCATACCTGTATATGTAACTAGAAGAGTGATCTATACAGTATTCAAGCTCAGTTTGCCTAATACACAACAATATTGAAGAGAATCACGAATATGTATGATTTAGCTGTGTGGTAAGAGGCAAATGAATGTCCTGCTTCTAGAGAACCGTGGGTTATAAGATGACATAGTGCAAAAATAAGAAGTGGAAAGAGTGAAGAAGGCAGATGAGGAAGAAGTTTGATGAAAGAAATATTATACAGAAAGAGTGAGGAAAGAAAAGAAAATGCATATATTGTATTGGAAGGAAAGGGATGAGGGATTGAATTATATCTGCATGCTAACCATGGAAATTCAGCAAGAAAAGATTGAGCCAGATTGCCTCATATGAAGTGAGGGAATGGTTGTTGATGAAACATACAACTTCGGATATAATATTGTCCAACATTGATAAGAAGGACCACAATATATTGAGGTACAATGAGGATGAACCTGAAAAGAAACCCAAGTATTTTATGCCTTCTTTGCAACATTAGAAATAAAATTCTGGGAGATTTCATTAGCAAGACTGAGTATAATGTACTCAATAGCTGACATAAAGGAGGCGTTACTGAAAGAAAGTGGAACTCTGGAAAATATGTTGTCTGTAAGAGAGAAAAGTAGAAATGAATGTAACAAGGTCATCTCTGCTTCAATCTGCTATGGGCTCAAGATGCATTCAAGGCAGTTGTGATATTTGGGTCATCTATTGGGAGACTTAAATACTGTACAGTGATATCTCCGTTAGCCGGAACAATTGGTGCAGAGCACTTCCAAGAATGAGAGATTTCCGGGTAACAAGACGACTCTCTCAAAGCCAGAAAAAAATCTCATACCCGGAATTTTCTGGGTAACGAAAAAATGATCTCAGAAGTTCCAGAAATTGCTCATTACATGATCTCTCGAACCCGGAAAAATATCCCTGATCCCCAGAATTTTCCAGGTAACGGAAAAATTTTCTCTGAATTTCCAGAAAATGCGCCTGATTTTCATCACGCAAACCCAGAAAAACTCCCTCATCCCCGGAATTTCCCAGGTATCGGGAAATTTTTTCTGGAATGTTCCGGAAAATCGTTCCCAAAGCCGGAATTTTTCGGAAAATCTGGCTTTGGGAACGATTTTCTGAGAAAATTTCAATTCCGGCTATCGGCGAGTTCCGGTTTTGAGGGATAACGGCTAAGTAAGATATTACTGTAATTATATGCATAACAATGGTAGGAGAAGCATTGTGCTATTCCTGGGTGTAGTACTGGAAGGAAAGGTGGTGTTCATTAACCCTTACGCCCCGGGTGATGTACTAAGACGCCCGACTAGTGCGCCCTGGGTGATGTACAAAGACGCGCGCCTTTTCCCGCCACTGTTTGAATGCACATCGTGCGTTAACAGGTACCAGCGTGACTATTTGTCTGTCACAGCACATGGAGGGGAGCATGGGTGGGCTCAGGGCGGTCAGTAACCATTTCCCTTTAGACATGGAGAGTCACTCCTCAACCTCCCGTGTCATGTCGTCAACCCAGATCAAGTGTCGCCGCCACAGCGGGTTGGATGATAGTAAGATACGAACATAACTATTTTAAGTGAGTGCTGTATTGTGCGATTCTGGTGAAAGTGGTGATGAAGGCAGTGATTATATGCCTAGTGATCCTGAGAATAGCATCGAGTCAGAAGATGTTTTAGGGACAAGTGGTGATAAGGACGAGGCACAGCCAGTGTGGTGTAGACCCACCACGGGTTCACAGTCCAGACAAGGGACAATGGATGCTTTTGTTTGGTCTGATGACCGTAATTTCCAGCCTGACATCCCTGATTTCAGATGCTTATCAGGTGGAATTACTCCAGAATTTTCTTGTACAGAGGAATCAAGTGAGATGGACTACTTTTGTGCCTTCTTTGATGGTGCATTCATGGACTTACTGTATACAATACTGAGACAAATAAATTTTATGAGGACACATGTGATGCTGACCCCCGCCTTGGCCACTCTCCAAAAATGCGCCGATGAACTGATGTTGTTGTGTCCAAATTATATGCTTTTCTTTTTGCATTACTAATGCTAATGGCACATGTGAAAAAACAAGTATTTCAGGAGTACTGGATATCTCATGATGACATCACAGCAACTCCATCGTTTTTTAAATTCATGTCAAGAGACCGGTTTGACTCCATCCTGCGTTATCTACCTTCTTGGACAATGTGGCACGTGAGGAGTGCTTGTAAATAGTAGTGTAATTGTCAGGTATAAAGTGACATATTTGTGTAAAAGGTACACAGTTGTATGCATTCACTCACCACAAGCGATAAAAGAGGCATCAGGGTAGCACCAACAACACCACCATCACCACCTCTCCTATGCACGGTCAGAGGAAAGCGTTTTGGTAAGTACTTTCTTTTGTTTGTTTATTTTCCATTGTTTGTCCATTTTATTATGTTGTATCAAAGTAATATGACTAAATGTAGTGAAGTTGTATTGTAGTGTAGTACAGTATTACTAGATGATAATGCTATGATTATGTTATAAATGAATTTATTTGTGGAATTATTATTCCAATAATTATTTATATGACTTGGTTTCTTTCCCAAACACAAAGACAGCCTGGCGATAGACTGCAAGAGTTAAGCCTTACTATCTAAGGTAATATTGAGACCAAATTCTAGTATATATGACTTTAATAAATATACAAATATGAAGAGATGAAAGTGGAGAATTTAACCAATTACAACACTGTACTTTTCACTTTTTATTGACTGAGCATAATGTCTACAGTATACCAATGAATATGTTTTTTTTTACACCAGCAATGACTTGGCTCACTAGTCTCATAAGCAAGAAAAGATATTGTATAACAACTGAGTCACACACACAGAAAATAGAGATGAAAAAAAAATAGAAAATGCAGAAAAAATAGACAAAAATGAGAGAGAGAGAGAGAGAGAGAGAGAGAGAGAGAGATTAATAAAAAATATTTCAAACTTACCTCAATGTCCTCATCTGTTAATGGAGAGTCTCCCTTTCCCACTAACAACAATTCTACAGTTACAGTATGGTTTGATGATGAACCAGGGGCAGTCTTTCGGGAATATGTTGGATATGCTCTTGCAACACCACAAGCACTAGCAAAGAGATCTGCTCGTTCACAAACAAGCTGCAATAATTCAAAAGAAGGATTAATTTTGTACATGTGGGTTGTGTCTTTAAAAAAAAAAAAAAAAAAAAAAAAAAATTATATATATATATATATATATATATATATATATATATATATATATATATATATATATATATATATATATATATATATATATATATATATATATATATATATATATATATATATATATATATATATATATATATATATATATATATATATATATATATATATATATATATATATATATATATATATATATATATATATATATATATATATATATATATATATATATATATATATATATATATATATATATATATATATATATATATATATATCGTAAATCCACAATGAAAATAAATCTTGATAAAATTTGAAACATTACCTTCATTCAAGACATCTTCAGAGTTGCCTCTGAAGATGTCTTGAATAAAGACGAAAGCTAAGGTACTCCGTTGTTTCCATTTTCCCGTGTGATTTTATCAAAATATATATATATATATGTATATATATACATACATATACACGAGGTCTGTCCGGAAAGTATCCAGCCATTGTGAATATTGTGAGAACTGGTCGTGCGGCCTTGATGTAACATGGCAGCCACTCAGAGAGGACCGTACTGCGCATGCATGAACAGCCATACTCCCGTGGGACAACTCAGTTGACCGGCAGACGCCGTTAAGTGAGCGTGGGTACTGTGTGACTGTCGCATTTACAATTACCAAACAATAACGAAGGAGTACTACATTGTAGTTTTTCGCCGGCTGAGGGATGCGGTAAGAAGAAAACTACCGCAGCTGTGGGCAAGTGGTGACTGGCAGCTTCATCATGACAACGCGCCTGCCCATTCATCACGTCTCGTGCAGGGTTTTTTGGCAAAACATCGCATCACCCAGGTCTCTCAGCCCCCCTACAGCCCAGATTTGGCTCCCTGCGATTTCTGTCTTTTCTCAAAGCTAAAATCGCCGTTGAAAGGGAGGAGATTTCAGACCGTGGACGAGATTAAGGAGAATGCGACGAGGCAGCTGATGAAGATCCCGAAAGAAGACTTTGCAGACTGTTTTGAAAAGTGGAAGGGACGCTGGGAGAAGTGTGTTAGGTCCCAAGGGGAGTACTTTGAAGGGGACTAGGGCGCCATTGTCCTAGGTAAGCAATATTTTTTTTAATAGTAAATGGCTGGATACTTTCCGGACAGACCTCGTACCCGCCAAGAAGGGTACTTGTGGAAGGCTTTTTGTTTTGTTCAGATAATAATTGTTAGTTCTTGTGGTATACTGCCTGTTAACATGGGAGGCAATGTGGTTGGACCTTCATGTTAAGATGATTGAACACTGACACTCAAATATCTTTCATTGTGTCAGTCCATGGTTGTTCTAAGGTAAATACTAAAGTTTGTTTTTGTTTTCACTAGATTTAGTAATGCTCCACTAATATTTTGGGTATTGTTTATTAACACAGGTCTGCATGTCAACAGGGTTCCACTCACTCATTTGAGTGCCAGGCATCTCTATGGGTTCATTTATCAAAAACAAATGACCATGACCTACTGTAGCTATGCACTACATCAGTGCAGTTGGTAAAAAGAATTACCTTCAGTTCTTCACTCACAATTAATATTTAGAGAACTGACTGATGCAAAAATGAATTCTCCTCATAACTTACCACAATGCATTCTTCAGTACCCGTTGAGTGTGTTTTGATTATCTTTGTGATGGAATGGGTTCGTGATGGAGTATTGTGTCTAGAACACTTCACAGGAAGGGCTGCCACAGTAGCCAAATTTAGGTACAGTGAACAGTAGTCAGTTGGGGAGGGTTGAAGGCCATTTACTGCGAGGGTCCATGCCTGTGAAAAAGAATTCTCCTACTAACTGTCACCAAAAGAAGAAAAAACATATCTTAGGCAAATACCACACAAACAAGTCCTTGTTCCATTTAACATCCACTTTGCAAACACTTTTGGTACTGAAGCAGAGACACTTTTGTTTTATCAGCAAATTACTGTACTGCACTTGGCAGCAGTACACTATTACAGTACAGTACTAGCTGTATCACAAATAAAACATTTATATCCAAGGACTACTGTAATAGTGCTTATAACATTACTTCTTCATCAACTCGTGGTTGTAGTTTTCCTGCAACATCACTAAATGAGAGAGCAGCAAGATGTCCTAGCTGACCAATTATCAACACAGGACATTTCCGTGGGTCAGATGTACTGAGGGAGCCTTTGAACCGGATCATGGGGCTTCCCATTCTTTCTGTCGATCCCACAGCCCCTGGAAGAAACACATATATAGAGTTGAACACAGAACAATTTCCAATTGTAAGAAAAAAGCATCCATAACCAATATACAGAGTTGTAAAAAGTACTGGACTTTATTACTTAGGTAAAAAGTACTGTACAATATTATTACATTGGTAAAATGTTACTCAAGTAGAACTTAAAGCATCCAAAAGTCAATGTACTCAAGTAGAAGTAAAAAAAGGATCTCATTCTTAAGGTACTGTACTCAGGTACTAAAAGTAAAAAGTAACAACAAAGTTATGTCTCAAATATTAAAATAAATCAACAGTAAATTATACAAAAACAGTTTACAAAGATAAGAATAAAAGACAAACAGCGTTACAGATGTTTATTACAAATCTTTCTACACTGTATTAAGATTAATCAATGACTGATTTTCAAAATTATGGCTGTCCAATCAGGATCTTTTAGGCCTAAATATAAGCCCAGCATGATCTACTGAAATTGAATATATTCAGCCACTCTTCTCCCTACAATCCATTGTAGGGATGGTTAACGGGTTGAAAATATATCAGTCCAATACTATGATCACTTTCTTCCCTATTCAAACAAATATCGTTGACGTGGACTTATGGTCTGCAGACATAAAGATGTCTTTGCTCACACTGGGTTAGGGTACAGACCCATTTGGCATGTATCCGAGGTGGGGATGACCCGCACTTCTCTTTCCTGTAAACTCTAACTGTCCCTTATGCTAACAGCCTTTAACATTATTGCCTTGACTGTCCACTGTCAGGGAACTCCTACCAATATATGTTACCACCTACTTATTCATAATAATTGAGATTGAATTCTTGGACACTACCCACGCTTTGGTGGGTGCTAACTCCCATTGTCCTTATATCATATCAATATTGTCTCCATATCACAAGTCATAACGTGTCCTGCAAGACATGAGTACCAATGTACTAAGAGTCTGATTGCATGGTCTTGTGACTAGGCTTGTCACCCCTTGGTATATAATAAATTTATTAAATAAGAAATAATAAGCCCAACATGACTTAACAGACGCTCACAAGCAGCAGATGCAGGTAGTGGGGAGTTAAGCTTCAGAGACAAGTCACAAAATGTCAGGAAAGACCTCAGTAGCTTCATTCCATCCCCTGGACATTCCAAATAGCTGTCAAGCTCCTTCAGTTGAGGAATTTGTGGATGATTGTTGACTAAGTTTGACAAAGACTCACCGTGAACTGTCCCTCTAATTGGGGGTGTGGCTGTGGTGACGTCACCCTTCGATTCTAACTGATGAGTGGCTGAATTTTTTGCACCACGTAACATCTGGCAGGTGCTGGAATTATGTAAAGCATTTTAGAATCACAGCCTCATTGAAATTCATTTTAGGTACAGGTACCTGTATAGGCAAACAGCAACTGACATCTGATGGAAAGGTGGGGGGAGAAGTGAGGAGATTCGATGAGGGACGGGGGATAAGAGGGTAGGCTAAGTGAGGTGGGTGATCAAAGTGCTAGTGAACACAAGAAGATCAAAGGGAAAATCCGATGTCATGGCCACTGCCACCTGATCTGACTTCGCCTCACAAGACCTCTAGGTATGTTACCGCATGGTGTCTCCCCACACCCTACACCCACACAACTCTTTTACTGTGGTTACTAATTAATTAATTTAAAAATATATTATTAGTTTGTCACAGACATTAAAACTCTATTTGTTTGTTTGGGGATCTGTACAGCATTCCCAACTTTCGGGAGGCAGCTTTAGCTATGTTAAGGACGCGTGATTTCCATGACATATTAGAGGAAATGGTGAGGCCTAGCATATCTATTTCAAAATTTGGCAGAATGATAGCATCCTGAAATGTAATTGGTGGGAAATCATCTAATTTAGAAAGTGTAATTGGTAAATACTGAATTTTATTACTATTGAATTTAACAAAGTTTCTACCTCCCCATTCAGAGATGCTGCACAGATCCGCATTGATAGAAGTAATGATATCAGCTCTAGAAACAGATCTAGTTTGAGAGTTAAGAGGAAGGGGAAAATGTGAAGAAGAGTGAAGAGTAGAATCATCAGCGTAAGAATGGATAGAATTAGTTGTAGTGTGAAGTAAATCATTGATAAAAAGAAGGAAGAGAGTAGGTGAAAGAACAGAACCCTGTGGGACACCACTATTGGTAGAGAAAGAGCGAGAGATCGATCCCTAGACAACAACTGCAATGGATCTGTTCTCAAGGAAGCTAGAGATTAGACAAGAAAGTCGGGGAGAGAAACCATAAGAGGGAAGTTTAGAAAGCAAAGATTTGTGCCATACCCTGTCAAATGCTTTGGAGATGTCGAGGGCCAAGACGAAAGTTTCCCCATAATCCCTAATAGAGGATGACCAAAGATGGGTGCAAGAGGAGAGCAGATCAGTAGTAGATCTGGCCTGGCAAAAGCCATACTGGTGATCCGACAAAAGAGAATGGCGTTCAAGGAGACGGAGAAAATGGGAGTTCAAGATAGTTTAGAAAATCTTAGAGAGGGATGAAGTTAGGGCAATGGGGAAATAGTTAGAGGGATTAAAATGGTTACCCTTCTTCGGGCCGGGCTGAACCAAGGCATGCTTCCAAGAAGAAGGAAAAGATTGGGTTTGAGGCAGAGGCGAAAGAGGCAAGCAAGCACAGGGGGCCAGAGCTTCAGCACACTCCCTCAGAACACGAGGGGGTATTCCGTCCGGTCAGTGCGCCTTACACACGTCTTTTTTGGATAACACACCGGTAACCCTGCGAGTGGAGATAATAGGAAAGCGCATGGGTTCAGTAGGAGGAGCAGGGGTAGGAGGGATAGAGTGGGAGTCGTCTAAGGTGGAATTAGAGGAGAATAAGGTGCTAAAGAGATTGGCTTTGTCAGAGTTGGCTATAGAGATATCAGGTCGGAAGAGAGGAGGAAACGGAGTGCAGAAGTTATTACAGATGTTTTTCGTTAAGGACCAGAAGGATTTACTAGAGAAAGAATTAGTCAGGATAGTGATATCTTCGTTAGCTGGAACAATTGGTGCACAGCACTTCCGGGAATGAGAGATTCCAGTTAACGAAATGACTCTCAAAGCCGGAAAAAAATATCGCTCATCCCCGGAATTTTCCGGGTAATGGAAAAATTTTCTCGGAAGTTCCAGAAATTGCCCATTACAGCATCTCTCGAACCTGGGAAAATATCCCTCATCCCTGGAATTTTCCGGGTGATGGAAATATGTTCTCAGAAATTGCCCATTACATCATCTCTCGAACCCGGTAAAATATCCCTCATCCCCGGAATTTTCCGGGTAACGGAAAATTTTTCTTGGAATTTACAGAATATGCACCTGATTTTCATTTCTCAAACCCGGAAAAAACTCCCCCATCCCCGTAATTTTCCGGGTATCAGGAAATTTGTTTGGAAATTTCCAGAAAATGTGTCCCTTGGAAAATTTTTCCCAAAGCCGTAATTCTCCCGAAAATTCCAGCTTTGGGAACGATTTTCCGAGAAAATTTCAATTCCAACTATCGGAGAGTTCCGGGTTTGAGGAATTCCGGCAATCGGAGAGTTCCGGGTTTGAGGAATTCCGGAAGGGAGATATTACTGTACTTAGCCAATCAAGAGCACACTCATGGTAAAATAGTGTTAGTAGGAACTAAGCTGGTCATGGCAAAACATCCACTACGGATAATTAAATAAGAAGTTGTCGCCTCTTTTGAAATAACTGGTAAATATTTGTCCATTGGCTGTCTTCGGGTTTTGAAACAAAAATAGGTGTTTTTGGTGTATTATGGTGTTTTACTCAAATCTGACCTTCATTTCTTGTGCAAATTAGCATAAAAAACCCCAAAAAATAACAATATTTAATTTGTAACAGAAACCGTTAATTTGCACCAAAATAGCGGTCATGTTTGAGTATAAAAAACAAAACAAAAAAACACCTAACGTTACCTAACCATTTTTTTGGAGCTTACCTGCTACTGTCGTGAAGGATACAGCTGGGTGATCTGATACGCTTATGGTTATAGACAAGAGAATTGGTTTTTTCTTTAAAGTAAACAGCTAGATAAGAGAGAGAACACTTTTCACGCCATCATGAGCCTTCAAAATTCTAAGTATGCGGTGAAAGTCTGCTTCAAAATGTTTGGCCAGCCAAGTCACATGACACGATACTTGTAGGTCATTGGTTGTCATGTCGCAAAGAGAAGGAGGAGAGGAGAAGTGACTCTGGAAACATGGCAGATACAGAAATTTACGCCTAGAAATTTGTGAGATACTCCGTTAATATTGATTTGCACCAGAAATAATATGGAGTCGTATGATTTTTTTTAGTCTTTATGACTGTGATATTGAAAACTGGAAGCCTGCACACAGCCAATGGACGAATATTAACCAAAATACTTACTATAATGATAAAAACATGTCGAAAAATTGAAAGAAATCAAACAACTCCTTCTGGTGTTAGTGCCCTTGGCCTTATCATTCACTGAACTACAGGTACACATATACCTGTACACCACAATCCAGAATCACCAAGTTGTGTTACTTGTTTGTGGTATAAATAACTTCATAAATTTTATCAGCTATATCATAACGAAAAGTCAGGGTAAATTTTTTTACAAATTGCCCATATTGGTTTTGGACATGAAACTTGCATTTTTCTGATGGGTTTATGTGGTTTGAAAGATTCTGCCCTTCATTTCTATCGCAAATGACTCGTTTTGAGATTGACAACCTTGGGAGACCTTTGGGAAATCGGGGTTTTTGGGTGAGGAGAGAGCAAAATCGAGTGATATGCAATATAAATGACCAAAGGTGGCTCGGATTTTCCATTTTTAACATGTAAAGAAAAGCCAGCTCAGGATCTATGAGGTTCTATGCATTGTCGTTTCTATTTCTGTGTTTAATATACGAATGCTAATATAAAATCGTAAACAACTTACCTTAATATTGAGTTAATTAAACTATGGTCACAAATAAGAGCTAACAAACGAGATTCATCACGAAATATGCCTGATAACTCGCGATAAGAATAATAACAACAACGCAGATCAAACATTATGTAAACAAGACGCTCTAGCATGTAATCATCACTTGAGGTACAAACTGTAGATGATATAAAGAGAACATAGAATGTATTTAATAAACAAAAGAAGAATAGTGGTATATACGTAAATCTAAACTTAATAAAGATGCGTAATTATTTTATTAAAGGATCAGGAATAATGGAACACAATTTATACTAACAAGGAATTTAAATTGTAGGATTGATTAATGGAAAAAAATCCTAAAAAATACAAAAAATTAAAATAAAAAGTTGTCGTTTCTTTTAATATACTTAAAATCCTCAAAACAAAAAGAATAGCACAAATAAAGAGAATCAACAAACTTCTAATGATAACAGTATCGTCAACATTTACCTAAAAATTCTAATGAATCACACCAAAACCTAGGTTTCATCTTAAAATCAGTTTCTGTGCTAACCTAACCAGACCTAACCTAACCTAACTTAACCTGCTCTAACCTAACTGCTATTGTTCAGAATACAGGACCCCCTCAACAGAGTTCACATTGAAGCAACCAGTATAACCTAACCATACTATACTACACTACACTACACTACACTACACTACACTACACTACACTAACCTTAGAAAATATTCGATGAGTCTCTAACAAATTAATGCGATTTTCTCTAAAACGGATAATTTGCAACCGAAACATTGTTAAAAAAAGTTGTTAGAAATGACGAGATATACCTAGAACTGGACCCAAAAATACTGTGAGACATTATGGACAACTTGTAAAAAAAAACCCCACTCGTCAAACCCTTGTATTTCTATCTTTAGTAAGCATTCATTAATATAAAAATACTATACAGTGAGATACATACCTTACCCACAGTACAATACAAAGCAATAATTAACACCAAGTATAATGGTATACTGAAGTTAACCTAAGTACAGTATAATAATAAACCCCCTACTGTGAACAACAATTGTGGCCTCGTCCTTCACTCAGGATAAGACACATAGTTACACATACTAACACATCACACTCAATCACACTATACATGAATTCAATATCACCAGGACCCCAACTATAGCTTACTACAGCAAAAACTGAGTCCGATTTGGATATCTTGTTGCCGGCCAACTACTGATAAGATGGTGACAAAGGGATAAACTTGACACCCTTCTGAAAAGACTTATTAACCTATCAGAAGTTTAATACCTTTGAGAATTATAGATAGCTTTATTTCTTGTCGTATAGATGAGTGGATGAAAAAAATAAAAGTGCTGCTCCCTTTCGATAAATATTCTATCTAGGAAATCTTTTTGTACAAGGTATTGAAGGAAAAAAAACGGTAATGGTAACAATGAATGGGTAACTATACTATTTCCACGCTACCTTGGCCCGTAAGCCACGTCCCTCGTCTATACCTACAGATAACTGATTGGTTCATAAATTTTTTTTATGTAGCTGTCCATTTATTCAAACTAAATGTGTTCACAATTGGCAAAAAGGCCTGTTGCTCTCTAAAATATTGTTAAATATCTGGAATATCAAAATGCAAATGATTTCAAGGTATTAGCATTTCAGAAAGGATGTTAGAAAATTGTAAATATTTATCATAGAAGGTCGAAGTGAAAGTTTAAAGTAGCTTTCGAATGAAGCCTTTTCATTATAGCTTTGTTTTATACCAAACATCAAGCAAACAGGAAAAAATGACACCAAACATATAGGGTGATCGTCACTCCACGAATAACTATAGACCGATGAGCCTGACCAGCATGGTATGTAAAGTACTTGAGAGCATTATAAGAGATGCCAGGATGGAACATCTACTACGAAACAACCTTGTAAAGGATTGCCAACACGGTTTTATGCCGGGACGCTCCTGCTTAACACAATTACTAAAGGTACTGGGTGTTTAGATCCAAATTCTGGAACAGGGTGGTAATATCGACAATATATACCTAGATTTTGTCAAGGCTTTCGACAGCGTACCCCATGAAAGGCTGAAAATTAAACTGGAAGGGTACAGGATTCGGGGAAATGTAGTAGGTAGAAAGGCAGCTACCAAACAGGGAGGTACTACCGCCTGGGAAGATATTGGAAGCATAATGTGTTGTCTAATGGTAGACCCTGCTGCCATATGGCATCACAAAAATTGTGACCAAGTCCCAGGTTGCTGATCTGACTTTCTGCCTCATTTACACACAATTGCAGGGTCTCAATTGTTTCTCTTACTTGGACAACACAACAAATATAATGTATATAATTTCTCACTCTTGATTTATTTTTTCAATTTTGTATTTTTTATGGTTATTATTTTTATTATTTTATTTGTAATAATTTGCTATTAATTGTTATAATAATAATAATAATAATAATTAATAATAATAATAATAATAATAATAATAATAATAATAGATATTATTATTATGATTATTATTTATTATTAAATTTTCGCCCCCTAGGCCCTGATGTGGGTCATTACCTGTGCCCGGGTGGGCTAATGTCCGTAAAAAAAAAAAAAAAAAAGCGTGGATTGGAGATTTTTTCATGACCGCAAGCAGGGTGTGGTGATTAATGGCACGAAATCATCATGTCACAAGCGGGGTACCACAGGGCAGTGTATTGGGCCCGCTGTTGTTTGTTTGCTTATAAATGACATGCCTGACGATATACATTCCTCCATAAAAATATTTGCGGATGACGCCAAGTTATTTCTGGAAATTAAGAACCAAATAGATAGACTGTGAAGAGCTGCAGAAAGATCCCTGTGAGCTTAAAAAAATGATCGAAGAAGTGGCTGCTAAGATTAAATGTCACGACTCACGAAGAGTAAGAGGCTGCACCTGGGATGTACCAACGGCAAGGAGGCGTATCACGTATCCCAACGGGACGAAGAAATTGCATTAATTGAGACAACGTGAAAAGGACCTAGGTGTGTATGTTGACAATGAGCTGAAGTTTTCGGGCCATTGTGAGAAGAAGGTGAATCAAGCAACTAAATTATTAGGTTTTATAAGAAGGTCGTTCAGATACCTAGACGGTCCGTCCCTCGTAACGATCTTCAAGCGTGAGGTGCTTCCCAGTCAGGAGTACTGTCACCCCGTTAGGTCCCCGAGATATGCTAGGAACTGTCAGTTGATTGAAAATGTCCAAATGAGGGCCACCAGACTGGTGCCTACACTTCGGCACCTCAGCTACCTTGAGAGATTAGAGCACCTGCAATTACCTAGCTTATACTGCAGACGGGCAGCAAGGGGGACCTAATTGGGTTGTCTAAACATCTTAAAGGGCACTACTTAGTCGAGTGTCCATACCTGGAGCTGGCGGACGCTCGCCCCACAGGGGGTCACAGCTCAATGTTGAAGAAGCCGCAAGCCCAGAAAACTGTGAGGACTAACTTTTTCGGATTGAGAGTTGTGAACACTTGGAACAATATGCCAGAGAGTGTTGTGACGGCACCGAGTGTGAGCTCTTTCAAGACCAGACTTGACAAGCACTGGAGCAGGTTCAGATACATTCAGGAGCCAGTGCATGCCCAGTACTTGCCAACAGTGCGTAACAGAGACGTGGCCGATCGCCCAAGCGGCTAATGAGCCGATCAGTGGTGAAGAGGATAAAAGTAAAAAAGTATGAACTACAGTTTGTTCGGCTGGATATATTCCAAATAATTTACATAACTTATAAAACTCAATAAGAGTCCATGTAAATAAGCGCAGTCCGTGGGAAGGTAAAACGCACAGGGGAACAGCTTCAGGTTTATAAAGAGACAGATCTTTCTCTCAATAGATAGCTGGTAAAGGCGCGATATGCTTCAGTCAGTCAGGGGTGTAATTCCCTCCGGAGAGAAAGTGGTTGTTGTGAGGGAAAGGAAGAGCGCGGTAGAGGTGGGGGAGACTTAGATCACATGGGGATGTTGTGGGGGTGTGAGGGGGGGTTCTAGACAACAAGAGGGAGGGGGGGGAGATCATAAAGGTGTGTGTGAGGGGGGTTAATGAGGGGGAGAAGAACTGTTGGGGGGGTGATGATGGAGGTAGGGTGAGTAGTGACGAGAGTTTGGGAGGGTTATTCAGGGAGGTTTTGGTAAATTCATTTATGGGTTTGTGGAAAAGCTCTATCATCGTATCGCTGTTGTACAAGGGCCGGGGAATAGAGGTTACATCATTGTGATGTGGTTACGAGAACGCCTTTGTATACAATATATCTTATTAATGTAGTTGAAGTGATTTTGATCGCTTTCTCTATTTACTCGTATATTGTAAATTAAGTATGCCATTCCGGCTAGTTTCTATACACGGTGACTGATCACTTGGGTTCCAGTCCTATTTGGTTCAGCCTAACCTAACCATTATAATAGGGGTCCAGTACTAATGGAGCCCAGGACAAGTGGGTCCATTCTCATTCCTAAAGGGCTCCATTTTTAACGGGTCCCAAATCTAAGATCGAGTTAGTTTAGATTAGGTTAGGCCAGAGCCCACCAGAGGACTGGGACCCATTTGACATACGTCCTTACATTTCTTGCTTAGTGGAAAATTCAGTGTACGGGCCTTTGAGAGTCCAGCTTGTGGTGAAGGGGATGAAATCCATGTGGAAATTCTTGCGTCATCTCCGTGTGCGTGTAACAGTTCAGTTATCCTCCGTTGTAGGTAACGGAACTAATGGATTGAGCAATAGCGTTAAGTTCATCTGAGTCCCTTCTTCGTGTTTCCTATTTGGAGAGGATTGTCGGATTTTCAGTGTTTCGTATGTCAGTCTTTATCTCGAAGCTGCAAGGTGGGGGGGGGGGGGATATCGCGTTACTGTAGTCTTAAAGGACCCTCCTGGAAATAAGCACAACACCTGACAGCTTTGTCGAGTATCCGTGGTCAAGTTGCCGTGTAGTGGATTTCTCCCCTACAAACGCTGTTTGTCGCTGCGTAGCCGACCCCACGAATTCCACAGTGTGTGCCTCGTGGTCTAGGTCAACCAGCGCCGCCATACATCACGGAGCGGGGGTCAACTACTAAGCCACGCCTACCCCCCGCTATTTAAGACCTGACCTCGTTGTGGGGCGCTTGTGGTAGAAGCGGTACCGCTCTTGCCTCGCAAGCAAGATGTCACGGGTTCGATTCCCGGGCAAGCGGAAGTTGTTTGGACACTCTTCCTAGCCCCCTTGGTCCCTGTTCACCTAGCAGTAAAGTAGGTACCTGTTGTAAATCGAAAGGTTGCGAATTCGTATTCAGGGAAAGTTGTTGGAGCTTCTAAACTTGAACTGACACAATCCGGAGGAGTGGTGACCCGAGGATCACACCCAACACAGACAAAAAAACCAAATACGTGCGCTATGCGCTAACCAAATAAACGCAGTCGTGTAAAGTCACGGCGCTATCTCTCCCACTACAATTCCCTTCCTAACCTCCTGCTCCTTCCTCTGTTATCTTCCCCGCTCTGACTTTCGCTACCAACAATTTTTTTGGAGCTTCTAAACTTGAACTGACCTGCCTCTTTCTACCTACACCAACCAGCCAGCAACACCTCCTCCTCCTCCTCCTGCCTGGTGGTCCTCGCTCCCGCCGGCGAGCATGGCGACCCACAAGCTGGTCCTCCTCTGAGCATCCTCACCAACCAGCTCTCTCTACATCACGCTTGTAACCATGCTGCCTTCCCAGCACCAAGCTGCATTGTACATCCAATACAACATGTATATAGAGAGCACATTGTGAGTTTCCTTTCTCCATCCCATCCTGAGTGTGAACCAAACATCCCAAAAACACCACAGCCATACTGTTTACCATTGTCGTTAACCTGCTCTGTCTCGGCACACAGGAAACTGTGTGCACTGTATTCTGTACTTACATTATCCATATTCATGCTGAACTGTATAACTGCATAGTTTATAAGCATGTTTATTCAATTGTAAACCCAAATTACAACTTTACTGATTAAATATTGTTATTATTATTATCATTATTAGTGCTTTTTGATACCACTGAGATTGCTGTCTCTTCGTGTCATAGCAGAAGAAAATCGTCCATGGTATTTTTCACATCTTCAGTTAGGGGTGAAAATTCCTCATATTAATTTATGAACATTTGCATGCGTAAATGAATGGGTGTATGTGTTTAAGCACACACACACATACACACATATATATACACTCAGTACAGACTAGCTAGTCTGTACTGAGTGTACTCACCCCTGAAGATGTGAATTACACGAAAGCGCTTGGGAACTTCGTGTTTTCTTCTTTCCTTGTGGTTATCAGCATATACCTAGATCACGCGCACCTACAGTGATTTACTTATATATATATATATATATATATATATATATATATATATATATATATATATATATATATATATATATATATATATATATTTATTGTGTGTATATGTAGGCTACGAATGGATATGCATATGGCAGATTGTTAAGACACGTGTGTTTGTTTAGAGTATAAACTTATATGCGTGCGTGAATGTTATGTATGTGTGTGTAGAGTGCATAATAGGCTACATGTGTGTACGTGTATGTACAGTATACGTGAAACCAACTGTGGTAAGCGACAGTCCCTTTGACTCCTTTCTCCTCCAGCCAACCACCCCTTCACCTCACTCCCTCAGTCACTCACCGAGCACCGATCACAGCGGAGCGAAGGTTTTCTCTCTCCACCCTCTGTTGTTGCTACTGTTACAGCAAGTTTTTCCAGCACCGCCGCGCTTCCTCCTCACGGACTACTACAGCGAAAGTAAAGGCTTTATAATTATAAACACAGTAGATATATATCAATATTGATGTTTTTGTTTTAATGTTCAGTTAATAATATAGCAAAATTTTAATGATCAAACTTCACACTGCCTTAATTATCATTCTTGATGCATATATATGCTGGAGCTGGATAGCTCTGTCAGTTATGACCAACTGGACATCCTAGAAGTCCAGTGAGAGCCATCCTCCATGAGTCTACATAAAGAAAGCAGAATGCCCGGATAAAAACTTGCCATGTTTGTAAGTCTTATTGGACAATACCCTTGAGTTCGATTTAGAATTTAAACTGATTTCGAGATGGTAGATAAAATTCTCGTAGATGTGAAATATCTACATAAGCAGGCCCGTCCTTTAGGGGGATGGGGGGCGAACAGGGGCGACCGCCCAGGGCCCCGCGCGTGTGGGGGCCCAGCACTAGACCCAGTTACCTCGGGCACATTACCTGTTGACTGGTTAATCTGACCTGACGGGTTACACCACCATCGCAACCGTGACCTTACCATCCATAGCGACAGTCCCATGGGGGTTGGTGGGGATGGGTTCCTCTGACCGCATAGTCTGACTCCATATATATATATTTTCTGGGGCCCCGCAGTGGCTAAGTTGCCCTGGGCCCCGCACCCTCCTAGGAACGGCCCTGTACATAAGTGTTACGCACAAATATGGAATCTGTGGGATCATGGAATTCTGGCAACGAGCAAACGAAACCTACGTAACCTGATGTGGTCCATAGATTTTGTGTTATTATTTTGTTAACTTTAGTATATTCGTATGAGATGTTGTTAAGTTGTTGTGTATATAGCAATATGTGATTCATGTCACAGCAATCCGCCTTAAAGTGTAAAATATCGCGACAATTTCAAGACCGGACCAAATATAAAACGAATTTGTACATGTGCTTCTCGGCTGCAAGGATAATGAACACCACCATTTTAACCAGAAAAGAACAAACATAATAAGAATTACAGTCCGAGACAGAGAGGGAAGAACATTAAAGGAGGTAAGGAACCATTATAACAGGTAAAGGACAATGGAAATTGGTAAAAAAAAATCATTGATATGGGTAATTAACAGTTAACATGGGTAAGAGGCCATTAAGACAGACCTAACCTATCCACTAACTAAGGGAAGGAAGGAACCATTAAGGGAGGGGAGGAACCACTAAGGGAGGGAAGGAACCCAATAGGCGACAGTCGCTGAAGAAACACAGATTGCTTTTACCGCTCAGTACCTGTCATGTGGCCTAACCGTAATAGCATTCGCAGCAACATTCTGTTTCCTTCACATCACAGCAAAAGGTCACCGTTCATCGCAATACAACATTTGCCGTAACACAGTAACTATCAGAACACAGCACCTACCACAACACAGCACCTACCACAACACAGCATCTACCACAACACAGCATCTACCACAACACAGCACCTACCACAACACAGCATCTACCACAACACAGCATCTACCACAACACAGCACCTACCACAACTTATCACCCAGCTGTGTTCACAACGACATCTTACCATTAGCTTATGCAGTGGTGATGGGGGGGGGCTAATGTGGGCACTCCCTCCTCACAAACACACCCAGACCAATTCTTGCCCACACCCACACACATCCTCCCCACACACACACACACACACCCTCCCCACACACACACACACACACACACTCTCCCAAGACCCACACACCACTCCACACCCACACCCTCTCAACACCCACACACCCTCCCAACACCCGCACTCCCTCACCCCATACCCACACACCCTCCCAACACCCACACACCCTTTCCACACCCACACACCCTTCCCTCACCTACACATCCTCCTCCCTACACATACACTTCGCTCTCACACTCACACATTCTCTCCACGCCCACAGACCCTTCCCATGCCCACAGACCCTTCCCACACCCACAGACCTTTCCCACGCCCCCACGCCCACAGAACCTCCCCACACCCACACACCCTTCCTACTAACCCCCCCCCCACACACATCATATTAAGTTATTAAGGGCGTACACCCCCAGTTGATTGGACTAACCATATTACACACATAACTGGCAAAACGGAGGTGGGGCAACTTCCATTACCTTTAGTGGCAAACAGATCAGTTTCCCCACGTGACTCGTTGCTTACACCGTGTACTAAACCTTCGCTACACAGTGAAGTAACGTTACCAGCACTGCACTCGACAGCCTTCACTTCCCCATCTGTAAATATAAGGACCATTTACAGGTGGGTTGAATGAGAGTGCCCCGGGATAGAACTACCGACCATTAAGGCAGGGGGGAAATTATAGCAGAAAAAGTCCGTAAACGAGTATGTGGAGCTTCACTAAGGGATAATTACACAGCTCAACAGAATGTCTGGATCACTTGAAGATTAGGCACCCTATCTTATTTTGGCCTGATGATTAAACACCGTAATACTTTATTCCCCAGGCGGCGTTAGGGTGTTTAGTCATCAGGTGACATAAACTGGGGTGCCTTAAGAGATCTGATTATCCTTCAGAGTTTGAATTTATAATCAGTGGAACAACGGTACGATGACTTGTGTCTGAGATTTAACCAGGAAGTTGTGGTTGACCTCCAGCACCGATACCTCCTGCCCTCTACCTCTGACAGTTGAGTAAAAGGATAATACTGTACCTGCAGTGGGAGCTGGTAGGTGCTCAGGAGAGGGCTGGTATCAGAGTATCATAACGTTAATTCTAAGCATTATAATCTGTACCTGCGCTGATATTCCCTTGTGCAGAGAAAGTTTATTATTTTTATTATTATTATTATTATTATTATTATTAAAATATTAGCCGTAATGATACAACACCTCAGTAGTAATAGAGATGGTACTGTGCTGTATCACAACACATTACATACTTATTTTTTAGCGTTATCACTTTGATTATTATTTTCTTTGCGTAACAACAAATTCTTTAAGAAGCATATTTCATATCTAAGTGTATGTGTATTTTATATTTGTGTGTAAACGCAATTATATACTGTACTGTATGTCATGCCTTTAAATATCTAATATACTTATCAACACTTTTGCGTTCTCTTCAGAAATTTATTCCTCATGTCAGTAAGTAGAGCAGGAAAGTTTAGCGGTTGTGTTACACGTTTTATATTATTTCAGGGAGGAATGAGAATGAGGGAAATGGAGGGGGCGTGGAAGGTTGGGTGTGCTGGACCGCTGGGGCTAGACTAGTGCTCGGAGCCATCTTGTGAGGGAACACCAGTACCTCCTTCACCTCTTGCTGCCATGTCTCCTATCACTCCTCTCCTTCCGCTACACGTGCTGCTACATCTGCTGCTGCTGTTGCTTCTTCCTGGTAGGTTCAAGGGAATGCTGTCGGGTGATTAAGAGTGCTGGTGCCTCTGCCACTACAGTAGGTCACCGCGCTGCTGCTATTCCTGCTCTCTGATAGGTCAAATTGGGTGTTGTGGTAGCTCGGTGGTATTACCTCTGATCCCTGCTAGGTCAGAGAGAGCTCAGTCACGGTGTGGGGGAGGAAGACAGTGCAGAAGGAGGCAGAGCATGACTGGTTCATAGTGACTGTGGAGGATGCTGGCGTCACTTCACGGGAGGTGCTTATAACTGTTAACTGTTGTGTCCCAATCTGTTGTGGCGTCAGTGACTATGGTAGAATCGGAGATTGTTTATCCGGCGCTGTGTGTGTGTATGTGTATCTAATATGCACACACACGCACGAGGATGAACCAGAACATTGTTCTCTTGTATCTTAGAAAAAAAAACACGTCCAGCGGCAACTTTCTCTTCCCAGGTGAAACTACCTCCTCAAGGACATGGAGGTCTTTGATACTTGGGAAAACAAAGTTTATTGACAAACTCGGGAGGGAAGAGGGAAGGGGGGCTAGTGGGAGAATCTGGCTAAGGATTAATGGAAAGCGACATCCCACAAGACAGGAAAGACCCTTAGACTACACCTACAAACACTCTTGTGCTCCACATTCCAATTTTTCATCTACTGACACTCGGCAACTGTCGGACGAAAGTGAAACTTGCAGCTATTATAATTGTAGCAGAACTGTCGAAGACCCCTGACAACAACTGTTCAACCTTTGCTAACGTTGTACGCGTTTTGCTAACTTAATAAATCCTCTATTAATTTTTTACACAATTTAGTAACTTTGTATATCTTCCGTTAACTTTGTACACTTTCCGTTAACTTTGTACATTTTCCGTTACCTAAGTACATTTTCTGCTAAGTTTGTACACTTTTTGTTAACTTTGTACATCTACTGTCTTTGATACTATAACCTGTGGTAAGTGTAGTGGGTGGTGGAGGTGGGAGTGGGGCAGTTTAGTAACGTGGGTGGTGGTTGTGGGGCAGCTTAGAGGAGTGAATACGAGGCTATACTTCTCCATCAGCATGAGGCAAGTTCTACACACAGTTGTCGTAAGTCTCATTTTAAGTTACACAGATTATCTAATGATTATCATATGTAGTTCAAGAACTTCATACAGCCCTTCTTTGTGAGACATTATTATTATTATTATTACCATTAAATTTTCAAACATTTATCGTTTTGACTAGAATCAAGCGCGCGCGCACACACACACACAAACAGAGCAAATGCTTATTACATTTTGTGAAATTCTTGTACACAGATTACTGGAATTTCTCTTAGATGTCTATAATTATCTTGATATTATTGCAGCTTTTGGTGTGTTTTGTGTGTGTGTGCGCGTGCTTGTTTGCGTGTTTTTCCTCAATACCATAGTAGGCTACTATATTGACACGTTTTTATGTACACATGTATGTTTAATATATATGTTGACATGTATCAGTGGCTCTGTCCATATGTATGAACATCTTTATACATGACAATTTATGTATATATGTATAGTTGACATAAAAATTATGCACTTTTACGGTGTTATACAATATGACACACCGGACCAAGAATTCTGAACAACACTCATTTACTAGGGTGATTCCTGTTAATCTATCTATACTAACTGTACGTGAGATACAGAATACATCGTATTAGTTACACAAGGCATCACACAGTCAGAAGTACCAACCTTACCAAATTAATATGGTCTCAGTCAGCGATCGTTGCGAAGGCCGTCAGACCCAGGATTGCAGAATATTTTTTGTCGACTATACCTATAGCCAATTAAACCAGAGAACAACACACATGACCCACGGCACCGTTAACCTTCCCCCGTTATGTTGATAGCGGTACAAGTTGGCAGCAACACCTATTATACACCTGTGTCTTACTTCCGGCGTTCTCCAGGCAGAGTCCTTTGTTGGCGCGCGCTGTGCTAGGAACAAACACACACACAAAACCTCTTCAACATCTCCATTGGTTTGAGTCATGAGAGTTCATATGAGTGTGATCCTGTCATGTAGGAATCATTTATTGTCACACCCAAAGTGATGAACTTCAACAAGCGATGCAGTAATTGTCAACGAACTTGAGAAAAAGTAGCTATAGTGGGAGCCTAGAACTGGCTAACAACGCTATCGATCAGAGCAAAGGACTTCAGCCTTAACAAACACGAATTTACAGATGCCATTGCTCTCAGTTATGGTTAGCTATGTAGGAGGTGTGCCGACACAATAGTGTGTGGCTCATTCTACGACATGTACCATGCCATGGTGTGCAAGAAGGTGGGCCTCGTGAGCATGGGGCATGAAGAAACAAGGGATCTCACAGCAAATATGCTGAAGGAAATCTGGTACGACGTCACGACGGAACCAACCCTCTTCCATTGGATGGTGAGAACTTCCATCACGGGACTTTCAATGCATCCAACAAACCCGTGTTGACGTCAGTGCTCGAGGATTCTGGACGGGGGGACAGCGAGCCTTCTTTGATATCAGGATATTAGACCCAATGGCCGCATGTCACCGTAACCTGTCTCTCGACGCTGCACACAAGAGGAACGAGAACGACAAGAACAGGGCGTAACTTAGAGAATTCAGAACGTGGATCAAGGCAGCTTCACTCCTCTGGTATTCACAACCTCTGGTGGGATGGGACCAAGTGCAAGATGCATCTACACAAGACTGGCCGAGTTGTTATCTGAACAGAAGCAACAGCCCAGAAACTACGTTGCAGCCTGGTTGAGATGTCGCCTGTCCTTTTCTCTGCTTAGGTCTGCATTGCTTTGCCTCAGGGGAAGGGGATTGAGACCATTGGCCCTAAGCCAACAACAGTCGCAAATATTGACTATGCGGCAACAGCTATCAACAGGGAGGTACTACCGCCTGGGAAGATATTGGAAGCATAATGTATTGTCTAATGGTAGACCCTGCTGCCATATGGCATCCTAAAAATTGTGACCAAGTCCCAGGCTGCTGATTTGACTGAATCAATTGTTTCTCATACTTTGACAACACCACATCTATATCATTTCTCATTCTTGATTTTTTCCATATCTGTATTTATTTGTGGTTCAATTTATATATTTCTTCGTCCCCAGGCCCCGATGTGGGTCAGTGACCTGTGCCCGGGTAGGCTAATCCCCGTAAAAAAAAAGTTACTGAATGCCGCATAGATCTGCAGCTTAACTAACTCAGCTAGGGTAGTTACGTTTGTATTAGGATATTAAGGTAATTAAATGGTGGCGAAGGTGTAGCTATCAGGGGAGGTTGGAGGCCACGTTATACAAAGGCCAGTAACAGCAGCAGCAGCCCTCTCTGCTCAGTAACAAACTCTCCACTAACACAAACTGTGTCTATATGTTTATCTCCTTCAGTCTGTTTACATTTATGCACATTAAGGGAATTATTAAGTTTGATTTGTAATGAGGCTACAGCGTGGTACAATAGTCAGGAAGCACGAGGTTACAGATAAATACAGTACAGTACATATAAAAGTGCGACAGTTTTATCCCACAAGCTGTAAATCTGTTAATGTGACAAGCACAGCGAGTACCAAAAAGCACGATTATGTAGTAAAATGTAGATAATATAGGACTCTGAGTACGTAGTAGTGGCAATGATACATGGAATAATACATAACAGGGAGTATGATAGACGGTACTGTAACATACTAGTTGTGGGAAGTCTTGAGTGGGTGAGTTGAGACTGGTCGGTGAGGTACTGCACCGTTATTACTGGGGTTGACAGTAACCGACCTGTGTCCGATTAGCCTAGATCAGCTTCGGCTTCGGCCAGCATAACGACGACGACGACGCCTTTCAGTGCAGCCAATATACACAGACGATATATATAATGTTGATGTCTCATTTCTTAGCTACTTCACGTGGGTCTATACATGTATTTATTTATTTTGTATGATTATTTTCGTCTCCCCTTGTTCATGATATTGATTTTATTTACCTTGGTGTTGATTAGGTTTGTTATTGCATTAATTACTTTGTTTCCCTATCATGGTTATGACAAGAAATCGGCCATGCCATGTGTATGTAAACAGCTGTCCATAAGTCATCTTCTCTCTCTGTTTCTCTCTCCCTAATTACTTTGATAGTTTCAACTCACACCTTATATTCAGTTATATGAGCACTGTACACGAGTACAGGTTTTAGCATAAAGTATAGGTACAGTAATCAAACCAGCCGTCCTGTGGTGGTGTTATACATGCCTGTCATGTGCCATTGACACCAGTGAAGACACACACAGCTGTCACAGTGAGCAAGGAAGGAATGGTGCTGGTGAAACGGGGTCAACCCTTCAAACACAACAAATTACATGTGTTTTCCCGAATATTTGTGTAATTTCTGCAAGAATCAAATGAAGAAGCTGAATTTTATGTATCGAGAACTCAGAGACTCTTACATACCTATTCCAACCTGAGAGAGACTGAGGCGCGGGAAGGCCATATCGAACCAAACCCGAGTACTGAATAAGATCCCATGTAGGAACACATTAGTAGGGTTAATACGGCAAGGTAAAGCTGGTTGAGCTGGTCCTCCTCGAGTGACTGAAAGACTTTTTTTTTCGCATTTGAAAGTCTAAGAGTGAACACAAATGTATTTGAGATATGCGTTGTTCGAATGGTACGGGGATATGTAGGACTTGCGTGAGACATTTCTTACTACAGATGGTGGTGGTGGTGGTGGTGGCGGCGGCGGAAGCGAAGTAACCGCTACCACAGAGAAAGTGTTGAGGAATATGGGCCAGGTTGACAAAGTTCCTCCTGCAGGTGTTATCAGGAAGCATGACTTACCCGCAGGTACTGGCAAGAGGGACTGTCCTATATTTTTTCAATCTGTTGATATTCAAATGTTTTGAAGGACTTTACATTAATCTTCTATTCCGCAAATTTGGTTAGAGAGAGAGAGAGAGAGAGAGAGAGAGAGAGAGAGAGAGAGAGAGAGAGAGAGAGAGAGAGAGACGACTACTGGCTGGCACTAGTATCTACAGTCTTGTCCTGTTTCAGGGGATGGTGTGGATGGAAGCTTAATCAGCAATCGTGGTCTGCGGAGTCAAGAACCACAGATGTTTGCCGAGAGGAGTCATACAGAATCCCAGATCCGAAAGGCGTTGCCACAGGACTTCCTCTCCTCCTACGGTAGGAAGTGGCTGAGACTGCTAGAGACTTCGGCACCACGTTCATCTCAGTTCGTCAGAGAATTTGGACTCTTCCCATCTCAACTTTTCTTGACTTGGCTCGCTGACGAAAGAAATTGGGGAAACTTCGACTCTTCGGCTGTGACAAGTCGCAGCAGAACAGAAGTTTCCAGGCAGTCCCAATACCTTAATGCCTTCAATTCATGGCTCAAACAGTCTAAGTGGAAGAACCCCTTCTTATCAGCAGTAACAAGGAGCAGCAGGAGAGAAGGCTCAAGGAACCTCTTACCATACTTTTCCTTCGACTCGTGGTTTAGTGTGTTCCAGGAAACCTTCAAGAGAGACATGATTTTGAACGTCGGGAAGGTGGGCGGTATCATTCTTCTATACTATCTGGCTCCTGACCTCCTGAGCTGGATCAACAACACATTTGGACAAGGATGAGAATTATGATAAATGTCTCTCGAACATTTCTCATTTACGATAACCTCTCTCAGCATGTTGTCATTGGTGTACTGTGTGAAGGAAGTAAAATGGTGCCAATTGTAATGCGTCTTTACAGTGGATGCTTACACGTATGACAGTACTCTGAAGGTAAACTAAAGTAAATACAAATTATGAAAATAACAATAATTCACAGATTAGAATATAAATAAAAAACGCGGAAATACAGATAAATAACCGAGGAAAGAATAAAACAAAAAATAATATTTAATAAATGAAGAACTGGGGGATAATGAAGTATATAAGTAAATAATACGAATAATGCATAAGAAATGAAGAACTAGGAGTAAAGATATATAAGGGATAAAAGTCTATAAATGAGAGACTATAGTGTAGATACGTAAATCAAAATGTGAATAACTAGAATTGAAGAACTGAATAAGAAATTTGGAATGGTGAACAATAAAAAACAAAGAAAACACAATAAATAGTAATAAACAACAAAAATTGAAGAAATACCTGTATGGGAAGATTTAGAAATAGATACACAGAAATAGGCAACTTGAAGAACTAACACTAGAAACAAGGAAAACAAAAATAGATAATGAAATGTAAATAAACAGGAAATGGATAGACAGGCACAGATAGAAAGAAATAGACAGAGAAATAAAAAATATATAAATTGATAGACAGAAATAGACAAATGGAATATATAAATAGATAGAAATAAATAAAGAGAAATAGTTAACAACGATAAGTATAAATATAAAGCTGAGGTGACCGAAAGGGAGTTATTAACAGGATTGTCTAATAATTGTAATTTATCGTTGGTTGTAAGTAAACAGTTTTGGTTATTAATTTCAAAACTAAACAACAAATAACCATATATATATATAAATATTGAAAAAAATAACCAGTGACTGTTATTTTTCCCAGTAAATTAATATAAAACCACAGAGAGGATATAATTTATTTAGAAGAAAACTTGATATTTTTTTTTACTATTTTATCAGCACAATAATGTTAAATGTGTCTGTTAAATTTGTCAATGATAATATTAAGTAATTTAGTTGGTTTGATTTTCATTTAGATGATTGTGAAGGCATTGGTTTGTTTATATTGCGATGGCTGAGACTGTAGTGTAGTGTAGTGTAGTGAGGATGTGATGAGACCAGTGGATCTCTGATAAAAAGAGATCCACTACATCCGCCCAGTGGCCAAAAGCGTTGTAACACACACAGACACACGGAATATTATAGTAACAACGTTATATCGTGTTGTTCAGACTAAGATCATTGTTATCCGACTCCGAGCCGAATACTCGAGTCTTTTTGGCCAAGTTTCCGAGTAGAGTACGAGACCAGAGAAAGGATAGTTCGAAACCAGAGAAAGGTTAGTACGAGACCAGAGAAAGGTTAGTACGAGACCAGAGAAAGGTTAGTACGAGACCAGAGAAAGGTTAGTAAGAGATCAGAGAAAGTGTTAGTACGAGACCAGAGAAAGGTTAGTACGAGACCAGAGAAAGGTTAGTAAGAGATCAGAGAAAGTGTTAGTACGAGACCAGAGAAAGCCAAATCCGAGTCGAGAATGAGACCAAATAAGGCTAAAATACAAGTCAGCAAGTTCCTGTCGTCTTCGTATCTCAAACACAGGATGTTGATCGTAGATACAGTTAGAAAAGAGATTTTACCACTGGTGCTACAATGGGTTTAGAGCACCGTTGGTACTCTGTGCACCATCTTGGTTTACCCCCGATTGCAGGTTTTAACTTTGGATGAGCCTCAAAACCTGTTAGTTTAGGTTAAATTTTGAACAGTCAAGGTACAGTCAAAATAAAAATTTCGCCGAAAATCCCCAGCCAGGATTATGTTTCTGTTCATCATTAACACAGATGACACTCTTTGCACCAACGCATGGATGCGTCATCTTTTTGTGACTGGACTGCAGATCAACAGTTGGTGGAAAGAGCGTCGTCATCTGTGTTATGAAAAGAAAAAATAATGCCGACAGGAAATTTTCGGCGACCTTTAGGTTTTGACTGTACGTTTATCTTAAACAAGGATTGCTATGGTTTGGTTAGGTTAAAGTCAGGTTAAGTGAAGAGAAACCTTGGAGACTGGAGCAAATATTGAACCACAATAGCAAACTGTGTTCTTAAACCTAAGGTCAACCCGGTGTTAGGCCTCCGGCGAGGGATGTAACTACTGCTATTAATATACCGACTTCATTAATCGTAGGACTCCTGAAGTTTACTATTTTGATACATTATAACAATGATAAACGTGTTATTAACATAAGTGACTATAGCTTATTCCTTAATAATACCACATAACAGGTGGGATCTGTTATTCTCATACGAAAAATGTAAATCTCCAAGATACAGTCAATTGTTTACTCAGACAATGATCCAAAGGCATTGTGTGGGGTCTGACTCACCTTGTGAATGGACGAGAAGGAAAAAGCGGGATTACATTATAAATAAATTTGTGCTGAAACTCTCGAATATTCTGTCAGTCAGTTCGTGGAGAAAATGGGAATTATTCGTGAACATTTAGAACATTTTACCTTGATTGTATATGGACACGCTAACAGAAACTCATATATGTACACACACAAGCTTACATACATAGACACGAACTCTCTGAACATAACATCTGGTTACACTACACAATATAATTAATAACTAAAGAGACAGAACCATATTGACCTTTACGTTATATCAGGGATTATCCGAGGCTGAGACAATTTCATTTGTGTATGAAACGTTCTCAAACCTTCAGTGCTATCTCAGTTTGAATAGGGACATCCGGTGCCCAATGAAATATGACAAGACGCCTTATTTCTATTATAAACTCAAGTGCATAAAAAACCCCTCTCTGTGCAACATGGGTCTTGTTTTTCCCCCAAATCCTGTGCTTTTAAGAGTTAAGAGATCGGGGTCGTCATATACCGAAGAGAACCGGAATCATTATCACAAAAAGATTCACACAGAGATACTGATTATGCAGACTGTACACGTAACCTTTAAAACAAATATTAATCAAAAGTTTCATTTATATCCGAGACATTGATAATTCAATCTGACATGATTGTCTTCCTGTGCTGTTTAAATCTTATTGTAATTGGTAATGAATTAATGAGAATCTAATTTAGTTTTCTTTAACGTTTTAGCTTCACTTGAGAAAATATATAAATTATATATACTGTAGTGAGGTGGCTGTGTGTCGTTCTAGATCACTTCTACTTGTCGTGGCGCTGTGCTGGCAGTCGATGATGTGTGTGTATTGTCCAGCTAGTTTTCCGTCCAACTCTTCACACGTGTTTTCTAAGTAGTTCCCGAAGCACTGCGTCCTGAGTAGTAGAAGAGAGGAGGGTGGTGTAAGAGACGGAAGGAATGTAGTGTACCTAATACGTTAATAAGTACATGTTTCAGAGGGTTGTATTGACTCACAACTGTTCCCGTCAAAGAACCTCAGCAGTATTCGCTTCCCCTTGCCTGAGAGGAGTTGTCAAGGCCCCGGTCCTAAGAGGCTAGGACAGGCAGTGTTGCAGTGCCAATTTTTAAATTTCCGGAGCTGTCAAAATAATTTCCGTTTCCTAAACCATATCTATTGATGCACATATATATATATATATATATATATATATATATATATATATATATATATATATATATATATATATATATATATATATATATATATATATATATATAATATTTGATCTAGTAGTAGTCTAATGTGCTTATTCCTTCGATATTGGTCACATATCTAAAGCTCTTATGCGAGGAAGTACTGTTTTTAAGTGTTTAGAAGTGCACCTGTTATCAAAGTCTTTCCACAATATTGATAAGTCATAAAATGTAAGCTGACCTGAAGGAGAGATTAATTATATGAGGATATATTCGGTTTTGTATATGTATTATTAGTGCAAAATAAAGTTGATTGCTTGATTGGTATAGATTTATAGTAACATATAGAGCTAACTGTAACTTCATGTTAGAAGTTTGGTGTGGTGGAGTGGATGACCGGAGCGGCGCTCCGGTGAGCTCCGGCAGCACTCCTGAGGACAGGTGAGGTTAGGCTGGGGTTCAGTAGTGCTGGGTCAGTTTTTATTGTAATTTTGTCTTATAAACTCGCAACACAACCCCACCTCCCCAGGACTACCACACCTCCCCAGGACTACACCACCTCACCAGGACTACCACACCTCCCCAAGACTACCTCACCTCCCTAGGACTACCACACCTCCCCAAGACTACCACACCTCCCCAGGACTACACCACCTCACCAGGACTATCACACCTCACCAGGACTACCACACCTCCCCAAGACTACCCCACCTCCCTAGGGCTACCACACCTCCCCAGGACTACACCACCTCACCAGGACTATCATCCTCCCAAGACTACCCCACCTCCCAGGACTACCACACCTTCCCAGGACTACCCCACCTCCCCAGGACTACCACACTTCCCCAGGACTACCACACCTCCCCAGGACTACACCACCTCCCTAGGACTACCCACCTCCCAAGACTACCACACCTCCCCAGGACTACACCACCTCACCAGGACTACCACACCTCACCAGGACTACCACACCTCCCCAAGACTACCTCACCTCCCTAGGACTACCACACCTCCCCAAGACTACCCCACCTCCCCAAGACTACCCCACCTCCCCATGACTATCCCACCTCCCTCCTGACTACCCCACTTCCCCAGGATTACCCGACCAACTCACCTCTTTCTGTTACTAGTTTCTTATTGTTGAAGTGGCTGACAAACCCGAAGACAAATGCCACAACAGCCATCAACACAAGGCATGGTAGAGCGATAATACAAGCATGGAAGTAGTGAGGTCTATCTGCTTGTGTTGATGATGTACTGCACGTTAGTTCTGGGTCTGGTGGAGGTTGGGTTGGTACACGCGGCGTTGCTTTTGATAGTGGCCCCGAACACATATCTGAGATGAAAGGTATAGCTGAAATCCTCTGTTTTACTTCAGTACTTTATAGTAAAGATCTTGGATATTATTATTATTATTATTATTATTATTATTATTATTATTATTATTATTGTTATTGTAATTATTATTATTATTATTATTATTATTGTTATTATTGTTATTACTGTTATTATTATTATTATTATTATTATTATTATTATTATTATTATTATTATTATTATTATTATTATTAGTAGTAGTAGTAGTAGTAGTAGTAGTAGTAGTAGTAGTATTGTTGTTGTTGTTGTTGTTGTTGTTGTTGTTTTGCTTTTCGCAGTAGTAGAAGATGTAGTAGAATTAATGTTGTTATTATTATTTCATTTATTGTTGCCATATTTCTTATCTATATAGATCTTCGCCGTATCCTCTAAAATGTTTAGTGTTTACTACTTAAAAACTATTTTACCACTCACAGCATGCCTGAAAGTGTGTGTGTGTGTGTGTGTGTGTGTACAGTAAGATCTTCCCATTAGTGTAGTGGTATTAACGCCTTGAAGCATAGATCATAATTATGTGTTGACTTGCTATCACCGCTTCAGGTGTAAAGAAAGAGGAGGTTGAACTTACCCATGAGGTCATCAGGAGGGCAGGTGGACCACCAGATCTTTGAACCCGGGCTTGAGGGAAACACACAATTTCCAGGAAATTGCTTTTTACTTGAATGCCATTTCGTATTGTCAAGGATGCTGACTGAATATGTGTACCCATCGTCACCTGCCTGTGTATAATAAACATCATCGTGAGTGAGGGATATGAACTCTCACACTCTCTTCTATACGCTATGTTAGATTATAGAAAAAACAACAGCATAAGTCTACCTTTCTGTCAGTGTATATCAGTAGCAGCAGCAGCAAGAACTATGAAGGTTTTTCCGCCATATAAATACTTGATACTCTATCATTTGCAGTTCACACATACAAAGAAGACCTTACTTACGATTTGCTCTATAACAATCTGGTTCCACTTGTCAAGTTTAATATCTGAGGAGTTCCCAATTGTTCCTGACAGATGAACATCGTTCCCGACACTCAGGTTGAGGACAGCCGTTCCAACAGTCCTGATCCAGCCTTTGAGTTTCTTATCTTCGAAAGTATACAGAGTTCCTTGATCTTTTGTCTCCGGAAGTTTGTTAAATTTACACTCTGGAAGAAATATGGAAATGAGAGGTAATTGCCAGAAATAGTATTTTGTAATGAGATGATTCTATAATGTGGCCAGAACGCCTCCTGCTGCCTTGATTGGGGGCTCTAAGACTCGTCACTTAACCTCCCCCTCTCACTGAAGACGAGAAAATATATCTAGTATTGCTCGAGTCACACTACACTTTAGAGGCACTGTTGGCCACCGTTAGTTACGTTTCTACAGTTAGGATACAGTATAACACGGTTTACGAACTTCTGATCATCTGAGTGGATAACGTTGGCTTCCTCTCCTGAGTGTCCGCTGCCGCTCAGAACACTACTGCCACTCTGGTTGTGAATTTAAGATGTTTAAGAAGCTTGGGTCAGTGGACACTTCATCTGACCTTAGGTGTAAAGTGTATGTTTTTCCTGTACTGTGTTACCATGAAATTGAATCACTTGGAAGGTTAAACACCCACGTTTATTTCACCTGAAGATTAACCCCCCTAAAGCAAGCCTAACCTAACATATATATGATAAATTTAATCTAAATCTAACCTAACTTCATCTACTCTAACCTAAACCTATCCTAACCTAAAGCAAACCTAACCTAAACCTAACTTAATCTTTCCTAACTCCCAGCTAGCGTTAGGGTGGTTAAGCTTCAGGTGACCCACCACATTTCCTAATGAGATGAATAAGGCAATGACTGATATTTGTTCACTTGCTTAGAACAAAACGTAAACTAAAAAGTTTTTGTTGGTTGGCCACATACAGCTGTAACAGTTGGTAACATGGACGAGTTGTGGAGGTGACTAACAAATCTTACACTCACAACACAATGCCACAGGCGAATAGAAACAGTTATGCTCTATTATGAAGGGCTAATAATAAACACGATAATATATATATTACCATTATACGTGGTGGCTGAGATCAGGTGAGCAACACCGAGTAACCAGATGGTGGCCACGACAGCCTTCAGAACTGTGGCAGTGTTGTCCATCTCTCTTGTTTCAACAGTTGTGTCCGGCACCACCACAAAGCCTCCCCCTATCACTTTCCTCCACTTACTAAACTACTGTACTTTTGTCTCAGTCACGCTGTTCAGGAGTAACTGAGTCACTGGATTACGGCTGAATTTCACTCTTCACTGGCTGAAAGGCAATTCCTGTTTAGAACAAATCATTGTATTCGGTAGATACAAAACTAAAATCACTGTGGAAGATGCAGAAGCGGGACAGATCTGAGGAATTACTGTTAGGATACGAAAGTGAAATTTGACTGATCGAGTGTTTGAGGAGTGAGTGGGTGAGAACATTAACGTCAAATATTATTGGGTATGTAGGGAAACTCTTGCGTCAACTAATCATGGAGTAGCTATTTTCCTCTCTGGGGGAGTCCTCACACATTCAATCAGCTATACAGTACATACTATCTTAACACCTAGTCCTCACACCCTCCTCGCTAACGAGTATTGCACAGACTTCGTTTTATCTTCATCTGGGGATGTTAATTCTTGACTCAGAGGATATGAATCAGCCAAACCTTAAAAGGCGTCGTGGGCTGTGACTCCCAAGCTTCATCCGGTGGCTCAGATTGAGCCACTTGTACTGCACTACCAGTGTTGTACAAGTGGAGGAAAGGTGTGAAGAAGACTAAGTGACAGGGGGAGGCTTTGTGGTGGTGCCGGACACAACTGTTGAAACAAGAGAGATGGACAACACCGCCACAGTTCTGAAGGCTGTCGTGGCCACCATCTGGTTACTCGGTGTTGCTCATCTGACCCCAGCCACCACGAATAATGGTAATATACTATATATATATATATATATATATATATATATATATATATATATATATATATATATATATATATAAGTAAATCACTGTAGGTATATATATATATATATATATATATATCTTGATAAAATCACAACTCCGTTGTTTCCATTTTCCCGTGTGATTATATATATATATATATATATATATATATATATATATATATATATATATATATATATATATATATAGTATCGTGTTTATCATTAGCTCGTCATAATAGAGCATAAGTGTTTCTACTCGCCTGTGATCCTTGTGTTGCGAGTGAGAGTTGTTAAGGCGGCGGCACACTGGGCACTTTCCTCCAAACATGTTTGGCAAACACGGTCCGGCCAGCAAAACAAAGAGACTTTTTGCGTCACACTCGGATGTTTTGTTGACTCGTCTGCCCAACATGTTTGGGCGGTCTCGGGCTCTGCTCTGGCAACTCCAGCAGCGAATGATGACAATCCCGGCCCCCGCACCAAAAATACTACGCTGTAGGAGGACCACACTCGGGCGAGAGCGCGCAACCGGAGGAGGACGGACGGGGCTATGGACGGCTGCCCGTCCGTTCCTTACTACCGGCGAATAAGCCTCTTGCCCAAGAGTAAAATTACAATGCCAAAAAAAATTCCAAAACTTAACAACAAGCCGTCCGGCCAAACCTAACCCACAAATCTGTCTGCCCAACGCAACGAAAACAAGAACAAAGCTTCCAGACGAGGTTTGCCATGGATCTCGTTACTACAGTTGAGGCCTTGCAGGGTTGTGCTATAGTTCTTGAACTGCTGAAGCAAGTGAGGCGTCTGCAAAAGCTAAAGAAAAGACAATAGGTACGTCGTGAAGTTTCTTTAAAAGTGGCGGCGGCTGGCTGGTCAAAGAAGACTCTGAATAATGATTTAATAATACTAAAGAAGTTTTAAAGTGACGAATAAATAGAAATATATCACCATTTATGTGTTATATTATAAATTATTATTGTTTCATTATTTTTTCAACTTTTACTTGAAATTTTATGAAGCCCATTTGAGCACTAATCCAGCCAGCAAAGATCTCCGCCAAACCGTTGTCAGTTTCTCGCAACAGCAGAAATCCTGCTGCTTGCTGGGACGTCAGGCCAACGTCCAGCAAAACGGGCAAACATGTTTGGAGGAAATTGCCCAGTGTGCTGCCGCCTTAAGTCACCTCCACAACCCGTCCACATAAACAATTGTTGCAGCTGTATGTGGCCAACCGACAAAAACCTTTTAGTTTAGTTTAGGTTAGGTTTGCTTTAGGATAGGATAAGTTTAGGTTAGAGTATATGACGTTAGGTTAGATTTTGGTGAGGGATAAGTTAGGTTAGGCTTGCGTTAGGGAAGTTAATCTTCCTGTGAAATAAACGTGAGTGTTTAACCTTCCAGTTGATTCAATTTCATAGTAACACAGTACAGGAAAAACATACACTTTACACGTAAAGTCAGATGAAGCGTCCACTGACCCAAGCTTCTTAAAAATCTTAAATTCACAACCAGAGTGGCAGTAGTGTTCTGGGCGGCAGCGGACACTCAGGAGAGGAAGCCAACGTTATCCACTCAGATGATCAGAAGTTCGTAAACCGTGTTATACTGTATCCTAACTGTAGAAACGTAACTAACAGTGGCCAATAGTGCCTCCAAAGTGTAGTGTGACTCGAGCTATACTAGATATATTTTCTCGTCTTCAGTGAGAGGGGGAAGTTAAGTGACGAGTCTTAGAGCCCCCTAATCAAGGCAGTAGGAGGCGTTCTGGCCACAATATAGAATCATCTCATTACAAAATACTATTTCTGGCAATTACCTCTCATTTCCATATTTCTTCCAGAGTGTAAATTAAACAAACTTCCGGAGACAAAAGATCAAGGAACTCTGTATGCTTTCGAAGATAAGAAACTCAAAGCCTGGATCAGGACTGTTGGAACGGCTGTCCTCAACCTGAGTGTCGGGAACGCTGGTGGTCAGTCAGAAACAATTGGGAACTCCTCAGATATTAGACTTGACAAGTGGAACCAGATTGTTATAGAGCAAATCGTAAGTAAGGTCTTCTTTGTATGTGTGAACTGCAAATGATAGAGTATCAAGTATTTATATGGCGGAAAAACCTTCATAGTTCTTGCTGCTGCTGCTACTGATATACACTGACAGAAAGGTAGACTTATGCTGTTGTTTTCTATAATCTAACATAGCGTATAGAAGAGAGTGTGAGAGTTCATATCCCTCACTCACGATGATGTTTATTATACACAGACAGGTGACGATGGGTACACATATTCAGTCAGCATCCTTGACAATACGAAATGGAATTCAAGTAAAAAGCAATTTCCTCGAAATTATGTGTTTCCCTCAAGCCCGGGTTCAAAGATCCGGTGGTCCACCTGCCCTCCTGATGACCTCATGGGTAAGTTCAACCTCCTCTTTCCTTACACCTGAAGCGGTGATAGCAAGTCAACACATAATTATGATCTATGCTTCAAGGCGTTAATACCACTACACTAATGGGAAGATCTTACTGTACACACACACACACACATGCTGTAAGTGTGACACAAAATCGTTTTAAAGTAGCAAACACTAAACTTTTATTTAGCGGTTATGGAGAAGATCTGTGTAGATAAGAAATATGACAACAATAATTGCCCTAAGAGCAACAACAATAACAAAAACTTCTCCTACTATTGCTAGTGATGATATAAATACTCACTCTATTACTACTGTTACCTTTTTTTTTAAATAAGAACATAAGAAAATAAGGAGTCTGCAATAGGCCGGTTGGCCTGTGCATGGCAGCTCCTGTCGAGAGTTACTACCACTCTCTATCATCCATGAATCTATCTAGCCTCCCTTTGAAACTTTCCAGAGTTCCCGCACTTACTACAAAGTTGCTAAGCTTGTTCCACTCGTCCACCACCCTATTTGTGAACCAGTTTCTTCCTATCTCCCCCCTAAACCTAAACTTATCCAACTTGAATCCGTTGCTCCGAGTCCTATCCTGCTCGGATATTATAAGAACTTTATCTATATCCCCTTTATTGATTCCTTTCACCCACTTCAGCCTACTCCAATAGCCACACGTCCCTAAGGGGGTGCGGGGCCCAGGGCAATTCATCCTCTGCGGGGCCCTTTGCATTCGTAATATATATATATATATATATATATATATATATATATATATATATATATATATATATATATATATATATATATATATATATATATATATATATATATATATATCCACAATGAAAACGTGGATAAGATAAATCTTGATAAAATCACACGGGAAAATGGAAACAACGGAGTACCTTAGCTTTCGTCTTTATTCAAGACATCTTCAGAGGCAACTGGATTACATGGACAGAGAGAGGCTTAAATATACAGGGTGACCTAAAAACATGAGGTCAGGTCATAATGATGTCATCCACTAATCCCCACACCAACACACACGTATATAAAGCCACTTCGAGGCACCCACCTCCTGCGCTATGGCTACTTTTCTTCAAGTTCTCTGGAACTTGCAGCATCAGTTGCTGCAGTTTATTACTTTGGGTGCTACTACTACTACTACCACTACCACTTTTAACTCTTGACTGGAAATACCAAAGACGATTTAAGTCACACACACACTCTAATCTTCTCAGATTTCGTTGGGCAGCAGTCGTCACCAACATCAGAGCCATCGTCGTCTACAACATTAGCAGCACAAACGCCAGCATCGTCAACACCATCGTCGTGTACTCCGCCGTCAGCAGAGTCATGTTCAGACAAAGAATTCGGAAGCAACGCCATGTTTTTGGCTTTGGGATGCGGCTCTATGGCGCTGGTAATAGCCTTCCTTGCTTGCGTATACGCCATTGTTATCCGTCGCAAGTACTTACGCCTACTGTCAGAGAGAGGTGAGAAGAGAGGCACTGGAGTCCTAGTGTGATAGTTTCGGGGAGGTAGAGTAGTCCTGGGGAGGGGGTAGTCCTGGGAAGGTGGGGTAGTCCTGGGGCTAGTCCTGGTGAGGTGGGGTAGTCCTGGGAAGTGGGGTAGTCCTGGGGAGGGGGGTAGTCCTGTGGAAGGGGTAGTCCAGGGGAGGTTGTGTAGCACTGGGAAGGGTAGTCCTGAGCAAGGGATAGTCCTGGGGAAGTTAGTAATCCCTAACCTAACCTAACCATTAAGATTGGAACTCACTAGAATTGGGAGCGGGATCCATTTCACCATTTATCCCGAGAAGATGTTCCCTGGGGTTCGCTTAATTAAATTCAGTAGGGTTCATTTGGAATCACTGGGGTTCGTTGGTGTTCTGTGGAGTTAAACATTGTGAACACTAAATTTAAAACATGTGTTCCGTAACCTGAAACGAATAATCCGTTTTCTAATCCTCTCTCCACTTTCCTCTGTCTCTTTGTATTACAGGTAAGATTGACCGCGAGGGTAAACTTGGCCCTGGAGACGAGAACTTCTACGATGAGTGGGACAACAACTACAAGTCTCAGGCAGGAAACCTCGGCAACTGCCAGCTTAGACAATCGTCCAGTGATGCAGTAGCAGACCCAACAATACGCCCAGGGTCTTCCTGTTCCATTGCCATCAGTATATATGGTGAACTGTAGTGTCATTACCCAACCACTGTACCTTTGTAGTAGCCATACCCAACCACTATACCTTTGTAGTAGCCATACCCAATCACTGTACCTTTGTAGTAGCCATACCCAACCACTGTACCTTTGTAGTAGCCATACCCAACCACTATACCTTTGTAGTAGCCATACCCAATCACTGTACCTTTGTAGTAGCCATACCCAACCACTGTACCTTTGTAGTATCAATACCCAACCACTTTACCTTCCCTGTTTTATTTATGAAGCTGTCCAGTAAATCAAAGAGACCATAGTTACTGTGGGGTTATGTAATGTGTGTTATATAATTGTCTCTCAGTTTTATATGTGATTTCTTAGATAAGTTTGACTGTAATGGATCCTTTTAGTATCACAGGCTGTCACAAAACATCTGTCAGTAGAGCGTATCGATGTTTCTCAGTGATAAATGAAATGTTTGTTCATTATGGCAGTATGGCACTTCTGTTATGACTGCTGGCATTCCATATATCTATAACAATTAACGTGTGGTTTGTATTAAACATTTTGAATATTTAAATCTCCGAGACTCTTTCAAAGTATTAAGATTCCCGTGGAATATTTCACTCTTGTTGGGATGCATCTGTTACCACTAGATATCATAACAATACAGTGTAGTGTCAGAGGTTTATTAGAACATTGATGGCTTGGCAGCGTTTCACATCTACTGTATATTAATGAACGGCATAGTCCTGGTTCACCCTGAGATAATGTATATACTGTAAAGGCTATCATGGGTTCTGTCTCATCTGGCTACGATTATTACACCATATATTCTGGTTCACTAATATAATTTTTAGATGTTATTTCAACCTTCAAGCCTTCTGGAATACACTCGCTGAGCTCTGTTACCACCTCTTTAACTCAGAGTTACTAGAATCCATCTTCATGTTGGATCCTAAAGTTGAATCACCATAAGCTATTGTGCCATATGCAACACCGTGTAAACCTGTACAGTATAGTCTCTTACTCGAAGCTGCTCTATGTATCATTTTGTACCTATACCCACTGTATTCTGTATGTCTGTTCATACGTAAACACTACGTAACTTTTCTATTATGCCCTGGCAGTCTAACATGAGGCGATGTAGACAAGACTATGGGAAAATTATGAAATGGGTTAGCTTGTCTGAATATTCACAGCCAGTAAACGAAAGTTCTTCCAAGTTTAGTGCATAAAACTACAGTGTACTTGTTTCTCCGTGAATTTGTTTCTTCAGTTGGTAGAGCGAGGGTCGTCAAATACCGTATAATATTCTCTACAGTCTGATATATAATGCTACATTGGTTATAACTCAGATTATATAAATCCTGGACAGACTACATTACTGAGGGTATCAGGAAAGATGTTTAGGGTTAGTGACCCGGACGGCCTACAACTATTGTAACTAGCTTAAAGGTAAACCCAGTCTGTGATATATTAAAACATTCAGGAAATGCTTAAATAGTTATGTAACACTTTAACTCTATTTGAAAACAGTATGTTTATCTTTTGAACATTTCATTCACACCTGGTGTAAAATATCAAGGACTGAGGTGTTAATGAGGTATTTCGGAATATTCTGTTTAATCCAGTGAATAATGTTGTCGGCAAATTCAGTTTCATGTTATGGAAGAATTATCTCGTAGTTAAATTTATTAATTACGCTTGACCCGGAATAGATATACAGTATATGCTCGTATATCAGTAATACAGGATTAATATAGTAAATACCGTAGGTGAGCCTGTGATAATGTCACCCTGTATATCAGAGTGTGATTCATATGTAAGGATAATTTTTTCTCTAGAAATGCATTGAATTAATTATTACTGTGACCTAATAAATAGAGAGTTATTCAGATATGATTAACGAAGAGTATACCTTGATAATGAACAGAAAGCTCTTCTGAAATGAACAATTAAGGAAGTATCGAAAGGCAGAAATCGTAAAGTGAGCTGAAACACATAGACGAAGGCATTAAATAAGAGGGAAATATGTCGAACTCAGACCTTGAAAAACATTACAAAATAATGAATTTTTTCTTGATAAATAGGAGTGAATAAATATAGTGGTTCACAAAATATTTTTGAAAAATAATTGGGGTTTGGCAAGTGATTTTCAATCTGTATAAGAGGAATATTATCAATATTGTAAAATGTATTAAATAACAATAATATTAACAATAATCACATTAGTAACACGAATGATAATGTTAATAATACAATACAATTAGACAATAATAATGAAAAATACAATAAAATTTATAACAAGTTATTATTATTATTTTACGAGTTACATAAAAAGAAACGCCACTACTGTACCTCTATAGAGGAAGGTACTGTACAATTGCTGAAGTGGCAGACTGTAATGATACAATATCAACCATGTAACGGAGGAGCAAATAAACACATGGCCTGATACAGTAAATCTCCTTAAAGACTATTATTTTTTATTTTTTTTTATTTTTTTTACGGGGATTAGCCCACCCGGGCACAGGTCACTGACCCACATCAGGGCCAGGGGGGCGAAAATTTAATAATAATAATAATTCATAGTAAATAAAATTTATAATAAAAAGTAAAATAAAATATTGATGGTAATAATAATAATAACAACACTGTGATAATAATAAATACAAAGAAATGCAAGAATGAAAAAAAATCAACAGTGAGAAACGCTATATGTATGTTGTTTTGTCATGTAATAGAAACAATTGAGACCCTACAATTGTGTGTAAATGAGGCAGAAAGTCAGATCAGCAACCTGGGACTTGGTCACAATTTTCGTGATGCCATATGGCAGCAGGGTCTACCATTAGACAACACATTATGCTGCCAATACTCTTCCCAGGCGGTAGTACCTCCCTGTTCTGTAGCTGCCTACTACCTACATATAAAACCTCGATGAAGAAATATATCGTAAGTTCCAATAATGCGGATTCTTGTCAGCAGTAGGGAGCACCAGTCGTGTCAGTCACTCGGTAGTAGGGAGCATCAGTCATGTCAGTCACTCAGTAGTAGCAAGCACCAGTCGTGTCAGTCACTCGGTAGTAAGGAGCACCAGTCGTGTCAGTCACTTAGTAGTAGGGAGCACCAGTCGTGTCAGTCATTCGGTAGTAAGGAGCACCAGTCGTGTCAGTCACTCAGTAGTAGGGAGCACCAGTCGTGTCAGTCACTCGGTAGTAGGGAGCACCAGTCGTGTCAGTCACTCAGTAGTAGGGAGCACCAGTCGTGTCAGTTACTCGGTAGTAAGAAGCACCAGTCGTGTCAGTCACTCAGTGGTAGGAGCACCAGTCGTATCAGTCACTCGGTAGTAGGGGCACAAGTCGGGTTAGTCACCAGTAGTAGGGAGCACCAGTCGTGTCAGTCACTCGGTAGGGAGCACCAGTTGTGTCAGTCACTCAGTAGTAGGGAGCACCAGTCGTGTCAGTCACTCGGTAGAAGGGATCACCAGTCAAGTCAGTCAGCATCAAGGTTAACAGTTATTGCCGTCAGCATCAAGGGTTAACAGTCATTGCCGTCAGCATGAGGGATTAAGAGTTATCGCCGTCAGCATCAAGGGTTAACAGTTATTGCCGTCAGCATGAAGGATTAAAGTTATCGCCGTCAGCATTAGGGTTAACAGTCATTGCCGTCAGCATGAGGGATTAAGAGTTATCGCCGTCAGCATCAAGGGTTAACAGTCATTGCCGTCAACATGAGGGATTAAGAGTTATCGCCGTCAGCATCAAGGGTTAACAGTCATTGCCGTCAGCATGAAGGATTAAGAGTTATCGCCGTCAGCATCAAGGGTTAGCAGTCATTGCCGTCAGCATGAAGGATTAAGAGTTATCGCCGTCAGCATCAGGGTTAACAGTCATTGCCGTCAGCATGAAGGATTAAGTTATCGCCGTCAGCATCAAGGGTTAACAGTCATTGCCGTCAGCATGAAGGATTAAGAGTTATCGCCGTCAGCATCAAGGGTTAACAGTCATTGCCGTCAGCATGAGGGATTAAGAGTTATCGCCGTCAGCATCAAGGGTTAACAGTCATCGCCGTCAGCATGAGGGATTAAGAGTTATCGCCGTCAGCATCAAGGGTTAACAGTCATTGCCGTCAGCATGAAGGATTAAGAGTTATCGCCGTCAGCATGAGGGATTAAGAGTTATCGCCGTCAGCATCAAGGGTTAACAGTCATCGCCGTCAGCATGAGGGATTAAGAGTTATCGCCGTCAGCATGAGGGATTAAGAGTTATCGCCGTCAGCATCAAGGGTTAACAGTCATTGCCGTCAGCATGAAGGATTAAGAGTTATCGCCGTCAGCATGAGGGATTAAGAGTTATCGCCGTCAGCATCAAGGGTTAACAGTCATTGCCGTCAGCATGAAGGATTAAGAGTTATCGCCGTCAGCATGAGGGATTAAGAGTTATCGCCGTCAGCATCAAGGGTTAACAGTCATTGCCGTCAGCATGAAGGATTAAGAGTCGATTCTTTACTCCTTCGTGCTCCACCAAGTCCAGCAGACGCAGGGAACAGATCTTCTTCACTTCCTCTAAACCCTTTTCTACCTCCACCTCCAGGGAGTTGTTGAGACGCGTTTTGAGACCCTCCATGATGGCCTCCTTCTTGTTCCTCCGGGCGCAGATTACGAAGGGGAAGCCAAACTTCTCGCGGTAGCTGGAGACATATGAGAGATGAGATGTTATACTGGCATGGTCCATTGTGTTTTATCTTTACTCTTGAAAAAGTATGTGTGTGTGTGTGTGTGTGTGTGTGCATAGGGTGGTGTAATACGTCTAGTGTGGCAGCATTATGTTAGTGTTAAGGTGCAAGCCTTGCTTGCTTCCTCTCGCTATCAACTACCGCCGCTGGCTAGCCCTTGTAGCGAACAGGGAAGTAACTTACATGTAAGTCCTCCCTAACCAGTACACAACCTCTTCACCATCAAAACTCCTGCTGTGCCTCCTCGTGGCAACACACGGTAACTGGGTGCCTCGTGGGCCCAGGCTAGACCAGCAGGGGATCTCAGAGCAGCAGTGGGCCCACAGGGATGGCGCATAGCCCCACTGGCATGTGGACACGTCCTGGCGGCTACCAACCATTGCCCCGTTGCCTTGTGGATTAACCTTGGTAAGTATAAGGTTACGGGAGTAAATCCCGAACGAAAAATCTGCAGTGGAGCCCCGTATCAGGCAGACACGGAAACCCAACGACTACACTGGATGACGAAGGCAATGCATGATGGACAGGCTACTAAAGCGAAACCCAACAAAATGGGCTATCGGCAGTCCACTGCAACTCTCCCTCTCCCCAGTCGTTGCAACACTTGCAGCACTGGATCAGGAAAAGGGATAGCCAAGGTGTGTGGTTGCAGCCTGCTCTCCTGCCTCACCACATAAATCAACTAACGCGCAACCATCATCCAGCTCATCATACCTCTTATTATTATCAAAGCCCCTATACCCCCAAAAGTCCTTTGGCGTTGGACGAGTGGCGACGGAGACAGGCAGAGATGACTGCCGGGAGTCTCTAGTCACAACTCTGCACATGGGTGGCATAAATAAGATGGTCGTTTATGCACTGGGACCTAGGCAGCAGTGCAATCCAGTCCTGTCTGTGTGACTGAGCAGCCCTTTTGAGGAGCCACTCTGCTCACCCCACATTGCCTGCCTAAAGAACCAACCTAAATGGGCAACTGCACCCAGTAAGGTCATCCTTATGCGGTCGAAAACACAATCATAATCACAGATCAAAACAAAAACAAACTATACAACCTCTTATGGTCACTGCATGGAATGTCAGGACCTTTATGGATACTGGCGCAAATGAGCGTTATGAAAGAAGAACTGCCCTTGTGGCAAAAGAATTGGCTAAATATAATATCGACATTGCAGCCATTCGCGAGTCCCGGTTCCCAGACGAGGGTCGACTCACAGAACGGAGATCTGGCTATACCTTCTTCTGGAAGGGTAAGCCTGCTTCACAGAGAAACTGCATTTATGGAGTTGACTTTGCCATCCGCCAATGCATCCTACAGTACATAGGCTAATTGAAATGCCTATTGGGATCAATGAGCGCTCATGGCGCTTCGAGTCCTACTGAATCAGTCACGTCATGCCTTCTTCATCAGTGCATACCCACCAACACTGGATGCAGGGGATGGCATCAAGGAGGCCTTTTATGGCGACCTTGACTGAGTGGTAACATCTATCCCTAGAGAAGATAAGGCTGTGACCCTAGGTGACTTCAATGTTAGAGTTGACAGAGATGCTGATATTTGGCAGGGAACCATAGGGAGAAATGGACTTGGCAAGTGTAATCCCAACGGCCTACTCCTCCTCAGCAAGTGTGCTGTACACAACCTCACTATCACCAATTCCTTGTTTAGGCAGGCCGACAAGTTCAAGGGTTCGTGGCATCACCCACGATCCAAACACTGGCATCTCATTGACTACATCATTGTCAGAAAATAGATCGCCGAGATGTCCTCATCACCCGAGCCATATGTGGCTCAGACCACTGCGACACTGATCATCGGCTCGTCAGAGCCAAGTTCTCACTTCACGTCGCCCTAAAACGGCGAAGGCAGCAAGCCTCCAACAACCCGACAACAAATAACCCAAAGCCCAGTGCCAAATGGGATATTCTCGACACTGTCATGACAAAAACCTACAGACACCCTCGGCCATATCGAAAGAATACACCAGGATAGGTTTGATGAAAATGACCCGGAAATCAATGTACTCGTCGATGATAAACATGCTGCTTTAACTGATTGGCAGAACAACCGTTAGTCTCAAACCAAAGCTGATACCTTCTGCAAGAAGAAAGCGGCAGCCCAGCGCGAACTTCGCAATCTGAATAACGACTGGTTTAAAAATAAAGCATGTGAAAAGTAATAACTTTCAGATCAACACAAGGATTTTTAAATTCCACTGAAACATTTTATGGGCTAATCACTCATGGAGTAGCCCCCTCCGCTCATCTGATAGCAACTTCCTAATTAAAGACGAAGAAGGCATCCTTCAGCGCTGGAAAGAGCACTACCATTCACTGTTCAACCGAAACACCGATGTGGATGTCCTGATTACCCAGCAGGTCCCATAGCATCCAGAGCTGACTCACCTCAGCTAACCTCCATCAAACAGATAAAAAAATAACAAAGCCTCAGGGCCTGATGGAATCCCAGCCGAGGTATATAAAGCAGGATGACCTCTGCTTACCAGCTGTCTCCACTCTCTCCTGGAGAATATATGGGGAAAGGAGGAAATCCCCAAAGCTCTTAAAGACGCCTCCATCGTCAATGTTTATAAAAGCAAGGGAGACCGGTCAGACTGTGGCAACTACCGCGAGATCTCACTGCTGTATGTAGCTGGCAAGATTATCACCAGAGTCCTCCTAAACAGACTTCTTCCTGAGGCGAAAGACTTCCCCCTAGAATCTCAATGTGGCTTTAGACCACCACGTGGCACAAGTGACATAATCTTTGCTGTCCGCCAGACACAGGAAATGTGCAGAGAGCAGCGTCGTGACCTATACAATATACATTGTCTTCATCGACTTAACCAAGGCCTTTGACTCGGTCAACAGGGAAGCCATCTGGCGGACCCTCAGCCATTTTGGCTCCCTACCAAAATTCATTGCCATTGTGAGGCAACTCTACGATGGCATGAACGGCAGTGTCCTGCACAATGGCACCCAGTCTGAGTTTTTTACCATCCAAACGGGAATAAAACAAGAATGTGTACTGGCACGAACTCTCTTTTCCATTTTCTTGGCTGCCTTCCTTACTCGTGCCAGTGCCAATTTAGCCGGCAGGAACAAAGGTGTTAGCAACTTCCATTACTGAACTTCAGTATGCAGACGACCTCACCCTTGTCGCTCACACTGAACGTGGCCTACAGGAGATCCTGAACACCTATGCAGATACGTACGCTCATTTCGGCCTAGAGGTGAATGCACGTAAGACTCAGATTCTCTTTCAGCCTGCCCCTGGTTCAGCCACACCTCCACCATCCATCCAGCTTAACGGTACTACCCTCTCTAATGCTACCCACATTCGGTATCTCGGCTCCCACTTATCCACCACTGCAGACATTGATGAAGAGAGTCAACATCGGATCAGATGTGGATCCCAAGCATTTGACAGAGTCCGTACCCGTGTCTTCAGCTGTAGGGAGCTGAAATTATCTACAAAATTGCACATATATCGAGCAGTGGTCCTCCCCACCCTGCTATATGGCAGTGAGACATGGGTCACATACAGGAGGCACCGCAAGGCACTTGAAAGCTTTCACCAACGTAGTCTACGTTCGATGCTCCGAGTTCGCTGGGAAGACAAGAGAACAAATGCCAGAAATCTCGCTGAAACCAAATGCAGGAGCATCGAGGTTACCAATATCCATGAACAACTAAGCTGGACTGGCCATGTTACCCGCATGGACGACAGTAAACTGACAAACAGTAGACTACCTAACGAATAGTAAACGTAACTCTGGCGGGCAACTGAAAGGAATAAGGATAGTCATAAGATAAGCCTGAAAAAGCGCCATTATTATTATTATTATTATTATTATTATTATTATTATTATTATTATTATTATTATTATTATTATTATTATTATTATTATTATTATTATTATTATTATTATTATTATTATTATTATTATTATTATTATTATTATTATAATTATTATTATTATTATTATTATTATTATTATTATTATTATTATTATTATTATTATTATTATTATTATTATTATTATTATTATTATTATTATCATTATTATTATTATTATTATTATTATTATTATTATTTCGCCTCCAGGCCCTGATGTGGGTCCTGGTGGGCTAATCCCGTAAAAAAAATACATGGATAAGTGCTTGAACGCATAATTAAAGCACGTTATTTTAATGAAATGAATACAGGTACTTGTATTTGTGAAAACGTGTACACTGTCTTTCAATACCTCCTCACACAGGATGAAACCACATAGTCTCGACAACAGCAGAAAGACAAGAATCCCAGTTAACAAGAAACACACACACATACACACAGACACACACACACACACGCAGTTTCCAAAATCAATATCTTGTCAACTTTGAACCTCTGATATTACATAATAGATACAAAGGTGGTCAGCGAGAGGAACCCACCTGAAGTTCAGGATGGCTAGGTCGGTGCTCTCCTTTGGCGTCAGGTCACCCATGCCAGCGGCGCGTTGCTCCATCTGAGATTCCTGCGTCAGCTTACCCTCCTTGGCTAACCTCCCAGCCAGATCCGGGTGGCTTCGCAGGACCCCTTCACGACCTGAGTCAAGGGTAATAATTAATTAAACTTGCCGCAGGATGGTTAATACACACGATACAAGAGAAACTTTTTGAACAGTGTCATAGAATGAAACTGTCTGAACAACAATTGATCAAATAATGAGGTAAAATATACGTTTTTTGAACGTGATTTATCATTAATATTGTTGATATCTTTATTCCGGTCTCAGTTTTGCGTGGGGTGGGGCAAGAGGGATAGAGAGCCTGAAAGAAAGAGCAATAGTTGAGGAGAGGAGTACAACTACAGAGAACGACAGGAAAGAGCATAGATAATGAGTAAAAATAGACCACAGGCTCATTCGTATCCTGTTTGCCTACGCAGTATTCAGAGCGAGTCATCAGTCTTTTCTACCGTGAAGTCTCTAAACCACCAATTCTCTAATATAAACTATCCGTCTCTCATGGCTATAACTCTTAAGGTTGAGGTGGCTGAAGTAGCAGTTTAAAGAATTGTTTTGATGTTATTTGGAGGGGGGGCTGGGTATTTTGTGGTGGAGGGTAATTGAAGTGCGTTCTTGAAGGGAGGTGAGATGGGGCAGTGAAGACGATATTAGGGAAGGAGGAATAGAGTTCAAGATAACAGGTGAATAAAATAACTATAAATTGTTAGATATAATATTTGGTTGTTTGTGATTATTGTTACTCAGTTTTTCCTTTCAATTTCCTTATGTAATGTAAAAGTTACCCTCGGGATATTGGACAAACCCTTCGTTCTCCTCTTTAGGAAATGGCGATTTTTTCCCCCATTTAAGTCAAGGCGGCTTCTTCGTCATAGCCTCATATAATATTTACCGCTTTGGTGTTAAACGATTTACTAATTTCCAAAATACCATTAGGTCGGGTTCCTTGGCGTATTGTTTATCTTATGTGTTATAATTTATCCAAGTTTCTAAGCTGATTGTTTGGTGACTTCCTTTTAGGTCGGAGAAGATCTGAGGTATATCTATTACTATTCTCTATAATGTTTTATGTTTACAGATTGATATCGTAACCTCATGACTGTTTCTCTGACATTATTGTGAGGAAGAATACGAACATAAATCTGGCTTGTGTTATTACGTGTTGCTCCCGTGACGGCTGTGTATTTATTCAATTTTCAATTTCAATTGTTAACTCCTTGATAGAGGAAGCAGGATCCTAGTGCTGTCACTAGGTACCCTGTACAATAACACCAGAAGCATCTGGCAAGTGTGACAAGTATATACAGTATAAATATTATAAAGGGGCCTACTAAAGCCTAAGGAAGGAAGGATATTCCTTTAACACATAATCAATGTTATTTACATAATATCTAGCCAGTATGGGGAGGATCATCGTGTCTCCGTCAGGGGGTCGTGGAGTGGTGGTCTAGCAGGCGTCACGGAAGCGTTGTGTGTGGGGACATCTTAGGAGGTAGTGGATAAGGGTGCTGCTGTCGGGTCTTCTGCCTAATGCACAAGAGCGTTGCTCAGGGGATGCGGGGATACCAATCTCCCAAGCAAAATCATACCCAATGATGATACAGGGAGCAATCACGTCCCTTTTCCGCGACCCTTTCCCATAGACGTACGAGAGGTCAGGAAGTTTACGGAGGACATCGTACCAGGTGGGCGGGGAGTCCAGGGGGATGGCTGCTTCCCGAGCTTCTCTCTGTTTGCGGCGAATTTGCCTCCTAAGCTGTAAAAGTGTTCGAGGAACAACATAGTCAGGTGTGGCCTTGTTGCAGCCAGTCTTGGCAAGGCCATCTGTTGCCTCATCCCCCAAGATACCGACATGACTGGGTATCCATAGGAATGTCACAGGATGGCCTTCATCTTGAAGTGTGGATGTTAACCCTTGTATTCGGAGGATGAGGTCCTTATTTTCCCCTGATCCAAATGCGATCCCGTCGAGAGCAGACCTGGAATCGCAGCAGACAAGCAAGGGGCAGAAACCATCTGCTTCTTCCTCAGCGAGAAGGGCAGCAAGGAGGGCTATTAGTTCAGCCTGAGTGGAGGATGCCCCGTCAGAAACTCTGAGAGACAGTTTGATAGGCTCAGGGGCATCAGGACGGGAGATGTAGACACCAGCCCCGGCCCGACCTGTAGCGGGGGTGTATTTATTTTGGTTACTTCAGCATCTATGACCTGCGGTGTTTTTACCTGTACAGTTAGGTATTTCAAGATTGTTAAAAATTTCGTCGTTTTCGTATTTTCTTGTGGTGGTGGAAGCTGTATGACAGTGATTTGTAACTATGAACGGAAGGTGGCCACTGGTTGTAATTGTTCCAGGCCGTATGGTATAACCTAGAACAGTTTACTATGGGAGAATATTTTGACCTCATTAGTGATTGGTTTAAGTCTGATTATAATACTGATATTGACTCAGGTTAGGTTAGGTTAGGTTAGGTCAGGTCAGGTCCTTCTAGTTACTCTGGTTAAGTTTGGTTAGACATGTATACTGATATTTGAGTCTTTAGGTTGGGTTCTTGGTCTTTTTGTTTGGCCAAAGTTTGTTTTCTCCACCATTTTTGGGATATTGATAAACTGAAGAACTTTTCCTCTTTTGAAAAATTCACTTACTCAGGTTCGCAACCGGGTTCTTAAATATTACACCCATTAAAGTTTTTTGTATTAGTTAAGTGGGGTATCGTCAATTTTCTATGTTTTTACCCCACAATTTCCTTCTATTCCAAAGCCTTGCCCACTTTGTGTGATCAGAATGGCATTTTTTAAGGGAAATCGAAAAGTATAAATAAATAGAAGACAAATTGATTTCCGACGAAAACACTGTTCTATAAAGTAAAGTATTTTTTTTTTGGGTGGGGGTCACTATCTCCCTATATACAAATCAATTTATCCGTGGTTGACCTTTTCCAAATCTTTAATTTGTTTCCAGGTGTATTCATTGTTTAAAATTTATAAAGTTGTTCTAGGGCAGTGCAGACAGTGTTATGATCACCATTACCGAGCGAACTTTGACTTGCGTAAATCCTCCTTGGCGACCGAGTGTGGCAGACTCCATACACCTCTAAACCCAGGTTGCTCACACACCACCTCTATATTGATATGATCGTCTGAGCTTAGCCATCAGGTAAAACTTTGACACTTTAAGTAGTAATATATATATATATATATATATATATATATATATATATATATATATATATATATATATATATATATATATATATATATATATATATGGAACTTGTTCACAACACTATACAGTATGATGTTACATACCAACCTGTCAGAAAAATGTGGGATTAAAATGAGCTGAATGACACATACAAATTCTATAGTTGTGTACTGGAGTTTCACTTATATATTTTATAATGAGTTTCAAAATTAATTTTGAGATAGATTCTCTAACAACTCTTATATGCAATACATTTTTCCCGTTACGTAAAAAACAAAGCAACACAGAATAATTTAATCGCTATATCCAATATTATACTACTCTTTTTTCGACTATGTTCCGTACAATTAATATTCTAAGCAGCACTATTATTAAGGTTTACCTTAGAGTATGACTTTCCGTTTCGGGAGGTATGAGTAGAAAACGAATGGTGAGGGACGCCTTTCTACTGTGGGGTTTCGAGATTCTGGGGTCACCATTTGTGGGGTTATGAGATATTGGTTCGCACTCAGGATGGGATGGAGAAAGGAAACTCACAATGTGCTCACTGTATACATATTGTATTGGATGTACAATGCAGCTTGTTGCTTGGTAGGTAGCATGGTAATAAGCGTTGAGTAGAGAGAGCTGGGTGGTGATGGTGCCCAGAGTGAGGGCACGCTGCTTGAGGTACGCCAAGGTCACTGGCAAGAGCGGCAGCCGTACGGCTGGCGCGGAGGTGTTGCTTGCTGGTGGCACTGGGTAGAAAAGAGAACTGATCATAGCGGTGTCAGGCCTTATAAGGCGGGGGTAGGCGTGGGTAGATAGTTGACCCATGCTCCGTGGGCGGCGCTGGAGGCGTAGGCTGGAGAATTCGAGAAGGTTCGGTGCTTGTAGGGGAGGAATCCACTACACTGCATAACCTGAAGGCCAGGGTCAACCTTCTTTATACGAACACAGTTGTTTTAACACCTTGCCATGTTACTTTCCTTCAGTACGAAAATAAACACTTGTTGACTTGACCTGGATCACAATTTCCTTTTCCACCCTTTCCTGCTATACAGTCATGTTGTCTCTGAGATGATCTTAGTAAACTTTATCCGGGCGAGGCGCAAGCCCTAGCAACAGATGTCTCTTACCTGCTAGGGGTAGATCGTCCAGGAACTTGCAGATTTCGTCGTGTAAGTGTCTGACGTCTCTAAACGGCCGGTACCTCCAGACGGCGGCGGCACACAGAGAACAATGTTCAACTGTGTTGCCAAAAACTGCAATGAACTCTTCGTAATTCATGGCATTTACCTCGGACATCTGCATGTTTGGAATTCTGTAAGATCACTGGTCCAGGCCCAGGACCTTGGAGAACAGTTCCTCGTTTTCTACGGCTGAACGGATGCAACCGGGACTCAAGAATCACAATTTGTGAGTATGTGAGAAAGAAAACGAAAAATCTTGAAGTGAGAAGGGGGAACATAAACCTTTGCCTCTGGGACCTATCAAAACATACTGTAGGCACAGACAGATAGACAGACCAAATTTTTTCCTGTAAAATCATCATACAAGCATGTAGTTATCCTAACGTATGCGTGACCAGCCTGGTCATCTTCTCTCAACTCCACCCAACAACGTCAGATAGAGAAGGTACAGAAGAGGGCCTGCAGAATCATGCTCGGCGCAGAATACTCCGGCTACACCAACGCTCTCTCCACCCTGGAAATGCCATCCCTCAGTGACCTCCACCACCAAGCACTGGAAAGGTTTGGCCGTGGACTACTGCACCACCCTCGCCATCGCCACCTCCTGCCACCTGCAGCCCGCCACCCAACTCGCGCAGTCCACCACTACAACAAAATTCAGCCCATAAGAGCCTGCACCTATAGATATAAGAACAGCACCATCCCATCTATTGTTAAAATAATAAACAACTCCTGATTTATGTACTGTACAGCCCTGTAAATGTATTCAATGCATATTATATCAATATGTCTAAATCAAATGTAAGTCTGTATATTTTCAGCCACCGGCTACAACTCTATTAATAAACCGTTTATTATTATTATTATTATTATTATTTTATTATTAGACAATGGTAAATACTTAATCTTTATAACCGTTATCATCACCAACATTCTTCTACCTAAATCACCACCATTTCCCGTCCACCACCACCACCACCATCACATTCCAAATTTACCACTATCAACAACACTCCGCCATCATTTTCAACAACATTTTCACTTCACGAACACTGATAGCAACAGGATATCCTAGATGTTGAGTGAATATTTTGCTGGATTATCATCACGCTACGTACGCAGTATAGCGCCAAGCCAGCGGGTGTTTTTGGGAGAGAAAATCCGGAAACGCTATCACAACTGGCAGTGATATCATGCTCACAGGATACGGCGATAAAGGAGTGTCAGTTATGAGGAGAGATCCGGGAGTATATGAGGAAAATATAGTTAACTGATTCTAACGCTAATCTAATTTAAACTAACGCAAACCTACCCTAACTCAGCCAAACGTAATAAACACTAACCCAACTTAACCTAATACTAACGCTAACCCTGGTAGTGTTAGGGTGTTTAATCATCAGCAGGTGAAATAAGCTGATAGTGCAATACTCAAGTGATCCCAGTTTATGCAAAGGCAAGGATCTGGGTCGATGTGAGGAAAACAATCAAGCGAACAAACTTAAGTAAAACTAGCTTAGTAAAATACCTGAATGAATAGATTAATGAATACAATACGCAAATACAAAAGTAAGATGTGACTAAAGCTTCTCAGGAGACCAAATTCCACGCAATCGTTTACTTATTGTTTAATATCGAAAGGAAAAATTACGGCTCTTAAAAAAAACAATCAAATATTTATGAACGGTCTAGACTGACGAAATTTGATAAATCATGAATATAAAGAAACGAAATTATAAGCATAAAAAATAGGTAAAAACGCAAAAAAAGGACAAAAAAGACAAAACAATAACGATAACACAAACAAAATTCAAAACTGAATAACACTCCGACATAAAGGTCGTTTATTTTACACTCTAAAGTCGATACCAATTAAATTACGTTCTTATATCTATCAACTATACGATTAGTTTAATACCATTGATGGTAAAAAAGAAGAGAAAAATCTCGTTGATACTCTGATTTCAGTTATGAGCGAGTGGTTCAGTACAGTAGTTTGTGGTGTTGCCGGGGTCTGTACCAAAGAATATATACGAAAGATAGGAAAGCGGACCGAAATGTTGTGCTCATTGGATCCTAAAAAGTGCTGAGCCAAAACAATAGATGGCGCCAGTGTGCAACTAGTGTCGTCTGTTTATGTCACGTGACCGCGAAATTCATTTACTGTCAAAATGGCAGCAAGAGGACACCCGTGCATCGTGTTTTGCCACAGAACAAAGAAAGATCATCCCCAATTTGTATACCATTCATTCCCTAAGGATAAAGGAAGGTAGGAGCACAGTTTTGAATTACATATTCTGTACATATGATATGACAGGTTTATTTATCATTATATTTACAAACAGTGAAAACTCCCTGCAGGCAAAGTATTATCTGATTTTTAAATATTATTTACAAGTGCTTGCAATGGATACACGTACTGGGGCTTGAGAAACCTAAGGGAAAGAGTCCAGAAAATATAAGCAAAAACACCGAAGGCATTATTTTATGATCCACATTTATATATTAAAATATTTTTGTGGAAAATAAACCATAAAAATATTTATATATACAGTATCCTTCACCCCCAAAATACTGACTATTACTTATGATCCTAAAAAAAAACAATGTAATATTTTATATCCTAAAGCATAGAAAATGAGTTGGCATTCAATTGACTTAAATGAATACATTAAATAGGATATTTATATGATTCACACATAAAATACGCAAAAATATGTTCCAAACGTGAATAAAAATTAAAGGGAGTAACAATTCTTCCAGCAGCTTATTATAACATAGCAAGGTGAATGACTAATTCATACATTTTATGTGTATTATACGGAGAAAATATAAAATTGGTTATATTAACATATCTTAAGCATATATCATATGAAAAATTGACACGTTAGCAAACGTTAAAATGGTGCTCCTCATAGTGATGCGCCAGCTCAATAGATGGCGGTGTCGTGGATTTAGCCCGCCCATCTATTTTAATGGTAGAGATAGTCGCTTTCCTATCTTGGTTTGTACGGTAGTAGATGGTGGAGGAGGAGGCTCAGGAGGGCAGGTCAGTGTAAGATGTCTCTGTCCTGGTGTGGTTGCACAGGTGATTGATGGCTGACACTGACGGCTGCTTGCATGGTTGACGCATAAGGCACTGAAGGGCTGATACTGAGGTCATTCTGAGGGCTTGGAAAGGACAATTCTTATAATGTAGCCTATATTATTTTTCCATTTCAAGGTGTTGTGTGTATTTTCAACTGCTAGTCATCATTATCTGCAATTTCGACTAGTAATAATTTTACTTGATTCCCATTGTTATGATTTTTCGTCAACTTAAATTCCGTCATTACATGTGTACCTTCCGCATCGTCCTTAAAAGTTCCCGTTTGCAATGTTTATTTTTATCTGACTTGAATATTTCATATGTGCCAATTAAATTCTTATATAATTTCGTGAGACGTTTGACTGCATTGTCGACTGTTCATTTAAATTCAAGTTTTTTAATTACGCAGTATTGAAGAAATTGTATACTGTATAGGTATTGATAATTAGGTGTAAAAATCAAAGATGGCATTTATCACTCGGATGGCGAGGAGATCGCGTACACAACAAACGAAGGTAATGATTGGTTTTAGTGACGTTCAGGTTTGTTTATTTACTTGAAAACCTATTTTTCTTGTGTATTTTGGTGACCTTCATTTTCTTGGGAAATCCCCATTTGCGAGAAAATGTCAAAGAAACAAATGGATGGATCGCTTAAGAAGGGGATATATATATATATATATATATATATATATATATATATATATATATATATATATATATATATATATATATATATATATATATATTATATATTATATATATATATTATATATATATATATATATATTTTATATATATATTATATATATATATATATATATATATATATATATATATATATATATATATTAAATTTGCCATAAAAGTTCGTTTCGTTCTAGATATTATTAGGATGAACGAGCGTGTACTCAACGTAAAATCCACAATAAAAAAATGTAATTGTTCATAAGCACTTTTTTTATTAGATTAGCCCACCAGGGCACAGATCAATGACCCACACCAGGGCCTCGGGGCGAAAATAAGAAAAAAACATATAATATTACTACCAATAATAATAATAATAATTTATAAATGGCCATAAATAAACACAACAATAAAAAAAAGATCGAGTAAGAAACGATATATGTATGTTGTGTTGTCAACGTAAGAGAAATAGTTGAAACCCTTCCACGGTCACCTGGTCACCTGCCCTGTTCCCCCCATCGTTATTTGCTCCAAACTCTGTTACCTGCCCCTCCCTCTGCCGGCTTCCCGTCACTCCGTCACCTTCCCGTCCCTCCGTCACCTGATCCTCCCCGTCAGGTGGACGCGGCTACGAAAGGAAGCCTCCAATAGGTGACAGAGACAAATGGACGGGTAGTTGACGAGACCCCAGGATGAGGGATGACCCGTCTCTCGCCTGGTATTTGGCGAAGGAGCGCGACACCTCGTTATTGGATGTCTGTAGAAGATGACGACGAGGTGGTAAAATGGTGATGATGATACTTGAAATAATGATGATAACGATGATATTAATAATGATAATACAAATAATAATTCTTCCCAGGTGTAAATGTGAGAACGGTAACTGACGACTCACTGAATGTACTGCCATAAGGCGTCTCATCCTTGTTATTAGAGGAAGTAACCCACGATCTGCGCATGTGTGCCGGTGACCCATAAACACTGGGTAATCACGAACACTGAATTTTATTTATTTTTTATCTTTCTCATAACAAATCTATATCTTGTGTTGTCAGTATGTAAAATAATGCAGCCAACGTTGTGGTCTTATACAGATCTATAGATTACACTCCAGTATATATATATATATATATATATATATATATATATATATATATATATATATATGTATATATATATATATATATATATATATATACATATATATATATATATATATATATATATATATATATATATATATATATATATATATAAGACCATTAGAACTCGAAGGAACAAAGAATGAAAAATTAATGTACAACGAAAACGTGATAATTGATACGGATAACTCAAGAAATGTGGATGTTATTAATCTTTTTTTTTTTTTTTTTAAATACCACTGGTCAATTCATCTAAGTCAGAGCGACATGG